TATATATATATATATATATATATATATATATATATATATATATATATAGTATGATTATTTGATATAAGTTGATATTTATGGTACTATCATCAAAATCTTAATCCATTATATGAAGTGCAAACGTTAGAATTGCATTGATCAAACATGAAAACACCCGAAATGGAAATGTGAAACAGCCATTATTTCACCATAAACATACAAGAAAAAAAGATATAGATTTATCAAACACATGCCATCACTTTGTAACTCGATTGAGACCAACAATTCATGCTATCAAACGCAGAAACCTGATACCTATTCCACCACAAACATGTCAGGCAAAAAAGTGAAGACCGAAGAAGATCATATAGAGGAGAAAGAGTCCCAGATTTGTTGTTCTTACAAGAGAGAGAGAGAGAGAGAGAGAGAGAGAGAGAGTCAGTTATGACTGCTACAACTTGATTGGGAACAGCAGCAGTTTCTGCTGTCGACTGTAAGGAGAGGCATCACTCACTCTGGCCTTCCTCTTCTGTAGAAACCGCTGCAGCGATCGCTTCATCGACAGGCCGGGGTCGAGGACCTGCGGCGCCACCGCTCGAGAAGAAGACTCCTCCTCCTCCGTGCTTTGTCGCTGCTGCTTCGTGGTCACCGTGTCTTCCATCTCTTTCTTTGCCATCGATATGATTGCTCTTGCCTGGTTTCATCGGCAGCAACAACATCGAGTCCAAAGGTCAGTGAGATCAAACTACTCAAAAGGCTTGTAATATGATTGAAAAGAGAGAAGATAAGATTGCATGCAGATCGATATGTCTTCGAAGTCAATACTTGTAGTATATTCATCACTACAAAGTTAATAATCGATGTATAATTATGGAAGAGATATGATGAGTTAGAGAAAGCATGACAGAATAGAAGAGGAACTGAGAGAAACAACAGACTTGCATCTCTGTGGCGTCGCAGACGCAAACCCGCCCCTGGTAGAATATCGTCATCTTCTTCTGCTGCGTCTGCCGCCGCTGCTGCTCGACCCTAAACGTAACACACCCAGAAAAAAAGGAATCAACCGGCGAAACAAAGCAACCCGCTGCCTGCTTTCAGCGACGAAACCAAACGGAAGCGGTACCCGCTGCCAAGCGAAAGCCGGAGCTCAGGATCGCATCCCATCTCCGCCATCCTTTATTCTCTTCTTCCCGTAGTCTGTAACGTCCTCCTCCTCTTGCAGTGTTAAGAGCGGTGGAGTTTGGCGACGGGGAGAAGGAAGAGGAGCGGAACGGGTCTTGTAGACGAGACGCGTTCTCGAGCGCGTGGAGTCGGCGTGAGGGACGACGCGCGCACGTCGTTCTCCTTTTCCGTGCTGCTGCATTTGTCTCGTGGTGGACTTCTTCCACCGGTTGTGTTCCTCGTGCAGACACAGCGGTGGAGATTCATGCAGTCTTGCAGACGCACCGACGGCAAGCCCAAAATATCTTTTGCGTGGCCGTATCTATGGATTCCACCGTGAGTGATTGTTTAATCGTGATTATAAAGATGATTATAATAATTATAAACCTTAGGATATTGATTTGGTGATTATATATTAGATCGACTTCTTCCCCTTAATTTTTACATGAAGCGAAGTGGAGAGTCGAGGAAAGTTTATCATTCGACAAACGTAAAACGCAAATCTTGTGCGTGTTTTTAGGTCATAAATTATGAAGAGTTGGTATGTTTTAATGCATTATGAGCGAGTAATAATTGGGATGAGAAGTTAAAATGAGATGAAGGGACCGAAGTCTTGCTATCAATATCTATTAGAGTCGAACATTAAGCCAAAAACATAATGCGAGAACGGAAAAGTCAACATTGCTTTTTGACCTTTGCCGCGAGAGTCAAAGATACGTATCTATTGGTCGTATCAAGTTCTTGTGTTTTTCTTTTTGGAGATATTAGGGTCTTCTAGACCTATAAAAACTGGGCCGTGCTTTTTCTGTGAAGCTCGTTGATACTGCTTGCAATCAAAGACTTGAATACACACAAATCAATTAATCTTGACTGGATCGAATCACTCTAGAAAACCAGCATGCCACGTCTCATGGGTAGATTCGAGTCCCATTCGATGTTTTGCCCCTTCTTATTTGAGGCTCCGACTTTGTAGGGAATAGAAAAGAAACAGTCAGTTGACTTGTGGAAAGGGCAGAGATGTCAAAACTAAGACTTAGCAGAACACCTCGTATATCACACACAAACAAGGTCTTGTATTCAAGCATCCAAGTCACACAATCTATCAAAGGTATGAATCCACTTGTACCTTTTCTTCAAGTAGACCAGGGATAGGCATATGTTTAAGCCCAATGTGTTGCATGAGTGGTGAAGAAGTAATAAAAGAAGCACACTTGATGTTAACATGGTTGACTCTATGGCTCATCACAATGTCCTAAAGGGAAACAGAACTATGGTTTAATCAAAATATTATGATCCTAACTCAGTATTATATATAATATAGTACCTATTTCTTTCATTTGTTTTCCTTCTTTCATCACAAATCAAAACAAGCTTACCGAGCAAAATTATAACTCGGTTTCAATGTGATTCCCAAGGTAGATGTGATGAGATGTGCACAAGATAAAGTGTGGGATTTGTCGACGAGGCAACAATCCATTGTCCCCACTGAGCCCGTTGTTATCATGTGAGAAGTATTTGGACAAGACATGCCACCCCCCTTCGTGTCATCACATTGGAGTTGTGCGTAAACATGTGACGGCAATTGCTGCATCACCAAAAACATGCACATATAAATAGCAAGAGAAACTTATTCGGTACATGTCTCTTTCTTTATCTGTACCTTTGCCTCGTCGCGAGGGAGAGGGAGAGACAGTGCTTGATTCAGTTAACATGGACACTCCAAATCAAAGATCAACTCTCCTAGATATGATCTGTAATGTCAAGAAAGCTGATGAAATGAGAATATTGAGATAATTAAGGAATAATAATAATCTCATTTATGAATAATTAGTTGTCTTTGATAAAAGATAAAACAAAAGAGAATCTATAAACATTATGGTTATGAATAATCAATAAACAAAAGACCTAAAAAGAGTTTACAAAAGACTTCTCTACTTGTGAAAATCATAATCACCCTCAGATCTCTTGAACATGCTAGAATTTTAAGCACCAAGGCTATAGATCAATATATAATGTGAGTACTAGTAATGACAAAAAAAAAACATATAGTAGCAATGTGTGTGTGTGTGTGTGCGTGTGTGTGAAAGAGAGAGAGAGAGAGAGAGAGAGGTATACAAGCATCTAACTGCAAGAGGTGGGCATATTCACATTATAAGAGTGCTTTACACTATCAACTAGCTTTCATCATCCTTACTCTAGAGTTTTTAAGCACTGGAATTCTTACAAGCTTTTGTCCTCCTGGAAGCGCCAGATGCAGCGCCAAGGTCATTTAGAAGGGCACTCTCGAGCCCAGTGACCAGACTTACCACACTTGAAACATGCGGAGGCTGTGGAACCAAGATGCTTTACCCCTGTCTCCATGTAATAATTATCTGATGACTGCTTGGTGCACTCCCTGGACCACTGGCCAGCTTGCCCACGTTTGAAACAAGATGAACTGCTCCTGTCACCAAAGAGCTTGCTGCTTGAATTTTCACATGTAACAGGATTTTCAGAACCAAACGTGTGTTCAGTGGTGGTGGTGTCCTTGCCATTGCACCATTTAAAAAAGCCACAGGATCCAGTCCCCTACATGATTAAGCCAGAGACGCCGACAGTAAAGAACAAAAGGAAACTAGTCATGCCATGAGCAAATGAACATCCAAGCAACATTTAATGCGATTAATGATGAACCACAGCATCTGACACCGAAAGTGATGAAATTACAATTTGCAAGCATGACACAGGATCAGATACCATGGTTTCTCTATGGAGAGGTAAAAGACTTGAAAGAAAATATTGCAGTCATACAGCTCATAGTGGGTACATGTAAAGCTCAAAATGTTCTCAAAGCCATATAAAAAGACCCATATGGATATTGCAAACCGGATAACGGGAACCAAAAGATATGACTAACTGAATGGGTCAGAAGCAAATAGCACAACTAACGATAAAATGAGAAAAGAGATAAAACCTTCAAAACAGTGACTAGATCACTCTTAGTATTGATTTTTGCTGGAAAAATCAAGTATATACCTAAAGAATTTGCACATAGTAATTGTTTGTAGAATTGCATGGAAGTTTGAATGGTGGAAAAGGCAAAATGTCTGGTTGAACATGTTTCGCTCCTGATTCATTTGACTGGTAATAAAATAATGGATCAAAAATCTTCAAACATTTCACCTAGAGAAGTAATCTACTAATGAGATGATGTGACGTGCAATTAAATCAGTAAATGACAAATCCTGAAAATTGTTACCAACATATTGCAAGGTAAGAACATAATACCAAAAAATCAAAGAAAAAGAGAAGGTTGTGAACAACATTTCATCAGGTTTGCATGAACACTTGTTGATTCTGAATTATTAGTGTTGATGTTCCATGGTCAGAATGGGACATTTCTGTCACCAAAAAAACCATTGCCTGGGTGAAAAATAAGCCTTCGGATGCCAAGGTATGCTCTTGTGAACCAACATGCCTAGACATATATGATCACATGTCATATGTATCAATATACAGTTTTATATGCAAATAACAAAGACATGTGCACGAAAGATATATGTTCACACATAACTTAGTTGAATACATTTGATCACCATAGATGGAAGAGTTAAAGTACATTAAAATGCTTATTCTCAAAAATCCAAAACACAGATTATATATTATCTAACCCCAAAAAATATGTGGAGAAAACACATATAGACTTGGTTCTTATGCATCAGTAAATTGGATACATGAAAATGTTCATATCTAATTTTATTATCTCCAGTCAATGATAAATCAACATATTACGCAGCTCTCACCAATTACCTTATAACTAAACATAAGAAGCACAAGCAACAAGATTATACATAATCATATTTTTATAGAATTATCAACTGCTTCATATGAACTAAAGATTAATCAGCCTGAAGAAAGAGAAACACTGATTTAGAGGTTGCATCAGTGAAATTCAAAGGAAAAATTAATAAAATAGACTTTTTCTAGCAAAGAAAGCAACAAAATAAGTTAGACAAATATAAGTTGCAGACAAAGTCATTTAACATACCTCATCCAGTGGACAACGGTAATACTGCTGACCCACATTCTTTCCGGCTTTTGTGACTAGCACTAAGCAAGAGCCAGCACCACATGGGCATTGAAGGCCTGGAACTGACAAGCTAGGTTGATGATTCAAGGGTTTTCGAGAAGAAGAGAGACTTGACGATTGATTATCACACCATTCAAAAAAATTGCAGCCTCCATTGTCCTTGTAAAATAAATGTTGTCAGAAAAATCACAATAATCAAAAGGAGTTTGAGCTCCACAAATTATTGTTAGGCTACCAAGTGGCTAGTTGAATGAACAAAGACCAATCAAGAAAGAAAAGATAGCTCCAGAGTTTCTTATTTGCAATGAAACAAAAGCAGCTACCAAGGAGGACAGGAAATGAACAACATAAGTGCATGCAATTATTTACAAGTACAGATCGGAAGGAATAACTATATAAAACATGATGCCCCCATTTATTCCATATAACAAAGCTTCATTTAATATGGCACCACATTAGTGATAATCTCTGGCTTCTACTACAGCTAATTACTGTGAGCCAAAGTATCACTAATCCCAGTAAAAGAAATCCTGAGCATTTCTCTTGTGAGATAGAGAGAGAGAGATCTTTCTGGACTAGCCATACACTTGCCATCTCCAGTTCATTCTACACGTATCGAACAAAGAACGTAAGTGGCATGATTAAGTTAAACAGAGATTTCTTTTTCCACTCCCTGCTACTAAATCTATTTGAGGAAAAACAACAAACATGTGATATGCATATCCGATTCAAGATGGATACAAAACGTAGTTGGCATGAGAGAACCATATGCTCACCAGTTTGAGAGGGCAAGTATAGAACTTCCTCCCTGGATTCTTGGCCGTGTTAGAAGTGCGTACCAAACATGTCCCCGACCCACAAGGGCACGCCTTCTGTGGCACCCCGTCGTCCTCTCTGCCAACAAAACCGCCTCCGGAAACCGATCCTTCTCCCCGTTCCCTTCCGCGCGCGGCGTCGCAGTCCCTCGCCCAGTGGCCGGCCATGCCGCACTTGAAGCAGGCGCCGCCAGTGGTCGAGGATGACGAATGCGGTGGGTTGCTGCCGGTTCGTAGGCCACCGCTGTTGTTTCCCTTCTTTTGGCTGAGCTTCAACTGCTGCTGCTGCTGCTGCCAGAGGGAGCTATGGCTGCCTCTGAGCGCGGCCATATAGGAGCCCTCCTCGGTGGCGGGGATGCTAGCGACGGAGGAGAGCTTCTGCCGCTTGGCGCTGCCTCCGACCGCCGCAGCCTCCGCCGCTTCCACCAGCGAGAGGAACTCGGCGTCGTCCTCCACCACCTCCGTCATCTCATCGACGCTTCCGAGTCGAATTCCGGCGCGCTTCTATACTCTCGGCCTTTTCGGATTTCCCTTCCCGCCCTTCTCGAAATTTCCATTTCGCGTTACCATCGGGAGTTCCGCCGAACAGACGAGCCGAATCACCCCTGATATTTATTTCGGGGGTGACGTTACCCTCATAACGTGGGCCCGGCCGTGATTCCGTTCCCGGGCGATATCTTTGTAGGCCCCTCGACGTGAGAAGTTCGGTAGGCCACATCACCCATTGCAAGAGTACCAAGCGCGATATGGTCCACCTGTTCCTAACGACTCATCATCAGACACTAATTTCCGATTTTTCACAATAAATATTAATCCGATAAATACTGTAATGAACTAACTTTACGGTGAGAAGGCCCACTATATAAATGTCTTGAATTAAAGCTTGATTTAACTTACAAAAACCTTTATCCAGTGTGTAAAGATTATGATCCTGATGATGGATAAAATAAAGAATAAAAAGCCAATGTATACAAATAAATCACACGTTTCATGTTCCGATTAGTATTATTGGCAAACTTCATGATGATATATTGATTTAAAAGTTTAAAATTTTTAATTATATTAAAATTTTTAATTATATTGAATAACAAATAAAACATCATCTTACAGTGACACGTGGTCATCAAGCCAACGGGTTGACCTATCACGGACAAATATGTATAAAGACTGTTTGATATAATGTCTGTGTATGTTTGGATCTTTTAATTTTGTTCTGTATAACATATAGAGGATTTGTAGTATGTTTCGTAGCCCTATTTTGATTGAATTCTGACCACCTGTAAATGTATGTTGTGTTTTTGTTATTGTGCTGAGATAAAACTTTCCAAAAATAAACTATCTAAGTAAATATTATTTTTTTAGATTTTTAAGTTTCGTAAAAAAAAGTGGAGTGTCAGCTAACACAATACTTAAGAGCTACCCGAAAAACATATGGTTGGATGAGCCTTTGAAGTAGTGTCTAAGGTCGGTTCATCATATTATTTAATAATAATATTATATGGACACTCGTGAAAATTTTTGGTCGTGGTAGATACCCCTAGACCCTTTGTCGTATGATCATTCAGAGCTTACCAATTTTATGTTTTAATTTACATAGCCTATCAAATATTTTCTAAAATATATATTTGTGAGATTTTGATTTAAATAATTTATCTAACTCATCTTCTCTTGTGCAGGTCCTTAAGGAATCATAAGAGGTTCCCGGAAAACTAACCTTTTACGGATGGACATACAAGAGTATTGTACGACTTAGACAAAATCAACTAAGTTCGTAATAGCACGTTCTCCTTTTGTTGCTGATGATTTCAGGCATAACCATCCTCAGAGTCACCTATAAAAGGAACCTCAGGTACGCTCTCGCTACACTATTTTACCTTAATATTGGTCGATTGAGTCTAATCGAATCAAACCCAAAAACTAACTTGATTGTTGGAGGCGCATTTGTTCGGAATGAACTCGACATAATTTTATATATTTGATACTCTATGTACAATGATCTAGAGTTAAATTAACTGACAACAGACCTTAGTTAAATCTAAACCATTATCGGACAATCAAAACCTACAATAGCACAATCAATTAAAAAAAATAAATTTACATAAAACATATGGCATACATCTTAAAAATTAATATATAATATGGCGAATCTTTAGTATAAAATATGGTTTGGTTTCGATCCCTTTCTAGGATAAAAGTTTCTAAGATATTAAATTTGCCACAGGCAACCGGGTATCCCCCAAATGTTCATGGTCAAGTGTTTGCTAGCTCAAATGCCTGTTTTCCCAGCTTTGGAAGCTCCTTTAGCTGACTTGTTGTTGTCGTTGTACACAAGATCAGCATGTTCTTGTTGACTTTCTCTCCCAAACACAACACGAATGTTCATGCTCTAGTGTTATAGAGTATATTTTCCTCACTTTTGACCCTCCTTTAGCTTAAGAGTTATTGTTGTTGTTGTTGTACACAAGGATCAACATGTTCTTGCTGACTCTCCCTCCACAGTCCACCCTCATGTGAATAGATACTCCCTAGATTTTTGCTCGTCGGTGATGAAGGTATGTTCAATGTCCCATCATGCACAAATCTCCGTATACACAATGGCAAATCTCCATCCGAGAGAGTAGAAGACTTTACTCTCTCTCTCTTTCTCTCTCTCTTTCCAATCTTTACAAAGATGATCTCAAGATACATACACGAGGGGAAGAATCCTTCATTACTACCAACCTCTCTTTATATATGTCCATGGATATATCAATGTATTTAGGAGAGGTCCAAAACATGGATAACTCATGTGAAGAATCTTTATAGGAGATCTCGAGGATTAGTCATGTGAAGCCTTGTAGAGTTCTACAACATGGTCTTGCAGAAACGTCTGTATCTGGAGAAGGATCAGAACCTCCTCCGTCTCTCTCTCTAAAGCAAGAGATTTATGCCCTTAGACACTCTCTAAAGAGGTGTACAGGGACCATCCGCCGTGCCCTGACATGATGGATTTCACCTCCTGTGGTTTGAGATTTTATCTGTCAGTGCTCAGGTAAGTTTCAATGTTTCTCTCAGGTAGCAGTTCATCGGAGAACCCTAAAACCTTCTGCTCTGGAGTTCTTGAGGTGAGAGCGAACTCCTGAGCTTTTCTGACTTGAATCAACATTGCAGATCAGACCAAAACATTCATGTGACATGTCAGGAAAAGTCTCAGCTCACACCAGAAACCACCACCAGTGGTGGATCCACCCACAACAAAAAGAAAAGGACACAATAAATGATAATAATTGATCTCACTTAGATCAGGTCAATGTCAATATCACTTTCTTACTCATTCACCTACTCATCAGATCCTCCTTCCACCTCACACAGCATGCAAATCCAAACCTTGTGTCCATGTTCATCACTTTGAAGAGCTCATCAGACCAATCGCTTTCCATTCTTCTGATGCTTGCAATGGTATTCTGATAGAACTTAAATTATCTTATGGTCTCCAAATTAGAGCTCAATTCTACTATTCTTTTTTTTTTCTTTTTATCTTTGTCATCGTATTGATGGCCACTATTAAAATCGAATACACGAGACTTTCGTCAATACGAAAAAAAATAATGTATCCAGTTTTATTCCATAATATATATCAAACTAGATCTTTAATTCTTAATACATCATCCATGAGATTTTCATTGAAATATGAAATATGAGAGAAATTAATATATACAAATTTATTCTATTAAGTGATAAGATGGGATTAACTGTATAGTCTTTCTATAATATACTTATCCTTACAAATTTTACATGCAAATTTATTGTTCCTTTTTTTTTGTTGTCAAAAATTCAATATTTTGATTTTTTTTATTACAAGGCATCTTTATTTTCAATTTTAAAATAATTTTAATATCAATCTTTATGAAAACAATAAATTTATCTTTAATTTTGATGTAGCATGTATATATTGAAATATTAATGTCCTTCATATATAAATTCATGATTTTTTTTTGTAATTAACCTTAATTAGTTGAGTTCAAACCAAATATGTAAAAAATAAAATATTAAAAAAAATTCTTTTATTTTTTTATAATTATAATAATTTTTTATTGAGCATTTACATAATATTACATTTCGGTTAGTAGCTAATCGAGATTATCATGATAACATAATATGAAAGTCTATAGTGTCTGTAATAATAAATATGTACTAAACTTTATATATATATGTATATATATCGGAATCCAATATACTTTATATATATATATTTATCCTTTCTATATTCCGTATTGATGGAATTTTCGTGTAGTAAATTTATAACATTTATATAATGAAAGGAAAAATATAAAGTAATAGTCATGAAAGGGTATATGTGTGAATATTAATTTTTCAGGGTGTTTCCCAGAAAAATATAGTCAGAGGTTGAGACTCGACAGGGATGTATATGCAAAAATCCATCACAGGTACATAAATAAATATAAAATAAATATTAAAGGAAGTAAAATGAGGAAGAATTTAAGTATAGCTTTGGGTGGCTTTTCTCCTCCTCAAGCTTCCACTCCCCCTTGTTGATTGCTGCTGGGAACCCCCCCAGCAGGGCTGTTTGATGCTTCCGGCGGTGGCGGCCGTGGAGGTGTGGGGGTGCAGGCGGAGTTGTTCGGTCTATTGTGGACACTGTGGTGGTGATGGCGACCAATCCTGGCTCTTCAAATGGACATAGGTACAGCTTTTATCAATCATTGGTCCCATACGGACGTTTAGAATTCGGTCCTTGAGCTTTCTGAGATTGTTTGGGAGTTCTTGGGGAGAGGATTTGGAGCCGGGAGGAAGTGCAAGAGGGTGTGTATCGACCGCGAGAGCCCGGAGGTTCCTTCTGCTGTATCCACTTGTTCTCTTTTCCTCTTCTGGTTCTTCGGCTTGCTAGAGAATCTTGTTTTGTAGAGGGTTTGTGCGCTCGAACAGCCTGGAAAGAGGTTTGGTGGTAGATCGATTGATATTTCTTCTCTGGGAGTTGGATTAAGTGGGTTTTCTTAACCATGGAAATTATTAGGTTATTTTTCTCATATTCGTCATCCATCTCCTTAAGTTCTCCAGATTAGTGGAAGGTGTTAGAGGAAAACTCTTTGATGGGTGCTTCATCTGATAAAAAGGAAGTATTGAAATGACTAGGTTGCTGAATTTGGAGCAATTAAACAAGTGCTGGATCTTAAAGCAGATTGATTAATGTTTAGGTGTAGCTCTTTTTAGGTATCGGTTTAGCTGTGGCTTGGTCATCAAAAAATAGAAAATTTTACCTTCTTTAAACCTGTCTTGAACCTCTTCTTTTCTGGACTAATCCATAATTGTGGAAGTGTTCTTTATTATGTTCTTTAGCCAGTTTTTGGATAGCGAAGCTTCCATGTTTGGAGGAACTTGTTATTATCTTTAACTGAAATAGTTTAGTTCAATTCCTAGATTGGTCTTATTTTTTCTATTCATTTTACCAGAAGGTCACTGATGTTGTTGCGGGTGAAGTGGATTAGGGCTGTAATACTTGTGAACAGCACTAGGCTCTGTTAATAATATCACCTAGTGGTTGGCAAAGAGTTTGTCCTGGTTGTAAGCATCATTAATTCGAAGTTAGTTTCCAGCTGTCACTGCTTCAGGACTGCTACCATTGGCTGTTGCTGCTGAAGAGGTGTGAGTTCGCTACTTCACTTGAAGTATCTTTTGAAATTTGTGTTACTGAGGCAACACCATGTTTTTCCTTGTATGCTGCTTGGAACATACCAGATAATCACCACCAGAATCAACTCTAAGAAAAGCACTGGCAGATGTTTTGGTCTAGCTGAAGGATATAACTTGAATCAACAGAATCTGTTTGGCAGCATATTCAACATTCTCAAATTGCAGACTTTTGAAAGGGTTTTTTTCTAGTCAGTTGTATCACACGTAATATTTTCTGGAGAAGTTATCATCAAAGCATGGAGTCTAGGACATCTAGAGGAGTGATGGCTCATCTTTTTCCGTCTCTTGGTCCTGCACTTGTCATTTCTATGGGATACATAGACCTTGGAAAGTGGTTGGCAGCTGTGGATGGTGGGGTCCGATTCGGAAATGATCTGGTGTTACTAGTTTTATTTTTCAACTTAGCTGCCATTCTTTGCCAGTACCTTGCAACATGTGTTGGCATTGTCACCAGAAAGAATCTTGCACAGGTACTACTTCCCAACTTGTTTGCTTCAATATTTAGTCATTTTCCTGAAACCCGTGCAAAACATCATTTACTTTCATGTAGTTGCAAGTTAAAATCAATAAAAAGCTTGCTTCTTAATGGTTCTATGAGTGAGAAGCCTAAAGCAAAAAGTGAATACTTTGAGAACTTGACATTTATACCCAGAGGATATGGTAAAAGAAGCAACAACACAATAAAAGTGAATGTTTGGCCCACAGTTTGTTTGACATATGATTGTATCGGTACTAATCAGATTTTTGAAAAATGCACTTACGACTAATAGTGGGCTACCACTAGTTCTATGTATCAGTCACAGTAAGGACTTTTTTTAGTCCATGCACATGAGCATGTTGATGTATTTGTGTGTTTTCAAAGGTTTTTAACATCTTGCAATGTATCGATACTAATCAGATTTTTGAAAAATGCACTTACGCCTAATAGTGGGCTACCACTAGTTCTATGTATCAGTCACAGTAAGGACTTTTTTTTAGTCCATGCACATGAGCATGTTGATGTATTTGTGTGTTTTCAAAGGTTTTTAACATCTTGCAATGTATCGATACTAATCAGATTTTTGAAAAATGCACTTACGCCTAATAGTGGGCTACCACTAGTTCTATGTATCAGTCACAGTAAGGACTTTTTTTTAGTCCATGCACATGAGCATGTTGATGTATTTGTGTGTTTTCAAAGGTTTTTAACATCTTGCAAATGAAATAATGGCTGTGATGTCTGTCTTAGTTGGGAAGCAGAGGCTTGATGCAAATTTTCTTTTTGAGCATAGTATTCATTTCTCTCTTTTATGGTGTGGCCCCTTTCTCATTAGATGCACTGAACTTTTTTTTTTTTTCTTCTTTTTGTTGCTTGTGCACAAGATTTGCAGCGTGGAATACTCAAGGACAACATGCATGATATTGGGAGTTCAATATCAGCTATCCATGATTACCTCAGACCTGACTATGGTGCTTTCTGTGTTTAATCAGTTTTATTATATTTTTTTATCACTGTTATGTTCTACAATATTATCACTCTGTTAACATGGATAATAAGGTCTTAATTAACATGATTCATTTTGCACTTTTGCAGATTTTGGGAGTAGCACATGGTTTCAACCTTCTTTTCGGTGTGAACATATTGGGCAGCATCTGTTTTGCTGCAGTTGCTTCTGTTTTGTTACCCATTTTTGTTGATCTATTGGTAATTCATTAATTTGTACCCTTTTTGTTATTAAAGTTACAGTTGGACATGGATAGATAAACTTTAATGGCTGCCTATTCTGCTTGAGGTGCAGAATGATCGGAAGGCTGAAGCATTATACGAAAGCTTAGCTGGTTTTGCTTTGCTGTTGTACGTGCTTGGGGTACTAATCAGTCAACCAGAAATTCCTCTTCCAACGAATGTTACTTTCCCCAAGCTGAGTGGAGAGAATGCATACTCACTTATGGCCCTTCTTGGTGCGAACATAATGGCACATAATTTTTATATCCACTCTTCAATCGTCCAGGTAAGTTGACTGAAATTTTCTAATTGTTTTTATTTTTCAGTAATCTTTCTGAATCTCTTCACCTTATTGGTGAGTTAGAATTAGGGCCAGAAGCTTTAATTCTGAATTTACCATATAAAATGCACAAACTTCCATTTTTCATTTTTATTTTATATAAAACCATTATTCTGGAAAGGGATTATTCTGCATTTTATGCATCTGAAAAATTAGGATTGAGGCTGCCACTGCGAAGTACAATTTTGGGTCCATAAACCAAGTTTCAGGAACTCTTGTTAATCCGATTTTGTTTCTTGTAGTTATGAGGCACCCATTTGTGACATTTCTTGTTTTGTTCTTGGAATGTTTTGATTCAGTTGTTTCTAAAAATTGTATCGTGTGATTTGTCTATATGCAGCAGAAGAGACTCCCGAATGTTCCTGTAACTGCCTTACTTCATGATCACTTTTTTGCAATCCTGTTCATCTTCACTGGCATATTTGTGGTTAATTATGTGCTGATGAATTCGGCCGCAGCTGTTTTTGGCATTACCGGTATTGAACTCAAATTTGAAGATGTGTCTCTGCTGATGGATCAGGTTATATGCCTTTATTCCTTGCCATATAGTTTCCATCGATTGTATATTTCTTTAAGTAGCATGTACTCTGATATATACCCTCCGATTGATATACTCACAGCTTTCCATCAGATTCATTATTTTCCTCACTGAGTGTATAGTAACATCAAAATCTAATGCAAGTTGAAAGATGAATCAGTTCTTTTCTTGATTATGTTCAGTCTGCAAATGATATGCTTCGTAACCTGGTATGCGTGGCGTAAGAAAAAAGAAATAATATTTTTGCACCGTTGAAAAGAAGAACCTCCAATATGAAAATGTAATTTTCCAATCTGATGATCAATAAGGAGACCGAATGAGATGGTAAATGGATTGGGGTTGATGATCTTAAATAAAATGAGTGAGAAATAGTGACCAAACAATGATGTGTATTAGTGTGAACCACCCCTTGTTGGATGCTTGGATCAACCTGGTAGAGACTTTCAAGAGAATAGTGACCAAAGCGTGGTCTGAATATACTGGATCTGCAACAAGTTCTCTAGGATGATGTTGCAAACTAGCAAAGTTTTGATTAAAAGCATCTATAATTTGAATCTTAATTTAGAAGTTAATCTTGTATTTTTCTTTCTTCAAGAATTCATTACATTTTAATGAGCTGGAGATGGATGGTTGATGATGCTTATAGCCTCCACTAACATCAGAGAATAAGTATCCTAAACATCTAGATAAATACATTAATTTCATGCACTTGCCAGTGTATATAAATAAATTGCATATGATCTTTTGCATCACTTTTATATACAGTGTCCAAGTGAAATTTAATAAAGGATTTGAATGTCATCATCATTTATATGGCAGTTATCACTTCACGATTTTATAATATAATTAGCTCACAATTAGGCTTTAGAAGTTGATTTAAGGATATAATGTGAAACTTATTTGGATCTTTTTGATTATAGAGCACTTTTTCAGATTCTGAAACCCAAAATCTTTCTTTTTGTCCAATGATTCGCCTGCCTTTGAGCATGGATTAAGTGGTCTTCCACAATTGTGGCCACTGAATTGGCTTTAAGTTTGACATGCTGGAATTCACCATTCTTTTCATCAGGCACCTTTGTCTAGAAATTTACAGGTCAGGATGTGACTTTTAGCATGAGAACAATCCTCCACAGTTGGCGGATTGATGAAAAATTGCTGTCAAGTTACACTGGTTACTTTCAGGTGTCTCAGCATCAATCCACAGAGAGATGCTTTCCTTTCTGTCTGGAAGGCGCAGTCAAAATTTCCACATCTATATAAGCCTTAAAAGAGTCATTTTTTTGGTTTCTACATAGCTAATGTATTGTAGATTGCTTATTTGGGTTTTGACTACCAAAATTCATAGTTTCACAAATAATTATATAAAATGTTTTGGTTAATAAACCTTCATCACTTATCTCAAAAAGAAAAAAACAAAGGTTCTACATACTACATGGTACCCTGTTTATCATGGGACCTTTCGTTGCTTTCTCAACATAGCAGCTTTTCCTGTTCGTTCACTCATCGAAGTTCTATATTTGATTGCTTTGTCAGAATACGAACATTAACCTTACATAAGGCTCATTGGTGGAAAAAGATTCATGTAGCCAACCCTAAGTAGTTGGAACATTATGGCATGTTTTTGTTGTTGTCTCATGATAAGTACACTAAAAAGTTGATGTTATCTTTTGGCAATGTATTTTAACTTTTTCATACTTGAACTTTGCAGATTTTTTGGATTCCTATAGCACCTGTTGCAATATTTCTTGTCCTTGTATTCTCAAGTCAGATTACAGCTTTAACTTGGAATATCGATGGGCAAGAAATCTTGCAGTATTTTTTTGGTGCAAACATCTCTGTTTGGGTTCAGGTTCTGTTAGTTAAAGCTCTTTCTGTCATTCCAGCACTTTGCTGTGCAAAGTGTGCAGGCACTGAAGGGATATTTCAATTGCTTATTTTCTGTCAAGTTATACAGGCTATGCTTCTTCCATCTTCCGTAATTCCCCTTTTCAGAGTAGCATCGTCACAATCAATAATGGGAGCATTTAAAATATCATGGTATCTGGGAATTGTGGCTTTGTTGGCATTTTTTGGGATGCTTGCTTCAAATGTAATCTTCATCACTGAAATGTTATTCGGAAATAGCAGTTGGATAAATGACCTTAGGGGAGGTATGAGTAATGGTGGAATTGCCACATGTGCTGCCTTTCTTCTTGTCGCCTGTGTGTCAATGTGTTTTATGCTGTACTTGACAGTTACGCCACTGAAGTCTGCAAGTGATAAACCAGAGACAGATATAGGAATGTTACATTCACGAATGGATGAGCTTGAACTATCAAGGGGAAGAAAAGATGATGTTCAAGATAAAATTGCAACTAATGAAGATATGCTTTCGGTGGAATCTGCTTTAGAAATTACCTTGGAGCACCATGATGATAAATCATTTTTGGATTCTAATATTGACCAATCTGATACAGCTATTAATCCTGATCATGATTGCCATCAACCTACCCATGATTCTGTTGCTTCTGATACTGCTATTGATCCTGATCATGATTGCCATCAACTTACTCATGATTCTGTTGCTTCTGATGCAGCTATTGATCCTGATCATGACTGCCATCAACCTACTCATGGTATCAGTGCTTCTGATACCTTTAGTACCGCAATGTTTCAAAATGAAGAATTGAAGTCTGTTAATGAAATTGACTTAGAAACTCTGAACAAGACATCCTCTGCTAGCTTGTTAGATCCTGGTGTTGTAGAAAGACAAGAATCTGATCAAGTGCAGAAAGATTTGACATTAAAGGCAGATATTTCCAGAGATAAGGACAATGAAGAGGTTTTGGTGGCTAAGGAGTCAGTAACCAAATCATTGCCACCTTTGACATCTGAGGATTCTGGATCCTTTAATCCTGTTCAGGTAAAAGTTTCTGATGGTGGTATTGGCAATGAAAGCTCATCAAAGTCATCTGGATTAGGTCGTTCCTCTCGCCGGCAGTTGGCAATCATTTTGGATGAGTTCTGGGGGCACCTTTTTGATTTCCATGGGAAACCGACACAAGAAGCCATTGGGCAAAAGTATGATGCTCTATTGGGTTTAAACTTGAAAACTGTTAGTTCAATAAAAGTGGATGTAGGAACAGAGTCTTCGATTAATTTCTGCACAGATGCGGATAGGGGGGCAATTTTCTCACCAAATTCAATGGATTATGGCTCTCCGAAACGAATGAATATGTCTAAGGGAGAGTTATCATATGGGTTTCGGATGGGATCCCCATCTCGGTCTCGCAACATTCAAATACTGAACACACGTTCACAAGCCTTGTCTAGCAGACAGCTCGATTCGAATGAAAGACCTTATTCTAGTTTATACTTGCCACAGTGTTCTGACAATCATGATTATCAGCCAGCAACAGTACATGGGTACCAGATAGCATCTTATGTCAAAGAAATTGGGTCAGGGAGAACTCCTTATTTGTCAAATGTGTCACTGGACTCTCCTAAAATTTCTAAATCTCCTCCATCAATTCCTCCAGGTTTTGAGGACTCAGTTCTGTATGGTGATAGGCAAAATGGGCTAGGTTCGCTTGCAACATCTAGTCTGCAAAGCCCAAAGATGCCTCGAGTTCGCAGGGTCCAGGTAGAAGGACCTTATTTCAACCCTTCTTTAATTGAACCTAGTGAAAATGCTGGCTCCTCTTCCTGCACTAAGAAATATCATAGTTCACCAGACATTTCTGCACTTATTGCTGCCAGCAGGAACTTGTTATTGAACGAGGCAAATTCAGGTGGTCCTATTGGTCAGCCATCTTTGGGTAGGATGATATCTCAACAGCAACATTATTTGAATCCTATCTCCAAGACTGGAGTTTCGTTAGCTTTTGATGAACTCTATCAACCCAAACTTCATAGGGATGTTCTCCCACTTCAGTCAAAGTTGAACCCAGACACCAGATCCCTTTGGTCTAGACAACCATTTGAACAACTGTTTGGCATGCCAAATGGAGGTGAAAGTAGAGGGGATCGAGCAGTTACTGACAAACTAAGTAGTGCTTCGGAAGAGCTTTTATCATGTGCAGATTCAGAACTCAAGTTATTGCAATCTCTTCGTTTTTGTATTACAAAGCTCCTGAAATTAGAGGGATCAGATTGGCTATTTAGACACAATGGTGGTTGTGATGAAGAACTAATTTGTAAGGTTTCTACAACCGAGAAGTATATACACAAAGCAGGTGCAAATGACATGAATCAGTTACACTCTAATAGACTTCAGTACTTGTCATCTGATCAAAGGCTTAGTTCAGTTCAGAGGAATGAGGAGGCAGATACCCCTTACTCTCTGTCGTTGCCGAACTGTGGAGATGGTTGTGTATGGCAAGCATCCCTGGTTGTAAGTTTTGGAGTTTGGTGTATTCATCGGATCTTAGAGCTGTCCCATGTGGAAAGTCGGCCAGAGCTATGGGGCAAATACACATACGTTCTTAACCGCCTTCAGGTAAAAAATATATATTCTTAACCACTTTCAGGTGAATATACTCCAGGAGTCTTCTCGTTGTGCCTTTCTTCATTTCATAATGTGAAAAAACTGAAATGAGAAGATACCACAGACACTGTTTAGATTTATAATTCTCTAGAACATATGATGTGCTTGCTTTTTTCATGGATCCTGGTAAATATGTAGACTAAGGTGAATGGTGACTGAGACTGGTTTGCTGTTTCTAAGTTTCATATCCCACTATATGTCATTTCATTATTTTTTTTCCTGGATTATTCAGATGTAGGACAACTATATACTTCTTGCATTTTCTTATGCACCCGCCATGAGTGAACATAGGCTGTGTGATAACATGAGGGTAAAGTGGATCTTTCCTTATGTTTTTGGTTTATCTTAGATTGCCGATTTTCGCCCTTCCTACTTTTTCCCCTACTGTATTTTTTCATAAGTGATATCTATATAGTATATAGTAAATTTTTTTTGGTTATTCAACACAGGGAATTCTTGATCTTGCATTTTCCCGACCACGGAATCCCCTCAGCACCTGTTCCTGTCTTGAACTAGCACCAGAAGGTTCCAACCAGTTGCTGCTAAGCCAACACTCAAAACCAATCAGGGCACCATTTACAACTGCGAGTATGATACTTGAGATCATTAAAGATGTCGAAATCGCTGTCTCTGGTCGCAAGGGACGGACAGGCACTGCTGCAGGTGATGTTGCATTCCCGAAGGGGAAGGAGAACCTGGCATCTGTGTTGAAGCGCTATAAGCGGCGGCTCTCTAACAGGAACACATGAAGGTTCTTCGTCTCGCTAGATCCAAACGACCTCTTCTGTTTTATAGCATAATTACTAATGCTTTTGGTGTCTCTGAATCATGGGTTTTTTCGTTGAGAAAACGTTTCCAGGATTCAGAGTTTCTTGCTTTTTGTCCCTCTAAATTTCCCTTTTGATGTATGTTTTTGGATTTTTAATCGGCAGAGTTTATGCATATAGATGCTGGGAACTGCTGTATTTTCATGATCTTTGTCCTAACTTTTCTAATCTAATTTCTTGTCCATAATTATGTTGGATGATTATATCAATTGTGTAATCCCTGCAATCTTTCAATCTGCTTACGTTAATGAAATTCTCACTTTCTGTCAGCTGCTGCTTGTAATGCTGCAAACTTCTATAGATAGATATTTACTATTGAAATAACCACTGTCAGGATTGTTGTATGAGAACAAGTTTGTAAAATCTCACAATTTTCTGTTAACATGCTTTGTTTCAATTACTTAGGATTCTCTACAATACTCATGACTTGTTACCTTGATCATATCTTCTTGCCCTGAATCATTATATGAAGATTGTTCATCAATTAATCCTTATCTTAGTTTCCAAGTATTACTCACAAATTCTTTGATTCTTTCATTCAGTTGGTCTATGGACTGAGTGCAGCTCTCTGCTATGGCTGCTTCGCTTTGTTTCATATGTGGGTGGAACATATTTTTTTACTGTTACTTAATATACAAAGCAAAATTCATATGATTCCTATACCTTTTACACATCTGTAAATACCAGTAATAATCATGTTTTGTGATCATACATGAAGCTTTTAAGCTCATGCCTTTTGCAGTACAGTATCATAGCAGATCCTACACAATCAGAGTGAATTGCATACTCTTAAACATAGCTGCCAAAAGTACAATCACCTTTGACAGAGGAAACTGCATGAGACCAAGTAATTTCTTGAATCTATGTGAAAATAATGAGAGCAAAGGCTCATGTGATGACATAACATGTTTTACTGCTAAATGTAAAGCAAAAAAAAGGATTATCAAGTTAGGGATAAGATTGAGAGATGCATATCACGGGTTTGATAGAGGGAAACTTCAAAGGGTGTTTGCTGATGATAGTAATGTTAAGCACTATTGAAGTTCCCATTATTTACAAGATTGAGACAAGAGACAAATATTGATTTACTCTCATTTATTTGAGTGTTGATAATGTTATGTTATAAGATTTTGGCTTTAATAAGAACATTCAAACATTAGATGGGTTTGTACATATTAACGGCAATCTTAAAGCAGCACTCCACGATATCACTTGTTTGGCAATCTTGACGCAGCAGGAAAGAGTAACGGCAGCGATCGCATTTATGTTCACCCCGGTACGAAACGGCAGAAGGAGGGGTTACCGAATCAGACGGGGTATATATGACGGCGAGTTGCCCCGTTATGAGTGGCGTTAACGTCACCCAGACGAGGGTTCTTATCGGGCGTCTCCCAAATCGCTACTCGCCACCGTCCCCCCAAACCGGCACCGCGGAATCCGATCTCTTCGAATCAAATCGGAGGCCCCAACCCGGCACGCCGCCAAAATCCATGTCACGACACGCGCCGCGCGTCAGGGAATCGCCCGACTCGCCGGATCGGTCGCGGCGTTATCGGCCCCTCTGAGAGGGGAGGCCCGGCGGCGTCTGCGGCAGCCCCCTGCTTCGGTAAGCTCCTGGTGCTTTCTTCCTCCTTATCTTTCAGGGATGAATAGATGGTAACGGCTCGAAACCGGCTCTCTGTTTGATCCGTTCTTTTGCTTTTTCTTCTTTTTTTCTTTTTGGTATCTGTAGTAAAAGATTTGTTTTCTAGGTTAAACTGCCTGTGATGAAATGCCAAATTTGTGGTTTAATGGTGTAACACAAACGTTAAGGGACAATTTATATGGATTCAAGTGACAATTATCTGGCATTGTAACTGTTATGGTAAATAACTTTTTTAGCCGTGGCCTCGGGGCCGTCGCGGCTTGGTTTGGGTCCGGAAGGCGGGGATCTCCGTGGGGGCGCTCCTCGAGCCCGCTGAATCTCCGAAGGCGGGGATCTCCGAAGGCTTCACACCTGCACAAAGGTCGGGTCGGTGTGCTCGACCCGACCCCTCCGACGATCAAGTCAGCGAAAGATGTGGAGGGGGTTTCGAGAGAAGTAGTGTTTTGGGGTGTGTCCCGCCTCCTCCCCTTCTAACGAAAGAGAGGGTATTTGTAGGGAAGCATTCTGCTTCCTGAGCTGCCCGCTTGCAGGGGGCAGGCTGACAGTAGTGATGGCGTAGCGTGTTAGACTTGGCTTTTGTAGGATATTAATGTGCCTCGGTCAGCGTTCTGATCAATTCCGAGGTGCGTGACGTCATCTGGAGCAGCTGACGTTGTCCTGAGACTGTTTGCCATTTTTACCCTTATCAGTAACTTTTCTCAATTTCATGCTTAATTTATTTGTTTCATGTCAACCCTCCTGCAACCATCTTTTGGAGATAAATGCAAACATCAAAGAATTTAACTTACTTTTATATGTCAACCATGTTACTAGAAGTGAAATTCAAGGGACTAGTTTGCATGCCAACTATGATAATGAAAGTTAGAAAAGATCTGAAGCTGCTGTTTATTGGATTCCAGTCTCATGGAATTATTGCAATTTTGTTTAACTAATTCTTCAGTGTACACATAAGTAAAAAGAAAGGCAAATAGATTATGAACCCTTCATTATGTACCATGAATGTCATCAACATGTAATCTTATGTTACATAACTCCTTGAGATCACATGTTTTTCCCTTCATGTTTATTAATGTTTAGATGGTATTTTCTTTCATACAGGATATATCTTGTGGGATTCTTGGTTTTAATATAGCAAAATGCCTCGACCGCCGGATATAGGGTGGCAATATGGTACCATGATAGGGGGCCATAGACATCATGTCAAGTGTAACTATTGTCACAGGATCATGATTGGAGGCATTACACGTTTCAAGAAGCACTTGGCAAGCAAAAGAGGGGAGATTAAGGGTTGTGAGGCTGTTCCTAAAGAAGTAAGGGAGATAATGGCACATCACCTGGCCACAAGGAAACCAAGGAGACCAAACAAAAGAAGACGAAAGACAGCTGAGGGAACTTTAGCAGCACCAGCTTCTACTAATCTTGGCATGGAATCTGATGCATCTGATCCAGACATGATAGATGCTGGACAAGAAGTACTGACCTTTAATGAAGCAGAAGTTCATTGTATGATACCATCATTTTGCTTTCTTCTTCTTTCTCAGAAGATAATATATAACATGAATTTTCTCACTAATCAAGATTGTCAAAATGCATATAAGTGGTATCTTTTTGCAATCATAAAGATATTCGGACTTTTGGAGTCTTTTTCTTGTAATTTACTTGTGAAATCCTTTTGTGTATTTGCTTTTTGATGTTACTAATGATTAGAGTAATCTTCCTATCTCTAATTCAGATGAACAATTTGATTCAATTGCTAACTGCTTACTAGTATATTTGTTTTGGTTTTTTGAAATGTGCTAGTTATTGGTATGCCTTTGTGATTATCATCTATGAATAACTTCTGCTGATAAGGCATGCCTGGTTATTATGTGCAGTAGGATGTGCATTAGCTGAAGAAGATTGGAGCAAACTGAAAATCTTTTTTTGTCTTGAGGACGTAAGAGGCAGCTCTGTAATAAATCTTGTCAGTCCAAATATTTTAGTACTTGTGCCTCTTCTTTGTTAGTGTGCTTTCTTTTATGACGGACATCTTTTGGTTGTCGTGTCCCATCTTGACTTTTTATTCTTTTTGCACTTGACTAAACAGTTACTGCCAAAGTATCTGTTTTAATCGCTAATATAGTTGATCAAAAGGGTCTAGTTTAGATCTAACAGTATCCTAAAGTTCTAATAGGACCATAGCTAATACTTTTCATTTCTCATCTATATATGATGGGATTGTAAGTCTGAAGGCCCATGCTTGAATATTTTCTTTAATTTTTTTGATATAGTTAGCTTGTCTATTAGTTTAATTCTCTAGTTGATTGTTTGGGAGGGCTTTCCTCTTTGAGCTGGAGAAATGCTTGAAGTCTTTATAATAAAATGATAGATTATATACGTTTTGCATACATGTTACTTTAGCTACATGTATATCTTCATATCATTTCCTAACAATCATTATAGACCCATAAAAAATTCTGCTGTCATGGTATTCCAAGTTACATACATTGTCAAACTAGCTATTGAATAACAACAAACTGTGATGTCATATTTCCCATGTTTATTGTAATTGTATATTTTAGAGTAACTTTGTTTTTCAGCCGAATTAGATGCATTATTCTTGTCAAAAATAATTTCAGTCTCTTTGGGCGAAATAAGTGTTTGACTGCTGAAGGCTTTTGGTCTATCATTAGCTTTTTGCACCTAGTCTATTCGGGCATATGGTTCCTTTTTTCTTAAACTTATTTCTCCTTTTATCTGATACAGCTCAAAGAACAGCTGAGCAACAATTTGAAGTTGGGACAAGGGGTTTCTTAGATGCTTTTGCAAGTATTCAATACAAGGATGAGCAAGTATGTTGCTTAGAGTGCTTCATTTTTTTTTTTTTTTTTTCGGTTGACTTGATTTTGTTTACTATCTGCTCTTTTCCTATTGCAAATTTTGAAGGATTTCATGCCTCCTAGAGCCACTGATATCGGATGGGTTCATGGTGTAATGGTCAATGGAGATCGACAAAAGATAGAATGCAAGTATTGCCACAAAGTAATCTTAGGTGGTGGAATTTCTCGTCTTAAACAACATTTAGCAGGAGAAAGAGGAAATATAGCACCATGTGACCAAGTACCTGAGGATGTCAAAACACAAATGCAACAACATCTGGGCTTCAAGGGTTTGGAAAATTGTTCTATCCAGCAGACCATAGAAGAATATAATGGTGATGCTCCTAATGCAACTTCAACTTCTTCAATGGCTGCTTCTTATAAAAGAAGAGAGAAGGATGTCAATGAAGGGAATTCCAACAAAAGAAAGAAAGCGGATATGTTATATATTCCGCAGGGCTTGGCACTACCCAAGCCTACAATGCACCTTTCTTTTGTTTCACAAGAGAACACAGACCAAGCTGATACTGCGGTCGCAAAATTCATGTATGAAGCTGGTATACCATTGACTGCAGCAAATTCATTGTATTTTCAGAGAATGGCTGATGCTATTGCTGCAGTAGGGCCTGGATACAAAATGCCTTCGTATCATTCCCTCAAAGGTAAACTATTAAGTCGATGTACCACTGAATTAGGAGAATTCAGTAAAGAACTTCGCAAGTCATGGGAAGTGACAGGCTGTACTGTCATGGTTGATAGGTTGAAGGATACAGCTGGTCGATCTATAATAAACTTTTTTGTCTATTGTCCAAAAGGAACTATGTTTCTCAGGTCAGTGGATGTATCTCACATTGAAACTAATTTGGATGATCTTGTTGATTTATTTGAGAGCATCATTCAAGATGTTGGCTCCAGGAACATTGTACATTTCTTATCTGATAGTGCACCCTGGTATAAAGCTGCAGGGAAGGTACTAATGGACAAGTACAGAACCTTTTTTTGGAGTGTGTGTGTGAATCATTGCATTGAATTAATGCTCAAAGGCTTGTGTGAAATGGATGAAGTGAATGGGACACTGACTAAGGCAAAGAAGATCTCTCAGTTCCTTTATAATGATGCATGGCTCCTTGATTTGCTGAAGAGGAATACTGAAGGAAAAGATATAATTCGACCTGCCATGGCACAATCTGTGATGGACTTTTTAACTTTACAGAATATTTTCTCTTTCAGAGGCTCTCTTCAGCAGATGTTTGCTTCTAATACTTGGGAGGAGTCAGTGTTATCTAAGCAGAAATTGGGAATGGATGTAAAGGACATTGTGTTTGATTTGCAATTCTGGCATTCATGTGGTAAAATAATAAAGGTCTCTGAACCACTTACAAGAGTTCTATGCATTGCAGATAGTGGAGAAAAACCTTCAATGGGATTTGTATTTGATGCATTTGAAAAGGCGAAGAGAGATATTCTTTTGGCATTTGATAACCAGGAATCTGATTGCTTGCGATATTTGGAAGTCATAAATCATGTACGGGATGAATTTCACAGCCCCCTGCATGCTGCCGCTTGTTATCTAAATCCGTCCATTTTTTATAATTCCAAATTTTCAATTACTAATGTCATTCAAAAAGGCTTGCTGGATTGCATTGAGACTTTGGAGCCTGATCTGACAGCCCAAGATAATATTACAAAGCATAAATCTTTTTACGAAGATGCTCTTGGCGACTTTAGTCGACCAATGGCTTTAAGGGGAAGAGAAACCTTGCATCCAGGTAACTTTGTTTCTTATAAGTTATAATCGATAAGTGACTGAAATATAAATCTTATTGAGCAAATCTAGTGCTCAAGACTCTTTCCGAAGTAATGTCTGGAGAGGATTAGTGTATGCAACCTTACCCAACAAGCTATAGTTTCTTTACTACCTTCTAGTGACAACTAAAAGCACTGTGAGGTTTATAGTGACAATTTATTGTCTAAGTTTCAATTTTCCATGAATGAAGCATTGTTTGAAAAATTGTGTCCAGCGACATGGTGGTCTATGTATGCATCAGACTATCCAGAACTCCAGCGTTTCGCTGTTAGGATTCTGAGCCAGATGTGCAGCATGACTGCATTCAAGAGGAGCACCTACATCAATGACACTGTCCATTCGAGTAAGAACAGAATTGAAGCCGCGATGTTGAATGATCTTACTTTTGTCCATTATAACCTGCATCTTCAACAAAGGTAAGTTTCAGAACCATGTGTTTGCTTTTTAGTTCTATTTTGCGCTTGAGCAAAGAAATTACCTTTTACTAAATCTCAATCAATATGATTAGGCAACCGGTGGCAACCGAAAGCAAGGGCTTTAAGAACGAAGAACATGACCTGATAAGCCCAGACAACTATAATGCAGGAGACTGGATTGATGACCCTGGAATGCTCGAGATGGAAGGCATCGACTTGTTAGATGCTACTCCTATTGCTGCAATCGATAAAGTCGGCAATACAAGTGATGGCAATCTTGTTAACAATGATTTAATCACAAATTAAATGTAATAGCAACCATGGCACCGCAATGCTGACACAGAAAAAAGCACCATTTGAGCTATATTTCATTGTGAAACTGAGAGTGAGTATATGTGGACATTGTTGTGTAGAAGTTTGTACATCTGTTTATCAGGTGACTTCCATTTCTGGAGGGGTTTCTTGTCGGGTTATTGTTGTAAATTGAGTTTTCTGGATTTAGGAACCCAATTTCCATTTTTGTTCTTGATAGAGTGAAGGCTCATAATCATATTTGAACATTATTTTTCATTCGGGGTTTTCATATGTCCATCCAATCAAAGTAAGAAAATAGCATATTTACTCTTCTATATATATATATATATATATTCTTTCAAATCTTTAAATCTTTTTTATACACTCAAGTTAACTATGTTTATCAATGATTTGAAGAAAATATAATCTTTTAAATACCTAAAGTATCCTTTATTACTTTCATCAATTAATTGTTTTTTTAACATTTATAAAGGAAGATTAACTTTATATATATATATATACTTAAATTTAGAACGATAAATACAGAAACCATTGTCTTTGGAAGCATATATGTTTTAGTTACATAAGACAAGTTTAGAGAACAACTGATATGATCCACACGTCAACCGTTACATAAGAGTTTATTATATCGGTATATCGGAATATTGTTTATATTCGGATCGGTTTAATCCGAAACAACGGCGACATATCATACCTCCCATTGGCACGGGAAGACCTCGGCCTCATCGCGGACGACCATCCAAAGAAGCAATTCCACACCTCCATCATCCCCGCCCACGAAAAGCATCCATAATCCTCATACAAATCGCCGCTGGTCTCCTTTCGCCTGCAGAGAACGCTGCTGGGAGGCCACTCGTGCCTCCGCTCCCACCTCCCGCAGGCTCCGTGTGCGGGTCGGATGAGTGGAGAGGCAGCCGTCCGCTTGCGGAGCTCTGAATGCTGATGGGCGCTCAAAAGAGCATTCATGCCGGTAAAGGTTGGTTCTTGTTCGAGTCTTCGCCTCGTCGTTCGTCCCTCTTTTGGGCTCAAGATGGCCTTTTTTCTGATCAAAGATTTGATCTTGGTTACGTATTCTAACCCAGCTAAGATAGACTTCAATGTGGACCTTACTCAGAAACTGTGTGGTGCCCTCTTGTTGCCCCATATCAGGTGCTTCTCCGGTCATTTCAACTCAAGATCCATTGTTTCTAATAGCACATTGACTGAAATATTTTTTTATTGTTGTTTAGGCAATCTACCGATCCCTTCTCGCAGGTTATTGCGAGGTACTGCTCTTTACTTCTGCAAATCGTTGTTTTTTACTCCGAAATTTACATACTTATGCTTATGTTGCTGTGTTTGTTCTGCTAGACTTTCCATCAAACACCCCAATCTCTTTGGAAGAAACGAAAAATTGGAGGTACTGTGGAACAAAGGCCTCGATGATTCAAACATTCTCATAGCATTCAGGCGCCCAAGGCCTGATTGGACGTCACAACAGTCGTTTACCATTCAGGTTGATGTTTCGTGTTTCAAACCTTTTGGTGTATTAAACAATATCTTTTGAAGGTTAAAAGAAGAATGTTGAGTCTTCTTCAATAATTGGATGTTATTATTTCTTGATAAGTTCTTGCATGGCTGCATTATTATAATTACATTGCTTCTTACCTGTGTTGTTGTTTACTGTCATTCAGTTTTCAGTGACTCCTGAGACTGCAGTGCATGGGTTGCCTGTTGATCATTTCTCTCACTCAGAGAGTGGGAGTGTCAATCTATGCCGCTTCTCAGCAGGTGTTGATTTCAATGAGCCTTCTACTTCCCACTGGAGCAGCACTACTGGCATCAAATTTGAGGTGGTTATCACTCTTCATTGCAGACATTATTGTGATGTAAATAAACCATGTATAACTGTAGCAAAGCAATTCTTGCTGCTTTTTACTATGGATTAAGTGATTTTGGTCTTTTTGCACTTCACTAATACGATGGGAGCCATAGTTAAATACCATAGTTTATTCCTTCTTCCTTTTCTCCCTTTTTTCTTCCTTGTCACAAATGACCTGGGAGATATTATGACCTTTTCGATCTGGCAATTGTGTGCAGCATGTTCATCCAATCAATAATGATGGCCATATGATAAGCAGGGATGTTGATGGATTTCCCATAACTTCCAGGTATCTAAACTTCCTCAGTAGCTGTCGCTTTATTATTTAGTTTTCATATGCTCATCATTATTGTCTTCTGGTTCAGTGGAAGCACTTATGATAATATGGTCATTCTGAAGCAGGAAGCCCAATGTGCAATTGCTAGTGATGATAGTTTTACAAGAGTAAGTCAGATGACAACCTTATCTAATTTTTGCAGCTGTATTAGTAATCCTTATGTGTCTCTATGCATTAGTTAAATTTTCAAATGGAACAAGGACTACCTCTTTTGTCAAAGTGGCTTATTTTCAATCGATTCAAATTTGTTGCTTCAAAGGGATTTAAATTGGGCCCCACTTTTTTGGTCACAAGGTATTGCATTTTTCCTGTTCTTTTTCTCTTTTCTACTTTGACATATCAGTTGTCACAAGCAACTCTTACACTAATTTTTTAATCTCACAGCCTGAAAGGTGGTTCGATTGTAGGGGACATGGCACCATACCAAGCGTTTGCCATTGGTGGAATTGATAGCGTTCGAGGTTATGGTGAAGGCGCAGTTGGCTCTGGAAGATCATGTCTGGTTGCTAATAGTGAATTTACAATTCCTGTGGTATGTGAGTCATCTCTAAGAATGCATATAATAATATCAAGTTTCTTTCACGTCCAAGATGGGGCATCCAATGACACTGGTATCAATCCCATTCTTCTTTGTAGAATGAAACTTTAGGAGGAATTAACATCAAACCTCAAGATGAGGTTTACAAGCTATTTAGCATCAGAATTGAAACCTAAAGGGGAGGGCCCTTGTAAGTAGAGATTAGGTACCCAAAGATGGAAAATCCAAGCTGGAGGTTTCTGGTAGTTGTATGTAGGTCAGTTGATCCATGTCATAAAGCTTGAGATTGTCCCACTTGACTGATTCAAGCCGATTTATTCAGGGATCAGTTACATCATAACTGATCTTGGGTCTCAGGATCATTGATTTTCAAGGGTTTGAACTTTGCAGAGTGGATTCAGACTTTGGACAATTCTGTTTTTATCCAGATCGAACTCAGTTATTATTATTATTATTATTTTTATTATTATTTCTCGAATCTTGGTTTTAGAGATTCTTTGGAACCTCCAAACTTCCTGCACGGGGTCATGAAAGTAGTGGCATTTTGTTCAAAATTTGTAATCATATGACATTTTTATCATAGCTTTGCGAATTTAAGATAATCATGGTGACAATGATAATGGCAGGAGTTGATATTTCTGAAGTGAGTTTTGGGAGTCTGTCCGCAATCTAGATAAGGGCAAAACCACCTTGGTAATGGATTTATCATGAATGCCGAATAGCTCAATGAATGAATATGCCCACGTTTTCTCAAGTTTATTGTGCATTGTTTTTTATTGACCTTTCTAACTTGGGTTTCTCTTTCTTGAGAAAGAGAAAGGGTGTTCATAGACCTAATCTAAGGGGAAAATAGTACTTTATAGCTGGGAAAGTAAGGACAAATCACTGGAAGATGTCCAGAGAAATTAGCCACTTCAGACATTTAAAATTAAGACTAAAATGCAATAGACTTCCCTGCTTCCTCCCTGTTTTTGCTTTGTCCAGAAACCTTTGTATAAGGTATTTAGAAGTTTTGATGCCTGATCAACTCTCTGGACCACTAGAGATTGACACCCATTTCTACTTCCAAGTTGACTACAGGCCCTTGGTCCCTGCCTGGAAAGGAAGCGTTTCTTTGTCTCTTCTCTTGGCTACATAGTTTTACACAATCGATTACTCTAAGAAGTTTGTTACAGTGGTATTGTTATAGTCGTTACTAATCTTTGTCCATACAACTGCATGATGACATCTCATTATGCTTTGATGTTATTATCTAAGCTGCTTCCTGTCCCTTGGATTGTCATTTATTGCTTTTGAACAAATTGTTTAACGGAAACATGGTTTTTTCTTCTGTCATAGACAAAGGAACTGGAAGGAGCCATCTTCATGGACTGTGGAACTGACTTGGGCTCTTCTCGGCATGTCCCTGGTATGCTTTCACCATTTTCATAGCTATTTCTTCCCATATTTGCACACAGGTAAATCCTTTTCTTTGCGAGGGACTGTGCGTTTAAGTACCATGTAAGAATCCTTGTAATGGTCTTACATACTGTAACCATGGTTCCAAATCTTCTCATGATAATGTGGGGTGCATGAGCATTCTGATGTTGTTCTGGAAAAAAGTCGAGCTCTTCATATCTTTTTTCCCCTTCCATGAGAATGAGAAATTACTAATCTCAGTGAATTAAAAAAAATATTTAAGATGCTTCAAAATAACATTGCATTTGTTTTTTTGGTTCTATCTTCTTCATTTTGATACACAGTCCAATTAGTTTCTAGCTTAATGCGCAAGATTTGATTGAATCAGATGGAACCATAAACAAGTATAACATTGTTTTCTTGGAAAGTTCAAAAGGTCAATGAACAAAATTGCTAATCATTTAAAACTTCATCATGTCAAGGTGTTAGGCTGGTTGAAGTAGGGGAATTTCTGAGAATCAATCTGGATATTTACTGTTTGCAAAAGCTTCCTTTCACAATTGCGGGCATCTTTTTCAGTTGTTTTTGTGCCATTTCATGCTTGAATGAAATATGCCACCTTGCTTGATCTTTCTTCTCCTACATTATTTTTGTTAACTTCAAACACATTCCCATGATTCTTCGTAACATTGAAATTCCAAGTTTTTTTTTATTGTCATTTTCCTTATAAGTGTTAATCCGAATAGTTTATCAGATTCACTTGGTAGGTTCTCATGAAATACTATGCAAAGTGTAGTGCATTGATGGTTTCCTTGGATGAATGCTCAGGTAATCCTGCCCTTAGACAAGGAAAGCCTGGGTTTGGAGTTGGTGTTGGATATGGTATTCGCTTCAGCTCGCATTTGGGTCAGCTTCGGGTTGACTATGCGATGAATGCCTTCCGACAGAAGACTGTTTACTTCAGCATCAACAGTGTTAGCTCATGAGGTATTTGTTTCAAGTCTGAGATATCCTTGTCAAGCATTCTTTCTTGATTTGCTAGTTTTAGGAAGAAACAAGAAGGCTGGTAAGAAGTTGGAAACTTCTCCATCGAGATCATTTTATGTTTTGAACAAGGAGCTCTGTTGGTTCGAACTGGTACATATCGATCGGTATATATTGGTTGGTTACTGATCCATGCATGAAATAGACTTGGTATCACTTGTGTTTTTAGTTCTTTTTATTAGGATTACCCTCCTCTCTCTCTCTCTCTCTCCATCTATCTATCTACTTGCACTCAGTCTCTTAGGCCATGTATTAGTCCATCCGATGCTTCTCTTCCTCCTCCATGGCCATCTTCTCTTCGTATTTTTTTCTCTTTTTTGCGTCGTCTTCTTCCATCTGTTCGTCGGTATCGTAGCATGTATTGATACACCATGTGTTTATGCGTCAAACATGAATTGGATTTGTAACGATTGATTATCGATCAACACATATCCTTAGTTTAAGCTCCTGCATTTTCATTTATTTTTATAGTAAAATAAAAAAAAGAAAACAATTAGATGATTCAGATTTGACTATTCATAAAACACAAGCAGAAAATGGTCATTTCAATAGCCTATAAATGAATATCCACAAACACCAGCAAATTCACTCTATAAAACAACACAAAGATCAGAAGGAGACACCACCACAAACACAACTACGCTTCAGTGGTTTCAGGACTCGAACATCCATCCACATCGGGTGGCAATCAGAAGATCTTGTCGTACTGGCCGGTGAGAGTGTTCTTAAGGTCCGAGTACAGTCCATAGAGGGAGTACTGCTGCAGCTTGGAAACCTCGTACCATGAATTGAGCACAGCATCATGCTTGTCTGTGCCTGAGAATGCCAACTGAATCCCTATGCTGCAGTCCACAGAGCCACCCTGGCCTTTGCAGTTGGGAGCTTTGATGGCGCAGCCCTGCTCCCTGAGACACACAAACGATGACTTCCCTGAACATGAAGAACAGCTACCTGTCTTCCAATGCAGATCTTGAAGCGTGCCCTTGTGGAATTCAAGCACCTACATATGGACAACAAGATGGAAGGAATGTGATTGCTGCTGTTCTCGGTGATTCAGAAGGCGTGAAGCATACCAGTGTGAAGCTGGTGATGGCATATGAACTGTTGCCAACAAAGACGGGAGAGGACCTTGCTGCATACTTTCTGCCGGCAAATGCCACCATGAATCCACCACTATTGATCTGGAAAGCAAAGAAGTAGTAGTCTGGTTAATGATTGATTGATGTATTTGTCTAGCGATACAAGAACAGATTTAATGTGATATTCGAAGTGAAATTAAGCATATTTATCAGCTCGGTTGAGATATTCGATTCATATGTACATCAAAACAGGGGAGATAAAAAGGGGGATGGATCGTACGGAGGGGTTGGTGGTGGTGTTGACGGTGAGGAGGGAGATCTCGTCGACCTTGGGGCGGAAGACGGCGAGCTGAGCGCCGCGGGTGGAGAGGGAGAGGCGGCTGTCGCAAGGGGACAGCTGCAGGCTCTGGTTGAGGAGGAACGAGTCCCGGCCGGAGAAGGCGATCCCGAAGGTGAAGCCGTCCCACCGCTGGACCTTGGCGTCGGCGCACGGCTGGAACACCGAGTTCTTGTCGCCGGCCTCCGCCGGCATCGCTACCATTGCGGCCGCTGCTGCCACCAGCATCAACGCCATCGCCGCTGTCGGCGCCATCCGGGATCTCCCGCGTTGGTCTCTTGGCAGCTGTCGATCGATGGAATGAGATGGCGGAAGGAAGGGGAGACTTTTTGTCTGCGTTTTGTAGTGCTCTTTGGTCAGCTCGGGTGACTCCAAACGACGCTCTTCTTGTTGTCACGTAGTGATGGCTTTACAGTCTTCGTATTCCTTCCAATCACGAGACGGGTAGATGAGGTACGAATACGATGAGGAAGCGTCTGGTCTTTTTAAGCCTTCCACGCCTCTCGAAGAATTTTTTAAGATTAATTATATATTATTTATTATATTTGGATGAATAATATACTTACAAAATTTATATAGATCTTTATAATTTTGAAGGTGAAATAAATAATTTTATTTGTTCCATTATCGTGGGGTTATATTGACGAAAAATATAAGTACGAAAATAATAAATAAAAAAAATTAATTTCAACGTCTTTTTCGTTTCTAATATGTTAAAATTCACTAGAAATAAAAAGAATATTAAAATTATCTTTTTTTATTATTTTCGCATCAATCTTGTGATGTCATGTGTTTTCCGTTGAAGCAACTGATGATTTTAAGACAAATAATATTATTTATTTTACTCTGAAAAGGATCACAATACTAATAGGGTCTAAGTGCATTAGGTAATTTATAATTAGCCTGATTTTTAATAACTCATGCTTATTCTAATTAAAAAATAAAGGGAGAAAAATTATTATTATTGGATTATCTTTATTATTATTTTTAACAACCCACGCTTATCTACTATGAAAAAAAATAAAATCCGCTATTTTCGATTTTCTTCATTATTGTTTTTTACAACTCACGCTTATTCTACTATGGAAAAAAAAATAAAAATCACTATTTTGGATTTTCTTTAGTATTATTTTTAACAACTCACGCTTATTCTACTATGGAAAATAAAAATAAAAATCACTATTTTAGATTTTCATAATTCCAACCTTTAAACAGGGCGAGATTAGGATAAAATCCATATGTCACATGTGGGCCAAATGTTCTTATGATCAAGTCAAATTTTGGACCCCTTATTAGAACCCATACTATGACACAAACATTGATACCTTATCATCAATGATTGAGTTGGCTTGTGGGATATATGTGGCATGCAAGTATCCTATGAGGTTTCTTATGCATCTCCTCATTTATTAAAGCATTTATAATATGGACTCCTACTGATATATTTGCAAAGGTAATTAAGACACAAACTGTTGCAACATAATGATGGCTGTTATTTTGTCACCATCATTGATAGTAGTGACTGCATATTGGTTGCTATATGAAGTGTCCATTAAACATTAGGACAAAGTGTTGTCCCTAAGGGAGTAAAGAGTAACTTTCTTCTGGTCCTACAAGCATTCTGGTCAAACCTAACCACTTGTAACCCCATAAATTCTTGCATGGAAAACATTAATCTGGAAGCTATTCTTTGGAAGAACTCATAGTTGAAAGTGTAAGATTACTTGGATCCAAGTCCATTATGCTAAATGTCAAGTAATTATGAAAACATGAAAAAAAAAGTATAGAAGCATTAGGTTGTAAGTGAGAATACACTAATCCACTAGGCTGAACTACTGTTTCAGACTAGCAGTTCAATCTCATAGCCTAAAATAGTAGAATTAATGGATCAATTATCTATGGCATGGAATTAGATATATTTCTATGCAAAGAGCAAAATCACATGTCCAATTAACAATTAGTTGAGGACCCAAGAGTTACAATTATCTAATATACCTATTTCTCCCAACCTAATCTCCTATGACTTGTATTTTATAACTTCTCTCAGCAATGCTAATATTTTTCATCATGCTCTTCACAAGCTGTTCACATGTAAAGAGGCTAGTGTGGTTCATGAGTCAAACAAACTAGTTGCAATACTTGAAGTGGAAGAATGAAGAGGAAAAACTTCTGATGCCTCAGTCAAAGATGACCCACTTACACTAGCTCAAACCAATCTTGAAGTCAAGGGACACAGACCCAGAAAATAAGGATATTAGGTAAGAGATCAATAGACAGTATCTACTTGTGCCAAATAAAACAATGACAGAGTAGTTCCTGGAAGAAACTTTAAGACAAGGTCATTATGATTCTGAATGTAATTGGTGCAGAAATTAATTATAAATAGAACATGCAACTACATGTGACTCAAAGCTGATGTGTTGCCATTCTATTCCTTGTGACAGTGAAGCATTTCTGAGTCACTGTCCACACAGGTTACATCCTTGTGGCAGTGACAAACAAAGAAGGTGGTGACAGGCTTATGACACATTCCTGAAGGCTGATGTGGTTTTTCCACTGGATAAAAAAGATGCCTGCACCACCAAACTTTACCAAGGGTTTAGGAAGGATACTGATGCATCTTTAACTCCAATATCAAGAGAGCAAACCTGCTTCAGTTAGAAGTGGTGACCATGATAAGAGTTTAACCAGTATAGTTTGCCTCTGCCGCATGCATTCTTTCCCAAGAGAAGTGATTTTTTTGCTCAGATTCTGTCAGATGATTCCTTCATTCACCTGCATAGCACATGCAGAGTTCTAGTATTTATATGCGCAATTGTTCATCCAAGTGGGAGAGATTAACCTAGGAAAGTAATATTTCACTTTTCTTCAAACCAAAAAAACCTATTAAAAGAATGTAACTCACATGTAAAGCACGTGATAACACAAAAAAAACATAAAGTCAATAAATGTGTAGGCTTCCACATGCAGATCAAATCCTAACCAACAACAATGACTGATAAAAGAAACGTCACATTCTTCTTAAAAGCAACTTTATATAGTTTTCCAAGTGATGCAATGCGAAAGGAAATACAAGCTCATAATGTTGCTATAAGCACATTTACAAGGCACAGAAATGGTTTGGTATTGTTTTCCCACTCATTTCCAGTTTACCCATCTAGCTCTGAGAGTCCATATGATGTCAGTACCTTTTCGATGTATATATTTTACATGCAGGTGCCATTGTTGAGCTAATTATAGGGATGACAAGATCAGATGGAAGAAATGGATGGACCCCAGTTAGAAGTGGTAGACTAACCACCATACCCATTACACACTCAAGTCAGGAAGAAGAAGTTCCTTTCCTACACCAAACTAGTCACTTGTTCTATCTTGTGAGGAGAAAAACAAGGCACAGACAGTGGAGACAGGAAACAAGAATAGCAGAAAGCAGAGAAAAAGTGAAGCCAAAAAAGTGCACGAGTCCCTACCAGTCTTCTAATCCTTCTCTGGTCAAGTGGACCCTCAATATTGAAAGGAAGAGCTTATAGCTATTGGCACACAACCGACGTCTTATTAAGGCTTTGCTAAAGATAAAAAGGAAGAGATTCTATCACACTTTGCCCACGAAAATATTTACACAAACACACACTTAGAATATGGAAGGAAGAATAATAGAAATGTAAGAAGAGAAACGAAGAGGATTCCCCTTTTGCTTTGGCCACACACACTTGGAATATGGACGAATCCCTGGCTAAAATTGGATGTTAAGATCTTCTAACCATTTTCTTCTGTAAGTCAAGTGCTCAATTGTCAACTTTGTGGTAATCAAATACTGAAAACATGATCATGGAAGATAGAATTAGTTCAACCAGCAAATTCTCAGGTTAAAAGATGATGCTAAAATTTACCATTATTATTGAACTCTGTGTAGATACAAAAGTGCTTTACTATCCCTTGCACAGGATCATGATGCTAATAACTAATGTGGATGTCTCACTTAAGCCATCTTAGTTCTTCCTTGCACTTTAGACCAGCATCATCTTTACCAGTGACAGAGATGGGGTTCACAAATGAAGAGGAAAAGATGGATCAGCTTTAGCCATATACTCTCATCAATCTCTGCAACGAATAAGAACAAGAAAATAAGTCAAAAACCCTGAACAAATCACAGAACTCAAGTAAGATGGAACAACACATGAACAAAACAATTGAACCGACCTTTTCTAGCAAAAGAAATAGCAAATCAGGTTATCTATGAAAAAGAAACTTAAAACAGTGCAGAAAAGAAAAACAGCTGAGTCTTGTAATCCTAGTTTGTTTCTTGTGAATAATTAATTCCTAGCCTTCAATCAGCTAATCTAGGTCTAAGGTGCTGAAAAACAAAAATCAGCATTAATCGAAGACAAAAGTGGGACTAATCTTGAAATATTATATAATTTCATGTCAACACAAATTCTGGGTGACTAACACTTCAGAATGCAGGAGCCACTCCCATTTCGTTATGAATGTTGCCTAATGCCAAAAACAAAGGAAAATTAATAATGACAGAACACCCTCAAACACACCCATACCCAGTTCTAGCACTGCTGTGATGAGAAGTAATATCCCAAATTATGCATATTACTCCTGTTCCAAGGTCCGCTAAGCCAACGATATCTAGTCTGGGTCTATATCCGATGCGAAAATAGCTCCTTTTACACAATCATCAACAGATTGATTAAGAAGTTTCACAAAGAAATGAATTTTATGAAATAATAGATTAATTTCATACCTCATACATTTGCCTAAGCACCAATCCCTTTGCTGCAGACCGCAACCAAAAGAGGACTCAATCCCGAAAGATAGTAATATCCACAAGCTCGAGCAGGGGATCAAGGCAGTCCGGAGAGAACTTGCGTGCAAAGAGGTAGGAGTATGTCGAATTCGACCTCCTCAACTCCTTGATTAGATCACCGGATATCTCCGGTGGCCGGTAAGTGTGTGGGTGGCCGCCTATGCTATCGGTCCAGTTCACCCTGGTTAGCGTATAATGAGTGCATCCCTCAGGGTCCTGCATCTGGAGGAGTGTCGGAAAGTAATGTTCCTCGGGGTAGCAAGAATCTTCTTTGGACTTGAGGCATGGCATCTTGAACTTCTTCCACAACCGTCGGTCACGCACCACCATCACCGCGTGCCGCCTGGCGAGGATAAAGAACTGCGAACCCACACGGAACTGGTCGAAGGTCACTTCCGGGAGCATCACATCGTCGCCACGAGCGACATAGCGGTCCCACAGCCCCGGTTCGCCGGAGAGGATCTCGATAAAGCTCCGGTGTCGGCGGCGGAGGACCCCATCGCCGTTGGTGGCCAGCGGTACGTCAGAATTAGCGAGGACGGCGTGGTAGGTGAAGCGGAAGGAGTGGAGGGGGACGCAATGCTGGGAGAGAAGGGCGAAGAAGGCGTTGGTCGGGTCGTCGAGGAGCGCCGCTGCGAGAAGGCGGCGCGCTGCTGAGATGAGCGTCGGCGACGCTCGCTGCGTGGCCTTCGCCGGGATGAATCTCCCGAGGAAGGAGGGCGTTGGCGGGAGCAGGAGACGCGCGGAAGGGTCGGCGTGGACGTACACGTTGAACAGTCGCTCATGGCCGCGGAAGAACCGCTCCCAGAGGGGCGCGAACGAGAGGTCGGAGTTGGTCAGGAACATGAACGCGATCTTGGGCGGCGCCGCCGCGCGTCGGCGGAGCCCTCCGCCCCCGCCGGCGGACGCGAGGGTGGCGCGGCGGAAGAGCGCGAGGTCATCCATCTCGTCGCGGTTGGGGATGCTCGGTAGCGTCTTCGGCGGCAGAACCCGCGGGGCCAAGACGAAGAGCACCGGGACCGAAACCAGCAGCAGGAACGAGATCACGAACGGCGACGAAGAAATCATCGTCTGCTCTCGGTCCAGCTCCATATTCCGACACAAAACCTTCATCCCGACAAGCAAGGCAAAGGATCACGGATCAAACCTTTAGGGTTCTAACTTCTAAGCAAGCATTTAGAGCGGGAGAGAATCCGAGATCGAAATCTTCGACGAAATGGATAATGCGAGGCACCGATCGGTTCGTCTCAGTCCAGATTTCTCCGTCTCCGCATCAAAAATCCCATCCTGCCGCTGGAGAACGGATTAAAGTTCGAGGATTCGTGGGTCGGAAAGGAGACGGTGGAAGGAGTGACGAAGGGTGGAGGGATTTATGTTTGCTTGTCCCTTTCCCCATTTCCCATATATTAGTTTCTTTTCCTATTATCCTTATATAAATTATCACGTTTACCCTATCATTCTCTACACGACTATTTTACCTTCGATTCTATTGGATAAAATTGGCGCCAGTCTGATATACTTAGGGAAGTGGCCAAACGGGTACGAGTCGAACGGGCATCACAAGTGATGCTCTCCATCGACCCGGTTCACGGAGCACGATAAGTTACCCGCGTCGACACACTTGCGGATCTTCAGCCGTCAGATCCAAGATCAACGGACGGAAAAATCATACCGAGTGGGCCCCGCGTTGAGACTGATGACTGATTGGTGGCGCGAGACACGCGGCGAAAGGATCGAGTAGGGCGGGAAAGGGGCAGCGGGTCCGCAGTCACATCCTACGTCAGCCAATCAGGAGAGAGATAAATACATTATTTACTAAATTATTAAGGTGATGACATGTAGGGACAAAATAGGTGCGGCTTTGGATACCGACGTCCGTGCTGCCACCCTCTCGGCCTGCACCTGAGCGCCACCTTTTCCGGTGTCCTCGGGGAGGAGGAGAAGAAACAGGAAGTGTTTCCGGTGTTTTTGCTGCTCCAATGACTGATCCTTATCTATTGCACTTTCGATATGAGTCTAAACTAAGTACCGTACCCTCCATCGCTTCACCGATCCGACGGTCCACATCGGCGATCGGGCTCCTCCATCTTCTCTGCGTTCGGCCGCTGCTTCCGTACCCCCGAATCGCTCTTCCCAATAGGTTAGGGTTTCCTTCGCGACGACGTTCGGAAGAGCAGTTTCTTTCTCGACTTTCCTTGTGAATAAGACACGCTTTTCTGAAATTGTTGTTTCTCCTCATCTGCTGGGACATCTCTTGATTTGATCGGTAGGTAATTGAATCCCTAATGCTTATGGCGAAAGAAATTAAAACGTTTTGTTGAAGAACTTTTAAGTTTAGTGGTTGCATTTTGAGGTGTTGGTTAGCTGCATTCAAAAGAAGAGAAAATTTCTCCAACAACAGATCGGAACGAGTGATTGACGCACATTGCTAGATTAGTCTAAAAGTCATATTGCTAATATTATTTGGAGAAAGTTATTGCCAACAAATTACAGAAGTAGAACAGTTCTATCATAATTGCCATCACTTGCTAAGAAAATTATAACATATTTAGTCATGGGAATTTCTTTAAATTTTAATTTTCATTCAACCTATTGGATGGTAATGTCTATGTTGTTAGACATTTCTCTGTAACTTCTATCAATGTCTGATTTGATTCTTATGAAATCATTTTTATTCATTGCAGTGCCTTTCTTTGTAGATCAATTTCTTGAATTTGCTCTGGTTAGAGGTGTTTTTTCGTTACTGCAGATTTCTAAATTAGGACATGAGAACCTTTTCCTCATAATTTTATTAGGATTTTATTTGGAGTTTGGGGTGGCTGCGTTTCTTTCCATCTTACTTTGGGGGTTTGTGTCAAGGGAGGTGCTGATTTAGGAAATGTTCTTGTGAATTATTTTTCTGAATAACTCGAAGATTGTGCGAACAAAATTTGCTCGATAACAGAAGTGTAAGCTTAAATTTGAGTAGTACATTAAATGTTATTTCAAAAGCACTTCAGTGTATTGCCTTATTTAAGTGTTTCCGGATCCTCAACTCATTTGTTGTTCATATACATCTGGAATAATTCTAATGATGTGCTTTTTGGTCCATAATCGTGTAGGGTTCTCGTTACAGAACTGAAGAGTACGATGAGGATAAAGGAGACTGACGAATATGAAGAGGATGCATCTGAACATGATGGAGAAGATGAACAAGAAACTCCAAGACCCACCAAGGAGGAATGAGAATTTCACATGTTGAGGGAACAACTAAAGGACAGGATTAGAAGAAATCTTGAAAAAACAAATGCCAAGGCTTTTTGTCATTTGTCTCAAACCAATGACAAGAGAAGAACAATACCAAATGGCATGTGAGTAATGCGTCATCTACATCTGCCTAGTTCCACTTCTGTTTCTTTATTTGATCACTTAAGCATGGTTTGATTAAATATAGGTTATTTTCTTTTTCATTCTTCCTTTTCTCTATGTTCATGTGAGTGATAAAAAAAAATCATTGTTGGACTACAGAGTCTTGCGACCAATTCGAATTGCGCTAATGATATAGGTGAAAAAGTGAAAAGAAATTACGAATGCTGATCACCAGATAACCAATGTGCTTATGACATATACATTTATATGTAGTTCCTCTTGGTGATGCATGCATACATTTAGCGTTGTTTTATGGGGTTCTGGGTATATTTTTGCATTTTATTCACAACTTCACAGTGTTGTTGTCACTTGGTTCCTGACGTGTTTTCACTTGATGAAGCCTTCTACACAAAACTTATCGCATGGCAACCTTGATGATTGCTAAAAGAGAGCCTGCTGAAAGAAATTTAAGTGATGAGGAAGACTTTAATTATCACTATCTTATCAGGGGAATGTTCAGGCAAATATTTCTCTCTTTCTTCACCTGCTGCAGTATATATAGGAAATAACTGTTCCTTGAATTTGGGATTTTTCCTTGAATATTACCATCTATTAAATAGTAAAATAATTGTATTTTTGATGGAAGACAACTTTTATCAGATCCAAAGTTTGGTATTAAGGTCTGTGGTGGTCGATAAACCTGTTGCATCTTATTAACTAATGCAAATTTTATGAAGGACAACAAATCTCAAATCTTTAATGTATTAGCGCATTATATATATGTGTCTAAAAGGTGGCAGCATAGCCTTTTGGTGTGATCAAGATTTTCTCTGTAGTTGGGATCTAGATTTTGATATTGAATCCCAACTTCACCTTTATTTTGTTTACCATTATCCAGGTTTGAATGTTCAAAGAAATCTGCCAGTAAAGACTTGATAACAATGCTATGGTCCTGGGTTTAATATGATGTTTTTACCTTGATATCAACTTGCTCTGTTGCGTATTAGTTGTTAGAAACCATTGAAGCATTCTGGTACTGTGATACTAAGGATCTTGAACTTTTATGCAGGTACAATCCTAGTAAATATTCAGGGATTGACGACGATGACAGCGATCATGGAAGTTGGTTGTGATGTAACACACAAAGAAGAGCGAATAAGGTATGGATGCATGTTTCTTCATCATGGTATACACAATCTTGAGCAAATTTTGCACAAGAGGGTAGCATATGTCAAAAGCTTTAACCAATTGGATAATCTAGTGATCTAGTTATGCTAAACACTGCAAAGCACAATAACACCTTCACGGTTCAGATAATAGGTTTAGTTCCCTTTTACTTGTATCATTCCTCACTGACATCCATCTAACAGTTCCAAGATTGCCAGAAAGGAGGCCAAAGAGCAGCTTCGCCTGATCGCGGAAGAAGAGGCACTGCAGAGATGGCTGAGAAGAATGAAGAAAAAGCTAAAGCATGGCTAGGTGATGCTGCAGAGCTGATAACATCTCCCAAGTTTACCTCATTGTAGATTGCCAATGAAGAAGTAATGAAGCACAACTAAGGGTTGAAAGTTAACCAGAAAAAGAGACAGAATTCTTATTCAAAGTTTTTGGAAGAAAGCTCATCGTGCAGTGCATGCGATATACGCAAAAATGGATTTAACGGTTTTTTTTGTGGGAACTGTTACCTCGCTACTGCAACAACCACGACAACAACGACAAGCCTTAGTGTCTCAATTATTTTTTTGTTAAAAATCTTAATGTATTCCTCATCCTTGTCAATGTGATTACAATGCAGTACTTGTTGTTGCTCCAGCAAGAATCATTGTTCTGAGAAATTTTGAGGCATTATTGTATAAATGGCGATCAAATTCTGAAAATAAGATTAGTTGTCTTTGCGAAAATTCAAAAACAGATTTTGATGGATGGTGATAAATGTTGGTAACATACGACAGTTTTATAAATAATGCTCTGACCAGAATTAGACCTGTGTGCTTTGATAATAATAATAATAATAATATTATTATTATTTATAAATCGCATATGGAAATGGTCATGTGGCTATCATATTGACGTGGGTCCGACCACGTCACGATTCGGAGAGAACTACATCACCCCGGCCAGTGTTGAAGGGGGGTGGTCAACTTCCACGTTATAGAAACACGTTAGACCGGTCTACGTTATCCTTCCCACCGTTAAAACGGTCTGAACCACGACTTTGTAGTTTGTACTAAATCTTACCCGATCCTCTTAACTTTTATGACAGCGATGGGGATCAAACATTAACGGAATATCCGAAGTGGGATCCGCCCCGTCCGTCTTCACGGCTTCGTTTTACACATGGCTTACCACAGTCATGATTGGACAACACCCGCGGGACCCGCAGGGTCGAAGAGGTACGGTTTTCCCTTCCCTGAAAACCTTCCTTTGTTTATCGCAAGTATTCTTGCCACTCATTTGTTTCGTAACCCGCCGTATATTTTCTTATGCGCATGTGGGTCCCGAGTGAAGCTACTCTCGTCGAATTGAAGGTATCGGAATGGGTAACGGATTTACGGGTAGATTGTTTCGCTCTTTCATTGTATACCACAGAAAGCAAATAAAAGGAACCCTCTTATTTCCCTCTCCTTTCTCCGCATCTTCCCTTTTCGTTCTTTAATTCTTTTCCTTCCTTTGCATTCTCCTCCCCTTCGCCTCACCGCCATTGCTTCCTCCTCCCCCGATCGCCACCGCCGCGGCGTGGCCGATCTCCTCCACCAATGGACGAATCTCCCGTCGAGATTTGCTCCCCGGCCGATCAGCCTCCGCCCGCCTCCGACGGCGACCACCAGGCCTACCTCGTCCCCTACAGGTAACTACTCCTCTGCATCCTCGAACGATCCCTGATGTTCGAAGCTTGATCTCTTTTCTCGCTTCCGATCTTGGACCTTTGATTGCGTTCTTGGTCCGTTTGGGTGGGTTTCGATTGGTTTCTTGATTGGGTACCTGGCCAGATGGTGGAGGGACGCGCAAGACCCGGAGACGGACAATGGGCCGAGGGGAGTGCCCTATTCCGCGTCCCAGACCTCGACTTCTTACGGCATGAAGTTCATCAACAACATCTTTAGCTCGGATCTTGTGTTTAATCTCCGGCGAGATGATGATTTGGGGGACGATGACGAGGAGAGTTCTCGGAGCCGGTGCTACGCTTTGATTGGTTCGGATTTGTGGTCGCAGGCGCTCAAAAGGTAAGTACATTGTGGGTTGTTGATAGTTGGTACCATTTTATAAGGACTGTTTGACTTTGTTCAGTTTGGGCATTTTTGATTTTGTTAGTCTAGAATGTATTTTTGTCATTTTGATTCGCAATAGGAGGTTTCTAGTCATCTAAACTCTGATGCATTGCTTGTGTAGCTGATGGTTGATTGTAGTTGAAGATTGGTCCTGGTGTTGCTTGGACAGTAATCATTTTGAGATTCTGGGTCACTTGATCTAAAATGTTCAAAATGAATGTGATAGAGAGATTGGAAGAATATAGAGATTGGAGCAAACACCATGGTTGCTATCCTGTTTTTGCTACCTTGGTTTGGAACCATTTCCCTGCTCCATTTTGCCCATTGTAGTTGAATAAACCACTGCTTTTCTCTTATGGTATTCCATACTAATTCATGTCCTCACAGTATTAGTTCATTGCATATATTGATTATACATGGATGTGAGAAGGATATGATGACCTTAGGATTATTAGAGAATGTTCATTGTTATGAGATCTAGATGGTGGGGAAGATTGTGCAAACAGAATGCTGGGGCAAACATGATGTGTAATACATATTGACTGTATCGATTACTTAACGTGCTTAGTTTCATTCTTATCTTAATATCACAGAAGCTAAATGAGAAGGTTATTCCACATTTCAGTTTTGAACCATCAAACAATTACAAATTTGTGTGACTGTGTACATTGGCCCTCTTAGATCCCACATTTGTGGAAGCCTCATGCATCAAGATGTCCATTAAATAAACCCCATTCTTTTAGATATCAAAGTGTTACTCGTCATGGATTGCCTTCTCAATATTAGAACCCATATTGAATGCCAGTACAGCTAGCACACCAGCGGATATCACAGCAGCAAAAAAAACACAAAAAGTTTGTTGCAGTTGGAGAATTGGAGGGGCTCCCATCAAATAATTGTTAAATGGCATGCAGGAGAGTTCTGAAGTGCGAGAGACTGGTGGTCTGTTAGGTCAGGTGGGTGGAGGCTGTGGGAGGAAGGGGAAGAGCAGAGAGAGGGGTTCTAATGTTGGATTAATTGAGGAAGAGAGTGATTTAGATTGAGGTTCCGACTGTTCTGGCTGCTGAAACTCAGTTGAACCATCTAAAATCAATTAAGAATAGGGAATCAGTTTAGTACAAACCTAAACCCGGCGGTCTGTGTTATGGTCCTAATTTGGACTGGTATATGCAAATTGGTAAAATAGGTAGACCATGGTAAGGCAAACCATGTCAACTGTAGCAAATAAGGCAATCCATGTTAACTGTAACTGTGATTTCTCAAGTTCAAATATAGTCGTGCTTTAGGGAAATAGATGCAATCCACACCTCGACAATTAGGCAATATAAGTTGCCGATTTCCTATCTTTCAGTGAATAAATTTCATAATTGACAAGGCTTTATATGGATGAGTGGGTGGACCTCTTATGTCCTGTTTTTCAAATTTCGAAATAGCATTTCTGTCCGTTTCTGGATCAGACATAGAAACTGAGTGTTTTTTGTTTTTTCTCAAATAATTCAGGGTAAGAGAAAAATCAACCATTTATAATGTCGGTGTCCTTCACAGGTTAACGGTGAGATGTAGATTTAGAAAATTTAAACTGCTGGTACAAAATATCTTGAATATAACATTTTAAACAGAAATAATTGACTTCTTAAAGTTCCTTGCACGCAATATTTTTACCTGGAAAACCTCTTGCTCCTCGTAGTTAAACTGATAAATGAAAATCTTAAAATTCAAATACTAGCCAATTTTTACTGCTCTTTTCGTTATCTTAGTGATGTTGTTCTTACCATGCCAGTTAAAACCAATTTTTATGTGAAGTATTCTTATTTTCCTCCTTCCAAATCTCTATTTCTCATCCCATTTGTGCCTATGATCAAATATGATTTAATTAAATGTCAATGTTCAATCACAGGGACTCAAATAATCCATTTGGATATTCCTAATCTTTTTGGAACTTCACAATTATCTATTTAAGTTTGCTTGCGGCCTCTTATTTATTCTGTAGTTTGAAAATATGTGAGTTCTACTTTTGCAGGCATTCTGACTCTGATCTGACAACAAAGAAAATCGAAAGCTCATCATTCACTGATGATGAAATGATTGATGTTTATCCTTTGATGATGAGGATCTCTGTAATGCGGGAAACAAACATATTCCTAATAAAGATTAGCAAAAGGGTCTGTCTCAATGTTTTGATGGCTTTATCACTTTCAGCTTTCAGGTTTTACATTTCACTTTTTTTTTTTGTTTCACTGGCATATCATGATGTTTTAAAGAAGATAACTACACATGATCTTGCTGGATACTTGCATGATTAATGGATGTTAGGTACAAAAGTAGTTGGCTGCAGTCTAACATGCAAGTATTAAGTGGATGCTAGGAACTGCCTTGTTAGCTAAGCTGCAGAGTCATATCCCTCATAATTTGATTTAAGATTAGGTTGTGTGCAAAAAATTAATGTGCCTTTTCTCTTAGTTTCAAGTTCGAATGTCTTGTTTCGTAGAACTTTGCAGATAGTTATCATAATTAGCAGACTTTTACCTTGGTGATGCACATAATTTTACGAATTTAGAGTAGATCAATTTTTATCATTCTGACAATTTCCAAGCAAAATCTTAAACGGAAACATTAGTATGAATAACATGAAATCCTAGGTTGAATCCTTTTGCTCCATCCAGACTTCAAATTCTGCAGAGTGAGTCCAAGAATGCACTATCATCAAATTGTTATTTATATAGGATAAATGACAAATATTATATATGCAATACTTCTTAGTTTCTCTTTCTGAATAAGAAATAGATTTAGGAATATTCGTAATCAAAAGTCTCTAATGCTATCATATGCATGTTTTGTAACAAAACTTTTCAAGGCATAATATTTTTATATTAAACAACCTCGTTTTCTTGTTTTTATGTAAGGAAAAAAGATAAAGAACTTTGATGGAAGTTTTTGTTTTAATGATCATTTTAAACTTTAATTATTTTTTTGTAATTTTGTAAGGTAGGCATCTTTTTTTGTTCGGGCAAGTGCCTAGTTGAGTGCCTACTGCCTCAGGCAACAAGAGTATAGTGCTTACCATTATTTTGACGACACTGCATTGGACTAGGCCATCCATGACTAAATAAATAAAGGATTATGTCTAAATAACCAAACTGGAAATTTCATTTGCTTATATAAACCAACTGAACACATTGTTTAACCACTGAAATTGATTAACTATAATTTTTTACATAGGAGAGTCTTTCTGTGCACAATTGATGCATAATTTTTGAAGTATGAAATTTGTTTACATTCCTCATGCCATACTAAATCGGTAAATTGTCTGTCTTTTAGGATAATGCTGTGGAGAATTACAAAAAGGCGAGCAAGATTTTTGGTGTCGACTCAGAACCAGTATGATGCCTATATTAGATGTATATTTTTGTGATTTCAACAAATGGTGGAACATGTATCACATCGATAGTTTTTCACTTTGCCTTTGTTGGGTTAGGTTCGCATTTGGGACTTTTCTGGACAAACAAATCTGATATTAATGAATGAGTGGAATAGGTTTCCTCAAAATTGTCATCAAAGGGCAGATCAAGAGGTAACATTTCCATTAAATTTGTGCTTTTATGCCTATAATATGATATTTGGGATCAATCATGGTTGGTCACAATGTATTTATCCTCATTATTATGGTTTACTACAAATGAAATTTCTCATCATCAAAATAGTTTCCTATAAATGAAGTAGCTGTGCTGTTACAAGTTATCTTGTTTAACTTGCTCTAATATGAAGAGTGGTTGTGGTATGTGTTGTGGACCATGAATGAAGAAGCAGTCGTGCCATGAAAAGGATATCCATATGCAGTAGTACCTAGGACATTTTAATATTCATTTTGAAGGGATTCGAGTTTTGGTACCTTTTCATCATTCAAATACAAGTGAGTATAGCCTCAATAGAGAACAAAAAAAAATTTTAAGATGTTATGAACATATTAAATGGAGATTGATAGATGCCTAAGTAATGATCAAGAGCCATATTTTAGGTGTACTGGAAGTATTTTTATAAGCGCAGTTCACTAAGATCTTGTGAAGGCTATGGAAATACTGAACAGATATGGTATGCTGCTTCCACAAGATGACTTGATGCTTGACTGCCTTATCACACACAATCTTGAACATCTCAAAATGAAAATTCATGACATTTTTTGTGAATTGCTGCTCAAAATATATGAATGGATTTAAGGTTGCTTTTCCAGTTAAGTTTTATTGTGAATAAAGTATGATGCTATATGGCTTTCTTTCAGATAGTTAAACAAAACTAGAAAAAGTTATTATTGGTTGTGCTGTGATGATGTCTCAAGGATTCTCTTGATTTATATGGCAATATTGGTGTGAGAGAATTTTACTAATATTAATAAAAATGGGATTTGGTTCTCTTGATTTAGATGGGGTTATTGGTCCACACAGATCAAAAAGATCCATGCAACTATCCCCCAGTGGGCTAGACACTCTGTCTTGTTGATGATGGTAACTCCTTCTAATGTTCGACATGTGTTTTATATGCTGCAACACAAGATCAAAGAATCACTATGTACTGTTGCATACTGTCTCTTCTTTGTTTCCTTCATAAATTAGTTCCATAATTGTGCCAGAGCTAAAATATTAGATAAAATAAAGAATCAGACGAGTCTTACATAATCATACAAATTATTAAGAAAAATGTTGCAAATCTGGGACACTGGTGTGCTTTTGTGACGTCTTTGTTCTCTATCTTGTGCAGGTTCTTCTAGAAGTTCAGGTCTATGCAATATCAGAAAATATGACTTGCAAAAGTGAAGTTAAAAAAGATGACTCAGCATCTGATCAATCTAAAATGAATGGATTCTCTCTTGGTGGCTCACCTGTATGCAATGGCAGCTTAGGATATGTGGACTCAACTCTTCAAAATGGAAATGTCAAGGGAGGTGGTCCGTTTGGTTTGAGAGGATTAGAGAATCTTGGAAATACATGCTTCATGAACAGTGCAATCCAGTGTTTGGCTCACACACCGAAGCTTGTAGACTATTTCCATGGAGATTATAGTAAAGAGATTAATCTTACCAATCCGTTGGGACTGAAAGTAGGTCACATTGTAATAGATTCTATGCTCATGCTATTATTTCCTTTATTTTCCAGTATGATATTTGCTTTGCTCTTGTGGCAAGGTTTTGATTTTGGATGTCATTGGAATTATTATGTGATTAAGTTTTATTTTTGCCTGTCCATTGAATCTGGCATTTCTAAACAGGGGGAACTTGCTTTGGCATTCGGAGATTTATTAAGGAGCTTATGGGCACCTGAAAGAACGCCAGTTGTTCCACGGGTTTTCAAGGCAAAGCTTGCTCGTTTTGCTCCTCAATTCAGTGGCTTTAACCAACATGACTCACAGGTTAGTCGATTGTTGGTCTCTTCCAATTTGTTTTCTGAATCTACTGAAGTTATAGCTTGTGTTATAGATTGAAAATTAAAGTTAAATCTGTTATATGAAAGCAATACACTCATGCAGACAGTTCTGTTTGTTGTTTCATAGGAGCTTCTTGCCTTTCTGTTAGATGGACTTCACGAGGACCTGAATCGTGTCAAACACAAGCCATATGTAGAAGCTAAGGATGCGTCTGGTCGTCCTGATGAAGAAGTTGCTGATGAATATTGGGGAAATCATTTAGCTCGAAATGACTCTATCATAGTTGATATCTGCCAAGTGAGTTCTTTAGTGTTGTGTAGTTCAACAGTTACCTTTAACTATCCATCACTGTCAATACACCAAAAGTTGAATTTAATGTCCCAGTACTTTAAATAAATCGAGTGATATGCTGTAATAGTGATGCGTTTGTTCTGTTTACTTCTAAGCTGTTTGTGGCACGTCCTATCCTTTAATATTTCTGGTTCCACTTTCATTCTGCTGTTGTAAAGAGAAGCTAGAAGAAGTCCCTTTCAGCATTTTTTTAACATACTTTTTATTTTTTGGTCTTACAAGTCCTTGATATACTTTTTGCTAATTTAGCATTATTTACTGACCATGGCATCTAAATTATCGACTTTCCTCTTTCTTGCCAAAAATTACAGGGTCAATACAAGTCGACATTAGTTTGTCCTGTTTGCAGCAAAGTGTCCATTACATTTGATCCATTCATGTATTTATCTCTGCCATTGCCATCAACAACTATGAGGACAATGACTATAACAATTTTCAGTACTGATGGTAGTATCGAGCCTTCTGCCTACACTATAAATGTGCCAAAGTTTGGGAAACTGAGGGATCTTATTCGGGCTTTGAGCACTGCTTCTTCTTTGAGAAATGATGAAAGTCTTTTGATTGCTGAGGTATGTTTTCTGATATGTGATAGATTTTAACAATCAATGAATGTACTGTTTCATTTATTTTAGTTTTGAATTAACAAAGACAGTCTTTTCCAGGTTTATGCTAATTGCATTATCCGATTTTTGGATGAACCATCTGATTCAATATCCTTGATTAGAGATGAAGATCGCCTAGCTGCATACCGGCTGCCAAAAGATGCGGAAAGAGCTCCGCAGGTGGTGTTTGTGCACCAAAGAATGGAAGAGTGAGCCTCCTAATCTCATTAAAGTTGTACTCATTTGCATATTTTTAAGTCGACATTTCCTATCAAGTACTTTTTGCCAAAAGTAACTAGGATCTTAGAACCAAACATGACTCTTTTTACCAAATATACCATCAGACACTTGTTTAAGAGAATCTCAAGGATTCATGTTTGTCGTACAATGCTTAGGCATGCCGAAATTGCACAATGATGCCATATCATTTGGGATTGATCAATTTCAGAGGATCAAACATTCGATTTGATGTTTATCTGGTTGCTTTAGTGCAGATGGCCAGGAAGGTTCACATGTGGTCTTAACTCTGGTAACCCTTAACTGGGAGACAAATATCTGTCGCACGTAAGAGCATGCCTTCTGATTAGATAAATATCCTTTAATTTGAGGCATCCTCATTATCAGGAATTAATACTATAATAATTTTTCTAAGCTAAAGTCCAAAAGAAGGAAACCAGCAATTTAATAGATCCTCTATTTACTAGGATTTGTGAAGGTCAAAGCTTTTCTTATGAGTATGTCACAATTATATGTGCCACAACATTTTTTTTTTATGGTGCAACGTGTAGCTCTTCACATTTGGATGTAAAAACTATGCCTTCCACCATTCCTGCCAGCACCAAATATTTTGTTTGAAAAATGTTATCAACTTTGATATGCACTACCAACATTAAAACCGAATGGCAAAAATTGAATAATCTAGCATTAGATTGAAGGTTAATAATGTTGGAAGTCCAAGTTCTGATTGTCCTATGATCCATTACCTTCTTTTTTGTTTGAACCAATATTGTTTCTCCTTTGGTCATATAACTCTTGATGTCAGCTTAATCTTCGTCAGAGAATCTTGGGACAAGGTGAGCATGCATGCTTGATCGTTATTTGCAAGGATTCCTTGACAATTACAAGTTAATATCTTTGTAAATTTCATAGCAGTGAATGAATGCACACCCAAAGTTTCTATCACCTAGTAGTGTCTTCAAAAGAAACACATGCCTTTTACATGATAGTTTGAGATTAAGGGATATGTATGTTTGGAATATTTTTCCTGCCTAAGACACTACAATATTATGGCTGGAATATCTACATGTCTTTCACATGTAAACCCATGGCTGGTATCATGTTGGTCAATTGCTAATGCAATCACATGTTTCTCTTCATCTATAATTCTTATTTTTCTGATTAGAAAATTGGAATTCAGGTATTACATCCTTGGCAAAAGGACAAGTTGGAAAGGCTTTGGTGTTCCTCTTATAGCAATCCTGCCAGATGTTGTTGATGGGTCCACTATTCAAAAACTGTTTTTGAAGCTTGTGAATCCATTTAAAAGAAGCAAGGATACTGGACCAGTCGACGATCAAGATAGTTGCAATAGCAATCCTAATGATGCAGTACCCCAAACAGTGGCTGACAGTGAGTCTACAGATGATGCTGTCGAAGAGACCACTGATAGTGAGGACGAGTTCCAATTTTATTTAACAGATGAAAAGAGCAAAATCATGCAATGCAAACTAGAAATGGACGAACCTGTTTCATTGCCTGAATTGCAAAAGCATTTGTATGTTCTAGTATGTTGGCAGAGTAAAGCATTAGAACAATACGATTCTAACCTTCTGAACACCTTACCTGAGATTTACAAGTTTCGGCTTTTTCCTAGAAGACCTCAAGATTCCTGTACTTTATATGCATGCCTTGAAGCCTTCCTTAAGGAGGAACCGCTGGGCCCAGAGGACATGTGGTGAGTATTATACTGTGTCACTTTTCTCATATTAGATGTATTTTTTTTATAAAATAGCATATCAGATAGTTGATCCAAAATAGTTGTCACTAGTGATTTAGGATGAAGCTTTCTGGTGAAAGCTTTACATATAGTCCCAAATTCCATTTAGGTAGAAACTCCATTGATATTGTCAGTCATTTTCATGGAAACTCTGCATTCTTTATATTTTTACTATAGACTTCTTTCACTGAGTATGCATAAGTTGAAGTCGTGTTTACTAAATCAATCGGACTCATGCATCAAAGTGTTGAATCTGTCTCATCTCAAGTGCCTTACAATTTTCCCTAGGAATGATGCTTTCAAAATGTTTTTCTATATTCTGTTTTGGCTACTGAATCTTGCTAGAAAGCTTTACTTAAGGCACTGTCATAAGCGAAATATTATTAAAATTGATGAAGTGGTTGGTTAGCACAAGTAATGTTGGCCTCACCATAATTGCTCTGGGTGTTACCACTAAGTACTTGATTTGTCCAGCAGTGCTGTCGGTACTAGTGAAAATGATTTCATGCTCTTTACTAGTATGTATTTATGATTTTTCTAGCACCTAGTGGAGTTATTTTGCTGCAATTTGTGTGTGTTTGGACTTGCTCACAAGAATTGGATCCAAGAATACATGCACTACTAAACTTTCTTCTTGCAGGTTTTGCCCTTCTTGTAAGAAGCCTCAGCAAGCTAGCAAGAAATTAGATCTCTGGAGGCTGCCAGAAGTCCTCGTCATCCATCTGAAAAGATTTTCATACAGTAGGTACATGAAGAACAAGCTGGAGACACTCGTCGACTTTCCTATTCATGACCTGGATCTGTCAACGTATATTGCTGGCATGCCCGAGCAGGCATCAAACAACTACCGATTGTATGCTGTTAGCAATCACTATGGCAATATGGGAGGTGGCCACTACACTGCTTATGTCTATGTAAGTTGCTTCTTGTTCTTCTATTTTTTTTCTTTTCTCCATCTCATAATTGTAAGATCCCAAGCTTCTGTCTTTTGTGTGGCACTTAACTGCATCATTGGGTCTCTTTTAGAATTTAGACCCAATTTGTTTGATGTGCTTGACAACAATGTCAGCTTGTGATTGTTTCTCTGTGCATATATGTTCATATGGTCTATGACTGTATGATTTTCTGGTAAAAGCTAATAAGATAAATGATATATATGTCTAACACGTTTTTGTTAAAAAAGATAGGCCTACTGAAGCAAAACTCAGATTTTTTTACATAAAAGATTATGTGAGCATTCAAACTAATTTGATAGGTTTCTCCGTGTCTTCTGCATGTTTAATTTGAGTGGTTGTGGTACCGATGAAGTTTTGACATCATTGTTATTTTTGTAGGACGAGAGAGAGAACTGTTGGTATGACTTTGATGATCGCAGTGTTTCTCCTATTGCTGAGGAAAGCATTAAAACTTCGGCAGCTTATGTTCTGTTCTACAGGAGGACCTAAAGCAACTGCATCGTTATAACGTCACTGTAGCTTCAGCCATTGATGATCACGAAACCAACTTGCTTAGGCTTTCGGAGCTGGAAACACTTATGGTCGTCAGTGTGGGGGTTCTCGCAGAACAAAATAATTGGGCCATTGGAAGATAACAAACATCAACGTCTGGAATGCAAGTTGAGATCCGATGGCATGAGACGGCCGAAGTAGTTAATTCAGGAGAGAATTTTCCCATATCATTAACTTCTGAGTTCTGATCATCTCAGACTTCTCACAAGTGAAGGATGTTTTTGGGTATAGCTTTTGATTCCTTTTTCTCACCCATTATATATTTTTTTCCATTGAGGGGGAGATGTTAGGCCACCATACCATGTATCTTTTTTTGTGATCATATCAAGTGTCATTCGATTTGATTATTTTGCAGTCATCCTTTGCTTGTATAGTCTCTTTGACTTAAGGATCCTGGTTTCCAATCTCTTCCCTTTTCCCACTTTGGAATTGAACTAACCATGGTTAATCTCTCGCTTCTAATTCATTTGGTTTCCAAAAATTGTTTATCTGTTAGCATCTCTGAAACTGTTTTCTGGTCTGCAAATAATCCTGGAATCAAGAAAGAAAAAAGTCGCTATGGTGGAAGTGGAAGCATATTCTGGTGGTGTCTAAAAATATGCTATTCGCTGTCATCCCTATGTATGGTTCGAAGAAAATAAAGAAAAAAGTCCTCTCTTTGTTTTTTTTCTTGTAAATGCCAAAAAAGAACTGTCTCCATGACGCGAACCTGATTCTTAACCCTATATTCGGCCGTTCCTTGGAGGACGAGGAGCGAAGCTCGACGCGGGGGTTGGTGCGATCGAGCTGCCGGGGCGGAGGAGGTTGCGTGGCTCCAGGAGGAAGCGCTTGAATTCGGGGCCGAGGGCGTCGTTGTGGGTGGGGGGTCGTCGAAGATGGTGAGCTTTTGGCGGTCGACGGCGTCCTCCGGGACGGGAAGGTGGCCAGTTACGTGTGACGGCAGTCGAGGAGGGCCACGAGCACAGTTGGGAGTTGATCTGGCCCGAGGAGGGGGCAATGCGCGGTGGAAGGCGGCGGCGGCGGCGGCGGCGGATTGGACGAGGCGGATGCTGACTTGGCATGGAGAACCCGAGTTTACATATTTACCCTCTCTTACTCGTAATGTTGACTTTCACCGTCATCCATAGATATTTAAATAATATGGAGTCACTGTGGGACATGGTTATAATATCCAATATTAGCTATTCCCATCTTACGTGAGAACCAACCTTCTGATGTACATAGTTCATGTGGTCAGGAGCTCGGATTGTGACAAACTCAACACGTCGGCATAAATCAAATTTCACCGTACCAATCTCCAATATAATTAATTCACTACACTGATCGCCACCGGCATCACGTAAAAGATTGGAGCCAAAACACAGTGCCAAGGATGAAATAATCCAACCACGTATCTGTGCACATTAAAACCGAACACTCGTCACGACATCTCCACAACAAACACACGATCCTCTGCACGTGAAACTCGAACTATCGTCATGTCATCTCCACAACAGTCAATAAGAGAGAGAGAAGGGCGTCGCCGTTGGTCGTTGGAAGAGAGGACGCGGTGAAATCGCTATCGTAACGGTTAGCGTCGATCCTCTCCTTCAGACGGGCTTCGCCAGAAGCCCATGTTGGAGAACTGAGTCCACATGTTATCCATCTCCGCCACCTCCTCCCGTGACGGCCCCCCCGCCGCCGACGCCGACGCCGACCCACGAAAACCCTCACCGTTCGCTTCCCCCTCGGCGGTCGTGGCCGAACTCGCCCTTTCTTCTCCTCGGCCGGCCTTGTGAGCCAACAGCGCCGCCTCCTTCCGCCTCCTGATCCTCTCCTTCCGTCTCGCCCGCGCCCGCGCTGCCCGGCGGCAGAGCCCGGCCGGCAGCCGCACCGACGCCACCACCAGGAGGTTCACCAGCGCGAGGGGGGGGCAGCAGCACACCGCCAAGCAGTCCGCCGCCGTGCCCCCGGCCATCTCCGCACACCGGGCCCGCGGCTGCGTGGGCTGCTTCAGGATCACCGGCTGCCTCCGCGCAGAGGGCACCGGGGCCATGGTCGCCTTGGCAGCAGCCGCGGCCGCGGTCTTCGGCATCGTCGGCGGCGGCAGGGGCGAGGCGCCGCGACGCGTCTTCTTTCGGACCATCCGATCAAATCCCGCGCCAAACCCTCGCTCTCATCATCGGCGATCGCCAAGGTGAGCCAGTCGTGGATCTCTCTCCTCTTCTGTCGATTCTGGAACTTGGAGATTCGAAGGTTCTGGGACCCGTGGGAAGGAACGGGCGGAGGGCGAGTAGCTTCGGGAGGTCCGAGTCCGATAATTATCGAGGGTCGGGTCAAGCTGTTAGCCGCGAAACCCGGTCGACCTTCCATATCTTTATCTCTCTGAGCTATCTCGATACTAATCGAGGAAGAGAGAGAAAGGGAACGAGGCCTATGCATCAAAAGGAAGGAAACCCCAAATGAGTTGCTGGTCGATCTTTAAAACAAGGGGTTAAATACTTTCCCTTTAATCGAATTACCATAGCAACGCGTAGAAGCTGTACGGGTGAACGAGTTGACCCGGGTGGGGACCGAGTCCGTGGGATCAGAGTCATATAGCGACACGTCGAAGCGGTACGAGTTGCCCCGAGTGGGGATCGACCGAGTCCTCAGCGATTTGACCCTGCCACACGTGCACCTCTTCCCGCTTCCTTGGCCACAGAACGGGGGCCACATCGTGTGAGCCCCACATGCCACTCGGTGGGCCCCATTGGAGACTCGTGGATCGCTCCAATCTGAGTGCGGGTAGGTCTCTAGGCAACTAATCAAGAAAGGAGAGTCTATGTTACTTGGGAAAGAAAAGCTTGCAGTCTCTTGCCCTTTTTATGTTTTCTACCTTAGTAATAGTATATCAATTCCTCTTAAAATTAAGTACTTAAAATTTTATTCGATATATTTTATACAGTAAATATTATTTTGATGATGGTATGATAAACTCTTATTAAAAATATATTTTTACATCTTAAATATTAATATGATGATAATATATAAAAAATATTTAAAATCTCATCTGATATATTTTAAATACTAATTCTAGATTTACTTATAAAAAAATTTTGGTTTAAAACTTATTCCGACATATTTTTGAATATACCAACTAACTTTAACTCTTAGCTGATAAAAACCTAACAATATATCGTAAGATATTAGGCTCGAATCCCATCGACATTCCTTATCATTTGAAAGAAAAAAAAACACTAGGTGTCACAAATCAAAGGAATGCTATGACTTAGATGTATGTAGAATTTCTGCAAACAAAATAGAAGCTGCTTTCAGCTTTGTGTACAAGAAATCTAGTAAATGAATACAAATTAAGTAAATCTACAAAGGAAAAGGTGAATCTACAATCAACATGCACCATTTCTTCTGTCAGCACCATTAGAATCATACACACAAGTTGCAATTATTCACTTTCGTGTCGTGAAAAAAGGTAAGCACATTTAAGAACCAAATTTCCTCTTCTTTTGATGGCTAGATGGGTAAGCACCCAAATATTTTGAATTAGCAAGCTCCCTTGGAATAGCAGCTCCTATGGATTTCAGGTTTTGGACAAGTTCCCGGAATAGCTTCTTGTCCTCCTCATTCACAAAGGCAATTGCTGTACCCTCCTCTCCCATTCTAGATGCCCTTCCTACCTGATGAACGTACTCCTCCATCGAATTCGGCATGTCAAACATTATCACTTGGTGTACCTTTAACAGGTCCACTCCGCGTCCCAAAACTCCTGTCGAGACGAGGATGGAGACCTCTCCTGTTAAAAACAGCTGCAAGCTTTCTCTCCTCTCCTTCATTGTCTTCTCGCCATGAATCGAAAGAGCTTTTATTCCAGTGGCAGTACATATTGCCTCGGACAAAAGATCCGCTCCTAGTCTCGAACCCACAAACACTACCACAGGTGGTTTGAAGTGCTGCTTGCTCATTAGTATCTCAAAAAGCTTCTGTTTCTTCTTCTTAGATTCCACCCAAATGATAACCTGCTTCACCGAGCTGCTGGGTGTGCTGGGGTTCCCTGCAGAGATACATATTATATGCTTAGCTATCGAGCTGGCCATTCTCTCAACCTCTCGGGAGACAGTTGCGGAGAACATCAATACTTGAGGCTGTGAAAGAGCTTGAACTATTTGCATCACTTGATCCCGGAAACCTCTCTGCATAATGCAGTCCACCTCGTCTAAAACCAGAACAGATACCTCGTTGAGCTCAATATCATGCTTGGTTAAAAGATCTATCAGCCTTCCAGGGGTGCCAACAATTAATTCTACACCATTTTGAATTCGATAGACTTGCCCAGCCAAGGGATCTCCACCAACCACGAGAGCAGTTTTAAAAGGTAAACCCTTTCCTAGTATCTTGGCTTCCTTCTCCACCTGAATACACAGCTCTCTGGTGGGAGCAAGAACCATTGCCAATGGATTTCTCAGCTCGGTAACACACCGCAATCGGATTCCGGAGCAACGAGAAATTACAGGAACTAGAAATGAAGCTGTCTTTCCAGACCCGGTGTCAGCAGAGACAAGCAAATTTCTGTTATCCAGTGCTGCAGGTATGGCTTGCATCTGGATCGGTGTAGGTATCACATAGCCAGCAGTTTCAAGATTGTTTTCGAGCTTTTCAGGAAGATCACAGGAAGAGAAGGACAACACGGGGGCAGGAACAGATGCTCCTTTTACTCCTTTTATGCAAAGCCCAATTTTGCTTCTCAAGGAGTCAATCTGAATAGAGGTTAAGCCTCCTGACCCACCTCTATCATTATCTCTAACATAAAAGCACTCGTCCTTGATAGGAATCTTCACATGATGAGTGAGTTTCGGTGCTGGATTATGAGCTTTTTCATGCCTAGATAGAAGAATTGTTTTGCATTCTATGCTGCATATGTCGTCATCAGTGAGATCACATATGTACTCACCATAGCGACCACAAATAACACACCGGGGCTCTCCTGGAAGTGCTTCCCTCTGTTGCTGACATCTCTGCTTGACCGGGCATTCTGTGGGAGAAAAGAACAACAATATAGGTGACTAATTTCCTACAACAAAGCAATACAATGATGAAACTGCTTCTCATAGATAGCATTAGTTGCAGTAGGCCCTGCTGTAAGCAGAAAAAAGGAATTGTTGGATTGTTGTTTGGACAAGTTATAAATACACCAAAATAATCAAGATTGGAGCCACTCTAACCTTAAAAATACAAACATGAATTCTTCAGTAAAGTTGGATTATACCAAGAAAAAGCTGGCCAAGCTGACAATTTTGATGGTTGAAAACAAGCATACGGCAGTCTACTCGAAGAACGTGGACTATAGCTCAAAGTTGCAGAACTAAATCAGGGTAAGATTCAAAGTTGAACTAGGGATGTAAGGTTGGCTTACATGCTGGCATTTCAGGAATCACCAGAGTGTTGGAAACAGAAGATTGAACTAAAGAGTCCGAAGTCAAGTACCAAATCCAAAATTGTGTGAATTATATCTTGCAGGATTCTTCCCTTAGCAGCATTATTCCTATTATAATCACAATGGCATCTTTCATAGATTTCATGACTAGCACAAAAATACCAAGAAAGATTTAGGCAGGTGCTATCAGTTTACTTCACAGAGATGATAAAGTTGCTAGAAACCGATGTCGAAGGATTCTCGAAGACATTGGCATGCCATTAGACTTCAAAATATATTCTGACCTAGCAGAAAGTTCAGACAGGAGAATCTACAACGAAATATTAGCGTATGCTAACATCATTCATCACCTTCAGCGTCACCACCGATGTCGACGGCTTCGGCGCAATCAGCCGTCGAAGCATTTTGGTCGCCTTCCATGTCAGTTCCTTGTGGTCACAAGGCGTTCGAAGAAAAGACAAACTCAGGCCTCAGCACAGAATAACTCATATGCGATTTAGGAGGGACAATACATCAGAACTAAGTATAGGATTCGAGGGAGAGGGGTTGGAAGATAGCGGATGGCTTGGGAGGAGGAGGAGGAAGAGAGTCGAGCAAGAAGGCAGTGGGGGAGCGGGTGGGAAGAGCGAGGAAGGGGGAAAAGGTGGCTCTGTCGGGAAGACCCGGGAAGTGAAAGAATAGATAAGAGAGGTAGAGGGCGACGGATCCGGCGGAAAGAGGTGGCGGGGGAGATGGTCCGCCGGTAGGGCATAGAAGAGGAAAACGAGGTGGCGTGGGCGCAAAAGAGAAACAGAAGGCAAATGGTACTTTCGTATCTTTCTATTTATATATACACACTTCAAAAAATTCTTTTTTTGCACCTAATTTTAATTTATTTAAAATGTAAAAAAAATAAGGATAAGTATTTGGAGCGAAGAATATTCTTCGGAATATCCATCTTTTATGGGACTATTCAACTACGAAAGCTAAATTCCTTACTAAAAAAATAAATGCTTGTTAATTTCTTCCAAAATAATATAAAAAAATATTATTGTTATGAGGATTCTTTTATTATATCAACCAATTTAATTGATAAAGACTTTAACCAATCAAATATCGTCAGATTTTTTTTTTTTGTAAAAGAAAGGCAAATCTCATAATGGTTGAATAACTTTATGAAATGCTCCTCCAAATATCATAACTTTATAATAACTTTACATACAAAGCTAAATTCCTTATTATAAATAGGTGTATTAATTTCTTCCAAAATGATGCAAAAAAAAAAAGATTGATTCTTTGATTTTATCAACTAGTTTAATCGATCAGATTTATTTTTTGTGAAAAAAATACAAATCTCATAATGGTTGAACAATGCTCCTCCAAAATTCTCTCTTATGACAGATGGGCACTTCAAAAGTTGTACCGAAAGAGAACATACAGAATTTTATTAAGATAAGAGAGACTGTACCAAGAAATCGCCGTCACTACAGACGGCATCTCTGAATCATAATGTTATATAGCCTTCCCCTTGGAAAGAAACCTATCAAATTCGGCAGCCCTCAAACCCAAACAAAACAAAGGCAGAGAGATAGAGAGGGGGGTTGAATGGCTGGCGAATCCATTTGAACTGCCTTGTCTATAAGGTAGAGAGATAGGCTGAATGGCTGGCGAATCCCTCATATTTCTTTTATCTACAATAAAACAAGGCAGATGAGACAGTCTCAAGTAACCTGAAGTTGAATGCTGTTCAGCTAAATTCTTTATTACTGGAATTTAAGCGATGCACACCGGCTAGAATTGCTGGATCGAGGAAGAATTGGTGGTGATCAACGATGTAGAAGATTCACTCGTTTCTCCTGGTAGCGAAAGCAATGAAGTTTACACTAGTATCATCGGACAGACTCCAATCTCCCGTCAATGGGTTGTAGAAAAAACCTGCCATTTCTTGTACCTGATCCACAAATTTAATAACCTTAGATTAGTAACAACTGAGCCAGAATTAGCAGATAACAATGAATTGTGCTTTATTTGAAATTACAGAGATCGATGCTCTTTCCAAGATCAAGACTAGTTCCTCTGGTGTAAGAAATCGGGACCATTGATGAGTGCCTCTTGGGAGCTGAAAAAAGAAAGAATGATAATGGTCTTGAATGAGTCCAAGCAAGAGAGACTTCACTAGAAATGAAGTAATATCATCAAGACATCAACTATGGTTTATACTTCTACCTGATTGAAGATAAGCATTACAAACTAAAAACATGCAGCGTCATACTATAAAGTATGATGTCTCCAGATTTTAATGACTTCTGCAAGACCACATGCATTTGATCACCACTTAAAATGCTAGGTTGAGAATGACAATGAAATCCCAGATGAATCCAAGAACATTGTGCTTCCTTCGACACGAGCTGATGGTTTCCAACACCCTGGTTCTTTTCTATGATTTCAGCAATCCAAGGTTTTGACATTGCAAGAGCCTACATGTACTAGCATTGGATAAGTGCTTCAATGTAATAGCAACAGACTAGTGATGTCACAAAGTTTCGGTTTATAGATTCTTGAAAGGCACACTCAGAATTGCTGTTCCACCACCTAAACCTCTCTAAGAAATTATACTAAAATGCAAGATTTTATATATTTGTCGGACTAGTCTATACCGAATGGTGTTTACCGGTTTAGCTGTGAACAGGCACTTGGACTAGACAATTTCGTCAATAGGAGTTCATACCAGGTGTAAACACCACCTGGTTTTCAAGCTGGTGTACAAGTGGCCCCAGGTGATAAACCTTCCATACGGAAGCCCCATCATCTTTTGCCACCTGTTTCCATTCTGTTTTCACCTTTTCTTCATACACCAGTAGCCCTGATTTTCTTTATTAATTTTTCTATCCTCTTGATTTTGCTCCCTCCCTCTTTACTATGGTATTAATTTCTCTCAAGTTTGAATTCTTTTTTCCTACAAGCCAAAGTAAACTGAAAGCTTGCTATCTTCTTCTTGTGCTTATTTTTCTTGCTTAAGCCTTGTTTAAGACTTGTATCTTGCTTACGTTATACGCTACTCCACCATAAAGATTAGTTTTCTTTTGAAGCATGCATATCAAGCCTAGATTTGCATGAATTCAGCTTAGATCCACACATCCAGGCTAAATTGACATGGATCTTTGTTGGATCTAACATAGATCTAACTGATCATTCGTATGTTTACCTGCTAAAATTGCTATAGATTGATCATTCATATTAAACATGCTTTAGATCTAGTTTAGTCTATGTCAATCTGACCAAGATCAATGCGGCTCCATATTAGATCCATGCCCATCCAACCTAGATCTAAGTGTGTTAGCCAAGATTCATATGGATCTAGTTTACATCCATTGGATCCGATCTAGATTCAGATGATCCAGTCTTCATCCGCATAGATCTTAAATAGGTCTTAAATACATATACAAATTCATCGTTGATATAAATATATATAAAAAAACTAGGTTAAAAAGGATTTGGATGAGTCTGGAACTGGACTGACCAATCCAATCGGATATCGATCAGTTCTGACCAATATCTAGTGTCAGTGTGATACAATATCTCTGACGATTGGTGATAGTATCGGTACTGGAGCAAGGTCTAAAATCTTAATCAAAAGTAACAATAAATCAACAAGTTTGATATGAAAATAGTATAAATATGACATCTAGTTCATCTATAGTCCAAAAATCTTCAATCTAGTACCATTCAGAAATCTTATGAGTAACAGAATATCGTACCCAATTAAGGAGGTACTCTGCAGCAACAATTGCAGTAGCATACGATCTCATAGAACGGTTTATGGTAGAGATAACAGTAGCACCAAGAGGAACTGTCAATGCTGCAAGAGATTTACAAAAATCTGAGGGATCTGCAACATGCTCAATTACCTGAAACCAAAGTCACATGTTATTGACCTGTAGTCTGTGCACGATACAGTCAGCTTTCTATTAGTTTTTATTTTTAATACATCAGATTAATAATCCATCAGGAAGACCGCCAATCATATGGTATTAAATAAGAATTAGAATTTGGACAAAAACATTAAAGACATCAATACTGATAGCTAACAAGATAACAAGGGCAACTAACTCTCAGATGATGTATATAAAAATTAATTCAGTACTCTCCAAAAAGATAATAATCCTGAAAAGAAAGACCATTAATATTCAAAAGTAATGCATCATCGGGTTCTTTTTTCCTTAACTTAATTCAGTTCTGCCTCAGAAGACAACTTCTGAACAAAATATCAAATGTACTTAATACTTATCGACCCTTGGTTTTATGGTCCCTGCTTAATGTCTAGCTAATCCAATCCACCCATTTCCATTGCAATCTGACTTGATAATTATTACGTTAATATTTGCATGAAAGAATTATTAGTCCAATTTTTACACAAATCTCTTACAGCATATGTGCACCAATTATCAGATATATCGAACTAAAAAAAGAAGAAGATTTTGGCACAAATATAGTGCCAACTGTAGGTAAATTAAATAAAAGCCAGTCTCTAGTTCAAGAACAAACTTAAGTAACCTCTGTTTGTAGACAACATACCTCAAGAGAAATCACAGCATCAAACTTCTCATTCTCTTTAACTAATTCCTCTGACAGGCAAAAGGTAATAGATGAGTTTCTTGTAAAGTTTGAAAAACAAAGACAACTTACAATTAGTCTATATCTGCATCAGCATAGTTCAGTAAACAAGATAAATTTGTTCTTTTTTTCACAGAAGAATCATAACAGACAGCTGAAAATAAAACCAATAAAGATTTAAAGCCTACAGTCCTGCATTAAATAAATATTTATTTAGAGGAGTAATTAGTCATTAGGAATGAAAAAACATGTCAATAAAAATATCTTAAACCAATTTTATTAACTCCTGGATCTTCTGTAAGAACACAACAAAGTTTTTATCACGCCAGAATAACACAACCAATACAAGCAAGAATTTAACTCCATATGTGATATACATCTCACATGTTGCAATCAGAACAACTTTGATTCTTCATGAATATTTGCCAATTTCTTGAAACTAAGAACAGAAAACAAGAGTGAAGTTAAGCTCCAAAATTCATACATCAACAATGAAGAGTGCCCATCTGGTAGGCTATAATCTAGCCTTATCCTTGTTGCAAGATACATCAAAATCTTGCACTGGATGAAAAAGGGTGACTTACTAGGGATCTGACTACAGCTAAATCAAAATATCATTGGTGGCTCCAGATGCTTCATTACAAGAAAAAAAAAAGATGTAATGAGTAGGATCTAAGCAAAAGAGAATATACCAGCTGTAGTGCAACGGTATTCAATGGATGATGTCAATGGATCTGATGCCTGTAGAAGTTATAAAAGTTTGCTTACAAACATCAGAATTATTAAAACAATTCAACAAATTATAGCACATTAATTATTGTAGCATATTAAGTGACTAGAATTTAGATTCAGAAGAAAAAGGTCGGTTGCATGAGGCAGCTGGCAGCTAGTGTAGAATATCATGAGATCTCATGTGAACATAGAATTATACTAATTTCATTAGGTAGCTAGGTCATCACCTATAAATAATGTGAGGCATCTTTAAGCAAGTGATTAAAAAGTGCAAATCCTTGCATGAAACTTCCACTAAGGCAGGTTATGAGGAGGGATAATATAGGCAACCTTACCTTCCATATATAGAGATGTTGTTTCCATGACTCAAACTTGGTGCAACCTTTCATTGTACCAAGGCTTGCCTTCATCTTTAGACTAGTGATATTGCCCTCAGTATAACTCAATGAGAGGAAGAACTCCACAGCCAACCACAAATAGTTGGGCCCTTACAGCTTGCTGGGATCTTGTGGCAAAGAGTACAGCAACTGAAGAAATGCATGTGAAGGAGTGCACTAAAAAGAAGTATTTTATCTAGACCAGCTTTGGCCACGACAAGGGCCAAATGCATGAAAGAGCATGTGCCTACTGATTGTCATTAGAAGAATCGGCCTCTACCAATACATCCAACTTGTTCTCTACATTTCAATTTTCACCCTACATCATATCTCATAGACCAGATTTTAACATGAGAACACAAGAACAAACAAGATCACGATTCCCAGAAGAAAAGTAAATCCACAAATTATTCCAAAGAGATCCTAGTGATAAATAAATTACGTATACTTCACCAATAATAAATGAATTATGTATTCTCCAAACCTACTACCTGTACCTCACTTTTCAAAAGAGAGAAAAAACTGAGAAAAGCAAAAACTAATTCTATCATCCATATTGTTCGCAGAAGACTCTTGGGCTCCTAAATTGCATAAAGGATCCCGTTCTATTGTTATTTTCCTATGCTTTTAACTGCTTATTCAATACAGAACATCTTTCTCTATGATTTGACATTTCCACTTTAACCCAACCTTTTTTTAACTTACTTAATTCTCATATAAGATCAGACTAACTTACCTTGCCATCCTCTTTAAGTTTTCGCATAATTATAAAGACCATAAACAAGAACAAGTTTCCAACATTAACTTTTGCTGTCAAGTCTTTATTCAGTTTTTGCAAAGCCACTACATATTATATTATGACTCACGTAAGTACAACATAAAGGGTAATCATATATGATCTATGTCACAAATGAATAGCATGATATGCATAGACAACTTGAACTAACTTTATCAACGTTGTAACTAAAGTGGAGTTGAACATACAGCATGAATCTGAGCAATTTTGATATTCTTTTCCACAGCATCAATGCCTGTAACAGTTGCTCCCATTCTTGCAAGAGGCTAACAAGCCCCAAAAAAATAAAAAAATCATGAGCAAAGTGTCATTGTAAATGTAGCGATAGTAAATATTAGACATCAGCATGAAATTAGCAGGAGATCACCATATATTTGTGTATCTATCAGATTATCAGTTGACCAACAATACCTAATTATGCACCATAGATTTTCCATCCACGTATAAGACCATTAGAATAACTTGTTGTACATTAACCAGACATCCATTAATCATTAAGAATCTTGTAACAGAATTTATTCTTAATATAAGTATACAATAAACTGAAAATTAAAATTGGTAAAAAATAGTTGCCGACAATTTTTTCTCAAGTAGTAGCTTTGGTTATTTGACAAGACTCAAGAACTTAGTGACTTAATTTTTTTTAAGTCAAAGAAGAGAAGATTGATGATTGTAATTCCAGAAATAGAAAACTATCCATATTTCAAAAGAAAGTACCTCTGACAGAATGCCTCCGCCACATCCAACATCAACAATTTTTAACCCTTCAAAAGGCCTAGCAGAAAATGGATCTTTCCTGACACCAAAAGTAGCTAGTAAGTATCCAGGCAAAAAAAATAAAAGGACAGAAAATCACATGAAAAACAAAACAAGTACCCCATGCCTAATCTCAAAGATGAGCATAGAAATGGAACCAACACTATATATGCCAATTTAAAAAACATGTACACTTTTATATTTCAATTGTTTATGAAAGAAAAACTTCAGTCGAGGGAATAAAAGCTTTGTTACAATTGCATATATATATCCATGTCACTTAGTATAAGTATTCAACAATATGAGGTTTGTGTATATACTTGTTACCAAGATAGGAGAAAAGGAAGTTTTTATCTTATGAGCTTTACTGGCTCATAAATTTTTATAGCATTTTCATGTTTTCTTATACCTTTCTTTCCTTCCTGTGAAGAAGACAATCCAACTTCAAGATCAGATATCATTGCTACACATCATTAGCCATACACCACCAATCTGTTGACCACCAGGAAATCACCAATGGTTCCTATCAAATAATGTACTACTGCTTCTCTTTCAAAAAAAAAAAATATGGGTTTGACTTTTTAATGGAATACTGCAAAGACCTAGGACTGTTTCATCCTCAAACTGGATGTGCCTCTCACTACTACCTATTAATAACACATTATGCTGTCTGCATGAACAAGCGTAAGGAATCTTAAGCATGTAGAAGCCAGGAATATGGAAGTCTAATTCAACAAACCTCCTGCATCTGGCACCTTATAGAAAACTACTTATCCAACCTACAAAGGGTCATCTAAACACACACGACCAATACTGTCATTCAGTATTCTAAACTAGTTCTACTTTTTTGAATCACCAGTTACCAAAGCATCAATAATAAAATATTCACCGTCAATTATAGACAAGTGAAAAGAGATTTGCAGTAAGTTGGAATTTGGTTCACTTGGAATTTGGAAGTACCAGCATTTACTTTTGACCCCACAGCATTGCCACCAAACAGTCACAGAAAATATGGCAACAACAGTACATTACATAGAACTATATGGATTAATGAGATATATTTGCCCCTAACTGATATAATATGTTAACCGTTTTCAAGCCAATGATACATCACTTCTGAATAACAGGCAACCCATTTAACAGACCTAAAATGTCGGCAGAGCGTGGAGCGAATGAAAGATATACGAGTTGGATTCATCAAATGTAATGGCTGGAATGGACCTTGAAAGTCCCACCTGCTTATTATGCCAATAAACCAAAATCAATAAGCAGTTGAAGCATTATATATAAAAGTTCAGTTATCTCATCTAAGTCTAACATCTGTTACTATATGATATACCATAAGCAACATTGAGCATGCATCAGTAAACAAGCTAAGTTATGTCAAAGAACTACAACCACTAATGGGTATCTCAAGATAAATATCATCTTCCTAGAAATTGAAGGAAATGGTGAACGTAACACATGAACTTAGACAAATATTTGCCACTTTAGGATGTGTGGTTGTGGACAAAATATCCAGTGAAAAAGAAGATGGCATTGCAACAGATAGGAAATAAAGACTGAAGTTAGTAGATAGCATAAACAAAGACCACAAACACCAAAAGAAGAAAAATAAAATAACACCAATAAGAAACAAAAGATAAAGACAATTATAAAGGTATAGATAGTTTACAGTTGATTTACTTAAGTTTGACCACATCAAATAGCATATAAGACAAAATAGCTATCTACTCAATAGGACAAGCATGCTATATAAGTTTGTAAGGATCTTTACATTCTGTTTTGTCATTAAAGAAAAAACATCAATGAGTTTCACTAGACTACGATATTTTCAAAACCCACAGTCACATTAATGGTTTATGCATTCAGTAATTATATCAGAATCAAGAAAGTGAAGGATCCTGGTAAGGAAAAACATCATGGCATCCTGTACTAGAATAAGCTTTTAGATGAAGAATGGTTCAGAGTTCAGAGATATATTGTCAAAGTTGTTACCCACAAGAGGTCTAGATTGTATCAAGCATCCAATTCCATTCACTTCTGACTCTTTTTTTAACTATAAATTGTAGGCCAAACAAATCTTCCAGAACATTGGTCTCCTTGTCACTTGTATTAAACACAATGCCATGTTCTCTTATCCTTTCTGAAAGTGTTTACTCATCAAGAAATATTTACATGTGCGGTAAAATTACTTTCTTGAGGCTTCTTTTCATCAATTTTATTTCTTTAGACACCAAAATACCACAAAAAAGGTTCTTTCTTAGCATTAGCATAGGCATAAGGTTTATTGACCGATAAGATTACAGTTTTAGAAGCACATCACAATGCAGCAGTAGGCAATGGAACAGATATCGAGTTTAGACTCTTTTAAAAAAGGCGATAATAATGACGAAAAGAATATGGAATCGACCAGGTTTCAGCAATGGCGGCGAACTTGGCGACCTCGGCCTCATTCAAAGAGGAGCGGAAAGAGGTCGACTTGGCACCACGGCTGTCCCCGCTTTCAGTCCCCGCTCTCGTTTCCTGAGTCGGAGACGGCAGAGGCGCAGCGTCGGTGTGAGATCTCTTCCAAAGCTTCGGAAGAAGAGGCGACGAGGCGGCCAGTGGGTTAAGACGAGAACAATTAGGGTTTGGGAGAGAGATTGTGTGGTTGGAAAAGGAAGTTCGTTGGAGTACCCGGAGCAATCTCCAAGCCATCTCCAGTCCAGGAGTGCTCAGAGAGACAGAGAGAGGACCGAGATGAATAGGGCAACTGGAGCTAGGTTTAGAAACGGCCTGGTCGATCAGGCCAGTCTATTGATGAAAAGGGGTCCGAGTTGAATCGAAATGGGGAAGGCAGCAAGTCGGTCTGTCCGAGTCAGTTTGACCGGGTTCGAACATCACGCAGTCTAAGGTCTCCGCACTCTGTAACTGCGTCGACCTGCGAAAGTGGCGGATCCCGATAGAGGAGAAGGAGAGTATACCACCCAAACGGTAGCGGCAGATAAGAGAACAGAGCGGCGGAGGGCGGCGGCGCCGGCTGGAAGAGGCGGCGGAGGATAATTTGCCCCAAAAACACAGTAAAGTGAACAAAAGGCAAAATTTGCCCACCAATTAGAAAACGATCATTTCATTTTTAATCTCTCTCCCTTTTTTTTTGTGTTTTTTTTCCCGCATCACATCGGTGCATCACTCCCACATGTGAAAAAGAGCTCATCATCAAGACGAAAATAATAACAGGCACATAAGACGTTCAACGAAGAACCAAACCCTCAATCTGAGCCAAACATTCATATATATACTTTGGGAAAACAAATTTTGTCACTACAACTAAAGAAAGGGGGATTTAACGCACCTGTTACCTTCGTACATAGGGCTAACGACAGATTATCGTTGATAGTTAGATATTGTCAATATTCTAGTTTATAAACTTCAAACATTTATATTAAAATTTTATAATTATAAAATAAAATAATAGAAAAAAATAATTTTAACGTTCCAATTAGTGATGATAGACGACGTCGCTGAAGATAAATGCATCAACATTGACGCAGATGCAGAGCGACGAAAGGATCGCTCAATGTTTTGATATCGATGCAAATATTGAACGACCTTTCACCGCTTGACGATTGCATCAATGTTGATGTAATGAGTGAACGATGTAATGTAATCGACATCGATGGAGTTGCTGAGCAATGAAAGGACTACTCGATATCTACATTAATGATCTTTTCATCGCTCGACAACTATATCGACGCTGATACAAATATAAAACGATGCCATCATCCATGACTATCAATATTGTCCTCCATTACCTGAAACATTAAAATTATCTTTTTTTATATTATTTTTATTTTTTCATCGGTAAAACCGATAACGTTAGGATAAATAAATCTAAATATTTCACTTTAATTATAAGGATTTAATATAATTTTTTTTAAATTTAAGAACCAAAATACTAAGAAAGTCTAACCATATATAATAATCTATAATTAACCCTGAAGCTTTTTTTACTATAATAAAAAAAGTTTAACTTCCGAAATAGATTTAATGAGAACCACCAATATCTGCCTTCAAAGATCTCGTCATAATTTTTCTTATGCAAACAAAAATTTCCTTAAAGACATACTATTTTCCAACAAAAGATTCAATTAAACAGGGACCATAGGTCATGGGAGGACCTGATTCAAATCTTCGTAAAACTAATTACCCACAGGCATCTAAAAAACCAAAAATAATAAAAAACAAGAAGGCATGTCCTAAGCAAGATTTATAGTAAATATGTTAAACGAAGGACTCCAATATTCTGATTACAGATATTTTGGCACATAAAATACATAATATTTTAACTTCTTTTGTTGGAGATGGCTGACAGATACTTTTGCACTATATACAGATATGAGGAGGAATCAGCTTCCCTGGATTCATGATATAGTTGGGATCTAAGACCGACTTTATTCTTTTCATTGTTCTTAATGCCCCAGTACCAAGCTCCTTCTCCAGATACTGTAATAATCATGAGAAAGCAAAGAAATAAAAAATATTAAAATGGGTTTTCCACTCTTCTATACGATAACAATCCAGGGATTATACAAAATTTCTGCTCAAAATTCTATTTAAGCAACAAAGATTAGACAAAGGTTATTCGTGCCTATGTTTATAATGTGATGGCTTAAATTTATAATAAGAATGAAAACACAACATAACTTCATGAAATGTGGTAAAACACATATTTCTCTAATACACTCAGCAGTCATAGACGGGCTAGAAATTGTCATCCATTCTCTTTTTAACCCAACTACCTAAGACTATTTAAATACTAAATAAAAACATTTCTCACTGGTTAATAATATTTTCTAAATTGTGTGATAATGTCCAGATCTATACATAGCTAGAATGAGGCATGCATGTAGTCTACATGAAATTCTGATAGATTTTAGAATGTACCATATTACTCCTTTGCAAGACAATACATATTTCTATAAACACAATCTACTGAACTTGAAGGAATCCTGATGCATTTTATGGCCATATCTTGCTTGTGAAACGTGCATATAAACCATGGAAGAAGATGATGCTGCTTACGACTGTTTAACCAAAAAGAGCTTTAACATAAGTGAAAAAAATCTACCTTCATTTTCCCAGTACCAACACCATGCTCTCCTGTACATGTTCCTGTTCAGAGAAAGCTCAAAATTAAGAGTGATGGCTGGAAATACCAAAGTAGCAATATCCAACATTCAGATTCAGAAACAGGAATAACTACAATTTATTTAAGTAAAGACATCTAGCAGGATCTCTGAAACAAAAGCCAAATACCGTAAGGCTTCTCAGGCAAGAAAAACTGATGCCCACAAATAATGCTAGAAGATACCTTTATACCAGATAATGCAACAAAGTTAAAGGTCAAATTTTTAAAAATCTTAGGCCATCTGTCTCCGTTACTTATCAAGAAAATTAGTATCCCATTAGTACAACACTTGGAATAGCAACACAAAACCAGAGATGTTTCTGGGTTTAAATAGTTTCTAAATGCAAAAAAACAGGTTGCAGCAATCCCACCAGAAAAGGTAATTACCCGTTTAATAACTGCAAAGAGATTAACATGAATGGTTAAAAGCTGCAGGAAAATGTTAATACTTCTACTTTGAGCAATTACAGAGTAAATTGATCATATAGTGAAGAACATAATGATTGAATACTTCTCTTAGCTATGGTTGGTTCATTTGCACATGGTTAGGATGTAATTAAAGAAGAAAGTTGTACTATTTTCTTCTTAAGCACAAGGAATGTAATATAGGGCAAATAGCCATAATATCAAATCTATTGCAGGACACTGAGTTCTACCAGCAGTATTAAAAACAAATTATCTATAATTTAATATATGTGGAATAGAAAAAGAGAAGATAAGAGAGATAAAAGAACGAGCAACTCCTAAGGGTAAATGTTTTATACCTTAGTGGATGGTAAAATGATATCACTGGAAAAAAGATTATAGACTTATAGAACTTACACATAATGAGGGAAAAAAGAATTAATCATTTGTTTAAGCGATTAATCTCTCAGATAGAATCCCTCTCCTCTTTTTATAGACCTCTAGGTATAAGCACAAAAAGGGTTAACTTCATCTTTCCTTCTTTGCATTCAGATGGTTGAGGATCAGAATATCCATCAAAGGAAACACAATTCACAACCCATATTGCAAATTAATCAATATGCTCTTTGTACTAAAAGCACTGGCTCAGAGCTGTTTTTGCAACACCAGAAAATAGTTCAACTCTCAACAGTGCATATCCCTCTCCCACAGAATGAAAATTGCAAGGAGCCATGAGCTAAAATTTGTTATAGAGTCAGAAGGAAAATGATAAATAGTAAAGTAACATGTTACTGTTATTGACATGACAATCTAGGTGATATGTACCAAGTCTTTTAACAAACTTAGTAGGTGAAACTAATTGCAATCACAGCAAAAGTTATGTAGCAACTTTGTGGACCTAAATAACAATCAATTAACCACTAGGTAACTGGAGATATAGCTGTTCAATTCATCTCTCTGATAAGAATGTTGTCATGAACAGAAGCATCAAAGACATGAGCTGCAACCAGTCAATTCAGCTGATTACATATCCAGATAGTAAGACAAATAAAAGGAATTGAAGACCAGATTTTTGAATAAAAAGAACGGGTAGCAGTCCCAGAGAGAATAGTTCCCAATTAGTTGTTCTGAGACTAACAAGAATAGAAGTAGAATTGAACGATCATTTCTGTACCATAAATTTTGCAATCCATAATCCATTATACTTCCCTCCGTAAAATTTGATTCTTGTCACATGAAATTAAAAATGGTAATATTCCTAAGTACCTTCCATGGATAAGGCAGTGTGAATCATAAAATGGTTCAGTCTCTCTGCTTCTTGGCATTGTTCGTCTTGATCAGGATCAAATATAATAACTGTGTGGAAGTTTCCATCACCAGCATGAGCTATGACCATGCTGAGGGCATCAAGGGAGCAAATTAGACATCCAGCTAAGCATAACAACCTACATGTTCAACTTGGGAAAAGCTCTTCTGAACCTCATGATTTAAGAATTACATCTTGTATGATATTATACTCTAAATTGATCCAAATAGATTAAATAATTTCATTATAAGATACCACAACAATGGAGATGCATCAAGCTCTTGCTTAGATTTTGATATACATTCTGCCAGCCTTGACAAAGGAACACATACATCCTGTAAAAGGAAATCGATTAGTGTGCATGGTAACTATCTGAATTCTAGCTAAATTGAAATAGTATACATAATCCATAAAAATAGATGCATTAATGGGAAAGAATAAACACCTCCCCAGATGTTCCAAATCTTGATGAAAGAATAAACACTTAATTACACACCTTGGATCACACATGTAAGGTTAAGTAAAATTGGGTTGTTAGTGGATAGATTGGAGGATCATGATAGGAAACATATTATAAGGTTATACAATAGTCATGTTGACCTCAAACAACATAAAAGTTGAGATATAACACTAATGACATAACAAGATTTTGATAGTTAAACATTTACATCAAATTAATAGATTTCTACAGAAGCTCGATTCTTCAATAGGTCTAAGAAAGGTCAATAGGATAGTCTAAAAGCTAGTAAATCAAAGAGAATCAGGAGGAGAAACAAAAATATTAATCACTGGGATTTGTTAAAATGTTTAACTAATTGGTTTATAGAATATCCTACTAAAATGTTTCATGCATTTAAACAATAGATGATTATTTGGTTCCCTTCTACAGATTTTAGATGATGGCAACAAAGAGTTTATATAATCTGATATCTTCGGAATGGAGATAACAATTGATTACTTATACCCATCATAAATGGATATTTTCAATCAAAATTGCAGATTCTAGTCAAAATTCAAGAACAACCTCAACATCCAACCGATAAAGTATCCAATTATTGGGGTCTGATTCATAGGTATTTTGCTGCCATTTAGAACTAATTTGAATACAATCTACCAAAATTTCAACCAAAAAACTATACAAAAAGACCATGCTTCAAGAGACAGACCGTAGTTATTGCCTCGTAATTATTAGGCGCCATTGCATAGCAAGCCCAAAGTGCCCCCTTTCTTATCTGCATGAAAATAATAACTTCAATGAGACACTCAGACCTCGGTGAGTTGGATTTAAGCAACGAATATGTTTGCTTCAAGCTCTCATGATCCATATTACTATAATTTCTTGTTTCCATGTTAGTTGATATGAGAGCACATGGTAAAGAAACAAAATGACAGGATGTCTCATGATGTGTTGATTAACTAAATTCACAAATATGAAGTCAAGAGGCAGTCAAAATAATCTACATGTAGAACCTACCAGCACTTCCTTATGCAATGATAATAACCTAACAGCAATCAATAAATATTAAAATAAAAAATAAGTTGTTTACACAATCAGAATATAACCAAAAAATAAATTTAATCCTGAATAGATAATCACTGTAGCTAGTAATGTGATATGTTTCTTAAGTTATGAATCCTAGTGCAGACATTGCAGTTGACAAAACAAATTTTGGAAGAGGGAAAATCACACAAAAAAGAAAAATTAACCTGAGAAAAAGGCAGGCATGGTGAACCTAGATAAAACAGTTCTTAGTCACTTGTTTAATTATTATAGCAAAGGAGGACAATACAGGGTATGTAATTACACATCTATGTTCTTTCCTAGGCTCAGGTTTTGTAACTACCAAGCTCAGGAAAAACAGTTTTAATCTACTCTATCAAGTACATCTTTTCATAATCTCAAAGTAACTACCCAGTGTTTAGGAAAAACAGTTAATCTATTCTATCATGTATATCTTTCCTACCATGGCTGTAACTGACCTAACGTATAACTACCTGGTGTGTAACTACTCCATAATATATCTTTTTCCTGGAAACAAGGCAAGAAATTGCCCTGTGCCTATGACAAAGAATGGCTTAAGGTTTTCCTCAACCAAACCAAACAGTGAACTTTATACATGCATGACAATCAGCAATATATTAATGATTAGTAATGTACATATGTCAATTATGACCTAAAATAATTGTGTATCTTTGAGTTTGGATCACATTAGGGACTAAACAATATTCTAAATCAGTTTGGTTGTTTCTAGAATGCAGTTTATTGTATTCAGTTAAAAAAACCCTCAAAAGTGCAATATGAGATTTGGTTTATGAGTTCCTCCTAGCTGAACCAAAAAGTGCCCTGCATTCCCCAAATTGTGGACCTTGCCACTGAACATCAACATCTTGAGAAAACTGAACTTTTTAAGGTAGGAAAACTGAGACACATGAAAGTCAGGAAAAACTACCAATTATAGGGAAGACTGACCTTCCAGAGTTCCTCTTTAGCCTCAGCATCTTCTACATAAACAAAATCGGAGCCATTATGTTCTGAGACAATCTTTTGTACAATCAGCATTTGTTCTTGTGCATATGCTTCTGATGATGTGCAAAGTGAGAAAAAAATGTCAGCAACAAAGAAACCTAAGCCATATAACACTGAAAAACAAATTTGACTTCCAAGGATTACAAAAACCTAGGGTGCCAGAACACTAATAGCTCCTAGTTTTCCAATTTCGATGTGAAAGAAACACTTGTAAATTATGTTGACAAAAACAATATAGAAACTGACTGGAAATCTAAATAGCATTTAGATTAAAAGTATGAAACATATCCGTCTCACCTGTGCCTATAAATTCAAACATCAAGGTTGGGACTTCAGGTAAATTTTTCCCATTTGCTATGTTAATTGCCTTTACTTGAACCTCATCCAAGAGCTCAACCCTTGAGACCTACTTATGGATCATATACATAACTTTAGTGGCACAAGTTGGCTCCAAATAACATACAAAGACAAACCAAACACCATTAGCACTTATATGAAAAATGGGTACAATGTCCATTTAAGAAATCTATAAAAGAGGTTGGATTTTCTTCCTAGACACACCTCATTCAGTGGAACCAATAGTGTAAAATAGCAAAATACAGCCATTGGATGCCGCCTCATTAGGTGCAACTAATTAACATGAGAAAGTGGCTGCAATTTTAAAGAATGATAATTGCAGTTTGTATAGTTTCCAACTTCATGACAATAATAGCTCGTGTCTGCATTTGTACCATTAGCAAACCACCCCCTCCTTTCAGATCAAAATTGGGTAAAAGAACCTGATCCGAGATAGTAGTCAAGGAAATATTCAGGAAAAATTACTGCACTTAGTTCACACTACCCTGTTTTGAGTTTCATAGTTTTCTGTATCAGTCAATTCCACAAGTCCCTACTGGAACATATCATTATCAGCCAAGGTCATTCCTATCTCAATCTTATTTTACCAGTTCTATCACCAAAAATAGGAGAACTGACTAAAGTTGACAAGGTTTGTTCAATTTTGCCATTTCCATCTGATCTGTCCACCTCAAAAGAAAAGGAAGAAAGAAATAAGCCTATTCGGTAGTGACACAATTTTATCTATTAATTACTTCAACTTGATCATATATTTCATTCTGGGATGCATTCATATGTAATTTTCCTTTCATACACAAGTTGTGAAGATGCAACCCACAGCAATGCAGGTTTTAGCAAGACAGTAAAGTACCTCCAATGAAAATGTAGATCAAGGGTTCTAATAACAGAAAAAATTACCTCCATGTGGTTGTTGTTACAACTGCATGCATATAATTCTGTTGTTTCATGACCCGATAATCTCAAAAAAAAAAAAGGTGGTATCTTACATTTAATCAGCTCACGACTACTAAAAATGAATCTTCAGTCGGTCTTAGCCACATAAGCCTGAGAAGCCACCCTCTCATTTACTTGAAGCTCATACCCATCCGTGAGTTGGCGGGTGAAACTTGTAAAGCTCATCAAACAATTACGGGAACAGAGCTCATGACCTCACTGTTTTAAGACTGTCTGTACAACCCCTATTTAGGTATTTCCTGTTCAGGACCAGTGTGCTCTATTCCGTAACATCCAACTTATATATGGGGGTATCAGAGAGAGGCACATTGATTATTCAGGGCAGGATATTCTATTCTGAATCATCCATACTACACTTTGTGGTACAAAAGAGAGGTATCTGCTCTAGTAAGAATCTCTTGTTGGGGTGGGCAGCACCATTAATCATGTTCCATCTTAGTTAAAAACCTTGCCTTCATTTTGCACATGATAAAACATTCACAGTGATGAATAAAGATTTGCGAGAGAATAACATGATACATAGCAATTGTTTGATAAAGTGACGAAAATTCATGGTTTTAGACTTTTAGTTTTACCTGTATCCCAGAATGCATTGTGGCTATGGCAACATCAGCAGCTTCCTTTATTGTCTGAAAATTACACATTGCAACCTAATGTAGCACAGATATCTGTGATCAGATAGTCAACACCACAAACTAGTTCAAGAAAATATTGCAAGATAGATTGGTTTCAAACATTAAAAAAACAAAGAATAATTTTAAATCAGAAATACAAGAACAAATTCATGAAACAAGTACAACAATTTTTAGTAACTGAGCAGGACGATAAAGGAACTACAGAGAAAACAAAATGTAGAATAGCTAAAAACTGTTTCATCAGACAGACTGACAGAATGAGAGATAGTACCAAGTAATACAAGGCCCATTCGGTTTTGCTCAGTTTTGACCCTTCAAAATAACATTATTTCATATAACCAACCAGGCACATAGAGTATGATCATTCTACAAGCTTTAAGTAATGATCTATCATGACATCTAAATTACTTACTGGTTTAGTTGACCAAATATTAGCCACTTCAGTTGCAATTAGTCAACTAAAATTATACAGTATAAGATGGATGGAAAGGAAAACAATGAAATGACAGAGAAGCCAAAACAAGCAATTGAAATAAGTGGAATGGACAAAACAAGCTCCATATAACAAAACATTCATTGACAGAAAAATTAGAAAGTACAGAACAAAATGAAAAAAGTTATGCATAGCAACAGAATTTTCAAATTAGCCCAAACTAAGAGCATGGTGAACAACAATTGATGGAATCAAGGACTTTATTCATAAATAGACAAAAAATAAAACTCACTAAAACTGATAGACCATTTAAAATAGGGTAAAGGCATGGTTTACAAGATCAACATTAGGATCAGGACCGGGATTGGGAACTAACATAGACATATTCAGGATTGGTGAAATCGGTCAGATCATACCTATAATATCAGGATCAGACAAGAAAGTAGTTAAAAAAGAAGTCAACAACTATAAAAAAACTCATAGACTTAGGAAAATAAATAAATTTAAATTTGAGAAATAGAAAATATATGTGCTAAAGACTCTTTCATCTTTATATGTATAAGATATCTTTCTTATCAAGAAGCACATCAAACTTGTATATAAAACATTAAAAAAAGGTTATAAAACATAACAATAAAAATTATAGAGAATAATTCATTAAATAACTGATTGTGTAATTAATAGTAATAATAATAATATAATAATAATAACAATAATAATAATTACAAATATATTATTGTAGTACACAAGTATTATAAATCATATCAAAGACCCAAACTTATCAACTTGTAGATTAGAAAATGAATATAAACCCTATTGTGAGTTAAATCTTATATAGTCATCAAACTCATCATGCAGGTGAACAAGTAACCAAAATAACAATAATAATAACAATAATAATAATAATAATAATAATAATAATAATAATGCCTATGGTATTTTCATTCTGTGTTCTTTAAGAGGTGGGGTCTATTCTATACCCTTCTTTTTAGTCTTCTTATACCTTTTTCTCTATTTCACATGATGGTATATGATGAATAGTGCAACAGCGGTGGACAAGAATATTGCGATAGTTGCAACGGAAAGCAGACAACAGTTGTGTCTCCTCTGTTTCACATTTAAAGTCATCTCCTTGTTGATTTTTCTATACCTTGACCTATATTTTCTTTCCTTTGTCCTCTTACTAGGTCCTTTTATTTTCTCTTTTGAGGCTATGAAATTGGCTTAAATCAACCAAGTCTGATTGAGCTCAACTGAAAACAGTCATTTCCCCACTGATTTCTTCCCATGGCCAAAACCAGATCAAAATCAGGTTGGCCTTGGATCATACAATATAAGAATATTCTAAATACTGCACATTATAAACAAAAGTACAAGGAACATTATGTAATATGTTCACAATCGATAAGCAACAGCAATACAGAATAGTATAATGGCATCCTTAACACCACAATGTCAATAATTGCTTGCAACGATGAATGTGACAATATAAAATATTGTAGATGGATATCACCAGAAATCTATTTGACAGAAGGGAATAAGGGATACCACTGAATGTTGAGGAAGCCTTTGAAGTCGCAGTGTAACTTCTGTTATTATACCTAAAGTGCCTTCACTTCCAATCAACAAGCGAGCCAAATCATATCTGAGTAATAAAGACAGATAGTCAATAACAAAGACTTGTTAGACAGTCCTTTCTAGTTTCTACTTAATATAATTTGACATAATGATGAAAAACTCATGGACCAACACCAATAGGGACCTAGAAGCAGCTTTAGAAAGCGAAAAACTATAGGAGATTCAATGCTAGGATAGACAAACTCCAAGAAATAATGGCCTCCCAACTCCTAACTGTTCCCAGATGGGAGGCACATCAGTTATTTAAATTAATATAGGAATAAGCATCTTAGTATATCAAACTCTAAAATTTATTTTTATAACTGTGGCAAGAAATATGGAACAAAAGAACAAAAAAATCAAGGATTTCTAAAATTTATGTTATCCTTAAGATCAAGGATTTAAATCCAGATATGACATCCTATTTCACGACCAACCAGACAGGTATGGTACAATACACAAGGCTGTATATTACCTGTACTGCCTAGTGTTACCAAAAATATATAATAACAATTTCATACGACTGATACTAATCTTGACCCCATACTGGTCCCTAATTAGACTGGTAAAATTGGTTGGTACATACACTCTAAGCTGTATTTGAAACCTTGCTTTAGACTTCACTTGATGGGCTCCATAGGTCCAAGTAGTAGAGAGATCTGTTCGTCTATGACACCCATGAACCATTATTTTTATCATCATGAGATATGTTTTCTTGCTTTATGTGCTACAATACTTATAAATTTAGAATGGTGTTGGACCTAGGTTTGTGCTAAGAACGTGGGACTAAAGCCTTATATAAATGAAATCTCAAGAAGACCAATAATGTACCCAACATCCTAGCAATCCCTTGTACAAAATCTCCACCACATATTTCATCACTCATGTTTTCTACTTTTCAGCAGAAGAATCTATAGCCTACCCAGCAGCACTCTTTCGAGCTCGTGAACCAGTCTTGACAACCTCACCGTTTGCTAGAACAGCCTGAAAGAAGGGCAGCTGCTTAGTGAATATGCACCAACTTGATCAAGAAGACATGAAAACAAACAACTATACCTGAAGATTGATGACATTTTCTCGCATTGTTCCATACCTGAAAACTGATAATTAATTGACTAACAGAAGACATCTTAGCATAAATTACATTGTGCAAGTGCTAAAGATTACCTTAATAAAACAGTGACACTGTCAAAAAAAAAAATCATGTTTCAGCTAATAAAAGTTCACGAGAGATACCTTACAGCTAAAGAACCAGAGCAGCGTGTAGCACACATACCTCCTATAGTAGCCCCAGGCCCTGCATTTCGAAAGCTGGTCAGATGTAATAAAATAAGCAACATATGGTGCATAACAAGATCCAGTAAACAACACCAGAATACTAAGTACCTAGAGACATTCCATTAAAAGGCCAGGTGTTATAAGCTAAGCTATAAAGTCTAAAAATATTTAATCAGTCTTCTCACATGAAGTCAACCCTACATTGTTCTGAGTTTTTGGTCCTGAAATACTGACCACGATAGATGACAAACAATATGGTCTATACCAAGGTAGTCTTTTTTGCCCAGGCCAGTACATACCGAACTGGTATATAACAGTACTATATATATACACACACACACATACTTTTTTGCCCAGGACAGTACATACCAAACTGGTATATACCAGTACTACACACACACACACACACACACACACACACACACATATACCTCACCACCCCCCTACATGCCTTCCCACCACCCACCACACATCACTGACCGGGTATGCTCCTCCTCCTTTTCTTTCTTCCTCTTCCTCCTCCTCTTCCATCACCCCCTCCACTTCTTCCTTCCTCTCCCTCCTGCTCTTCCTCCAATGGCCTCTTCTTTCTTTCGCTTCACCCTCTTCTATACATACTACATGTCAGTGTTCTGTGTATCAGTACACCAACAAAAGTGGGTACATACTGGACCGGTCAGAGACCGTATAAAATTGCAATCCTTGGTTTATAGTTTATACAGCTAGCAGGCACTAGAAAATCTTAAACACAATTATGCAAGAGATTGTATACCCCCTGGAGCTTAAAAGAGTATGGTTATAGGCTAGAACAATAGGTCTGACATAGATATTTTTAAAAAAGTCGAATAAACAAACAAAAAGACCAGTTGTCTTCTTAAGTAGGAAAGAAGTCAATATGTACTGAGCTCCAGAACTTATGACAAATAAGAGCAAAAGAACTTCTATATACCTGTATTTTACAGCATAAAAGCAAAAAAATGTATTCGCTACAATAATAAGATACACCTGTATTTTACAGCACAAGTTCATTCACTACAATAAGTTACTGACATTTTTTAGAATCATAATTCATTCATCTGAAAAAGATGGACCACCAAATAACCAGGACACTGTCACATGAAGGTTTACTCGAATATTTGACTGGCTTGAACTCCACATTCCAAATGAAACCAGCTTCAAATCTCCACACCTTCAACACACAGGATGATCATGACATTAAAATGAAAAGAAAAGGTAGTTCATCTGAAGTCATGCTACTTGTTGCTAATGTCTTGTATGATCATAATTTTGAGAGAGCTTGTTCTATTCTCTTAATGGGATTTTTTTTGCCATTGAGAAGAACACCTAAATTCTGCAACAAAGATTGTAGTCTTCCCATTTTCCAGACTCTTCTCACATCCAGGTGTATTTTTGAAAGTTGCCCTAAGATTGCAGGAGTTTGAACTACAACCAAAACATGACGCTTTCAAGCTGCTCGATAGTTGTTTAGATTTTTAGCGAAAAAACTTCCTGCTTAATTCAACAGAACTGCATACTAATTCCACATCTTGTAACATGAGATAATTCGAGATATGAAAAAAGAAGAAACATTGTTCACCAAAAATGTTCCAAATTAAAAGAAATGAACAGGAAGAAAAGTATTCAGTGACCTGGATCTAGTGGGAAAAAAAGGCCATATGGCTTCAAATACTCATTCAGTTCAATCCATCCAATCCCTGGCTCAACAACTATATCCAAGTCATCAACATTGAGTGATTTAAATTTCTGTCACAAACAGCATAAAATGGTTAGAGGCATTATCTGTGAATAAGGTCAATCCAGTTTTGAAAGTAATAAGTCATGGAGCAAGAGGTATATGGGAATGATACATTTCTATCCATTTCAACGAACTTCAACGGAACAAGTTGCCTGATTATCCGAGGAGGAACAATTATATATATATATTTTCTGTAGCCATACATCACATGGAGGTTGTCTATCTATAAGCTCTTTCACCCATTCCATATCTATTAACAAATCAAGAACTTATTAAACAAAATTACACCACAGAGACATCATATCACACACTACATGAGGATGTCCAGCATCTCTGAAAATAATTTTGAGAACTTAACAAAGTTTTCAAGTCACCAGAATTTCTAGGAAGGCAAACCAAAAGAAAAGAAATATTTAATATGCAATAAGTGCAAACAGCTGTCAAACCCCATAAAGCTTAACTCTCCTCTAGCACAGGATTAATGAAATAGCATATAATCACAGTTACACAAAACAGATGAACAAACAAAAAACACAACTCAAAGGAAAACCTTAAGCCAATGTCACTAACTAAACCCATTCTTTCAGTGAGAAACAACAAAACCAAATAAACTTGATTATAGGCATTGCAACAGCAGAGATGGAGCTTGGATATATAAATAGAACAAATTCATAAAAAACACATTTTCCCTCTTAAAGTTCAGTCATTAGAGCAACATAGCTGATTTTGGCATTTAATCTCATAAAAACCTATGATTAGATCATGTAACACCATAAACACATTTAAAGGACATATGTTTATCAAATCCATTAGAAGTAGATCAACCGTCCTTGTAGATAAAACTTCATTTGGGACTCTATAAATATTAAGTATGAAGCTTACTTTCATTAGTGACATGTCAATGCATACACCTCCATGAGGGGCTAAAGTTTGCCCCTCAAGTGAAGTTGCTCCACCATATGGAACGATAGGAACCTGCTTCATTTAGATACCCCAAAATAAAGTTTCGATCAGTATACTTTGTTCCAAAATTTGATTTTCTTAAAGTGAACTTTCAATCGACTTGATCTGTTTAAATTTTATATAAAGCATGCATCAACATCAAAATTTGGAAGCAGTAATTCAAATTTACAAAAGGAAATATAGCCCAGCACCATTGTTCAGAGGGGCACAATACCTTGTACTTATTACAAGCTATTACAATTTTCTGGACATCATCCTGTGATCTGCATTAAAGAACAAGATAATCAAACCTGATCTCAAAGACACGAATTGGAAGAGATGTACAACATACATGCATGTATGTTCCAACAATGCTCAGTTTTAACAACAATAAGCATGCCAACTCTCGGATCAATCGCTTTCAATAACTACAAAGTTTGAGTTCTGTTTAAGATTAATGAACTCTGTGAGTGTTGTAAGCGTGGACAATCTTCTTCTCAATGCTATATAACTCCCACGTACAGATCATCTGAGTTCAGATCTACAAAGATAATTCCACAGCATCACCTTTCATATTTCCCTCTCTGGTTCAACACGTGACTAAAAAGGATAAGAGAATTTTCAGTGTGTAAAAACTGGATAGCCAAACACAAACTCTTAAGTTACATAAGCTCAAAACAATAATAGATATTCAAATCTCTTACGAACAGTCAACGATGGAGTACTAGGACGAGAATACCTTATGCAAAAAGGGTTGGTACCTCGGGAAGACAATCACATCAGGAACATTCACAGCTCTGTGGAAGCTGTTCAGCGGCTTCCCATGAAAGCACCGCTCTTCATAGTCCAGTGTCATGTTGTCCTAAGCACCAATCACAGCAAAGCAATTAAATAACCGCCAAAAACAAAACACCACCACCTCAAAACAATCATAATCATATCATTACCCGTAGAATATCCTTCAACTCCTGGATGAACTCATTGGAAACCTTCCTATGAATACCCTTCGCCACCAGATCAGTGCTATCTTTCCCTCCGAGGCTGATTCAAGCATAACACGGTAACATCAATCCGAAAAAGAGTCGGGGAAGAAAGAACAAGGGAAAGGGAAAGGGCAGAACACCGGAGATCGAGGCCGGGATCGCAGAGGGAAGAGGAGGCCGTGAGGCGAAAGGGGTCGAAGGCGAGGGCGGCGCCGGCGGAGGCGGCGACGGCAAGGGGGATGAGGGCGGCGCGGGCAAAAGAACGAAGGCGATCTCCGGAGGCGTCCGATCGCAGAGGGTGGGAGCGGAGGGTTTGATGGAGGCGGGCTTTGCAGGAGGCGGCGAGGCGAGAGAAGGAGAAGCACCTCATCGCGCGCAACGAAAATTGATATCAACCTATGAAACTAACGGAGCAATCAACTTGCTAGCACAAGTGTAAGTATTCCAAGCAATGACGGGTCAGAACACACATTTAATCTAAAGTTCGAATTTGGAAGAAGCGTACTTTCCTCTTATAAATTTTAATGAAGCTGTTTTTTTTTTCGATAAAAAGATAATAAGTTTGAGAATTTTCTACCTACCAATAACTTTTAAAAAATTTAATCTCCATTAGCCATTATCGCTCCACCCATCGCCCTCCCTTGCTCGCGTGTCTCTATGTGCAGGTTAGCCTCGTTAGCCATACTCATGCTAATCCCATCAACCATCCCTCTCCAAGTGTGCAACAACCCTGGGGTTCGGTGAGAGCAGTCAAAGTTGGCATAGGCAGTTTATACCCGTGACACTTCTAGATCCAAAGAGAGTGTAGGGGTGATGACATTAGCAACACAAGGAGGAAGAGGCAAGAACAAGTCCAATGAAAGCCAAGCCAAGGGGCGCTTTGCAAGAATTTTTCAAAGTTAAAAGTATTTTTTTAAAAATTCTCAAATTTAAGATTTTTTTAAAAAAATCACCATTATTTTTTTACACATTTATCCTTGAAAATTTTACAGATAAAAGCCTTTACTCATTTTACAGATAAAAGTCACTGGACATGCTCTACAATGTCTCATTCTCATTTAGCAGGTGAATTCAAAATAGCATTTCCCAAAGAAATGTAATCATATCCTGAAAACAAAATACTCTGTTCCCATCTTAATAATCTCATGATTCTGTAATCAAATAAGAATGATCGTAGCATGTACGAAACTCAATTGAGTTCAGGCTTGCAAAAGAACACTAGACAAAACAAAATTAAGCCACCTCATTGATCTCATGAATTGCAATCTGCACATGCTGATAATGTCTGAGATCCAAGTTGGAATCACAATTAATTAGAAAATTATCCATGCCACTGAAAAACTGAGGTATAGAGACACCACCCAGGAAGTTTGTTTTCTCACGATACTGGCAGCAGATGATAGCCTATAAACCATAAAAATGAAAAGGGAAAAATAAGTAGTTAAACTATAAAACTTTCCCTAACTTGAAACTGAAATCAACTATGCAATTCTTGTAGGAACCATTATCCCACTCGTAATATTTCGTTAGAGATGTGTAATAACCTATGAAAAGGAACTATTCAAGGGATAGAGTTCTACCTCCCTGATGTAGGCTTAGTTGTTAAGCCAAAGCCAAATGGAAATAGTGGATCATAGTGCTTATCCCCAACATTCATGGGGAGTTGATCCACAGACTTGAACCAGGTTCGGGAAAGCTTTCCTGTGAATCCATAGTCCCCATAGAGAACATCAGTGAGACCTTGGCCTTCAGACCCAGGAAGCCAAGCCGCAACAAGAGCATCCACCAAGGGAACATAGGGCTCAATCACGACAGGCCTGCCAGAGATGATAACAACAACACATTTGATGGTACCGCACACAGTCTGAATAATGCTTGGGGCAGGGTCTGGAAGCTCGAGGTTGAGGTTGTCGCCAGCAGTTTCAGTATAAGGTGGTTCTCCCACCACAACAATGGCATAGGAGAAGTCATTGCCTTTGACAATATTGCTATCAGGGTTCTCGGAGTAGACAACTTCCGTTGAAGGGTCAATAGCAGATCTAACAGCATCAAGTATGGTTGTTCCTGCATGGAAGACAATGTTAATTTCAAAAGCTATAACTATAGTGCCATAATTCTTTCAGAAATACATCAAGCATTTGTTCTAATTAGTAATTACATGCATTCTCCTAATCAAGCATTCTCCTAATGAGGTCTCTGGTGGAATATTATCAGGAGAATACCCGTGAAATCTCCATAACAAATAGACTGAAACAAATGCAATCATACGCCAGCTGACCCACTGTGATCATATTAACCCATCTATATGTTCATCGCTGTGAGACAAGCATCAAATTTTCAAACGATATTTCAAGTGACAGTCATCATCATGAATCCTATTTCATGTATATAAACTATAATGCAACAAATATTAAACTTATCGGGTATAAAATCATATAAGCTTTATGGTCTTTATTCACAAATTGGTTGCTCAAAAAAAGTTGAGATGTGACCCACGAGTTTTCATGACACCATGCAAGACTAAGATGATAGAATAATACTAGTATTAGTTAGCTAAACTGTCAAAAAAGAGGTAGTTTAATATAATTAAAAAGAACTTCTAAAATGTTACGATGAATATGCTGTTGATACTTATGGATATTGTTTGTAAGAGAAGGGTTTAAACTGAACTTCAAATTCATACGCAGATGAGTTTGAAGAGTTCTCATGCTTAATGGTAGAGCAGACCATGTCATCTTAATTTCTATTGGTACTAATTGTTCAAGATTTATAATTCACATGTTAATCCAAAGGTTCCTCTTTCATTGAAATTCCACACTTAGTAGGACAATGACTACAACTAGCTGATCAAGTGTATATTATATGAATACAACTAGCTATGTTGGTATGCAGAATGACAAAGGTTAACTTATGAAGAATACTCACCAACTGTGATGTTTCCACTATCGCCTTGCCATTCGATTGTCCATCCACCACATTGATAACCCAAATTGCTAGCATGACTTCCGGCGATAAGGATCTTTGCAGCCTTTTTAGGGAGAGGCAAGAATGAATCATTTGTAGATTTGCCATTTTTCAGTAGCACAAGTGATTTTCTAACAGCTTCCCTTGCCAAGTCTCTATGCTCCTGATTAAATGCCAAACCATATAAGAGGTACTTCTGAAAACCAAGACAATTCTTGGAACAGCAGGGAAAAATTATAACCTTCTTTCCTAGCTGATCAACCAAGCTAAGATCAGCCAGAGGGTTCTCAAAGAGACCAATGGTGAATTTAACCCTAAGGATTCTTCCTACAGCATCATCAATTCTGCTCAAGGGGATGACATTCTTCTTAACCAGGGATGTCAGATCATTAATAAACTCAGAATAGTTGTATGGAACCATCACCTGCCCAAAAGAGGGATGATGAGTATGAAAATAAGAGGAACATGTTAAGATGTCAACAGAAGATAGCTTTGGAATCTTTTAGCAAGAACAAATTTCACTATTTGGGTTTATTGACTTACACAAATTAATGATTGCACAATAGCATGGGAACATACTGACCATATCAATACCAGCACTAATTCCAGCTTGGACTGAGTAAGTGTAATTTGCACCTGGCGAGCTGGTGATCCTATCAATTCCCTGCCAATCTGAGATTACAAAGCCCTGAAAGATTTTTTTTTTTCAAAATGAAAACTTTATCATGTTAGAAAAAGAAAAGTTGACACATTTGTTAAAGACAACATTCAAAATCATGTGCTTGTTCTTTCAAAAAATAAATCTACACCGGAGATACCCTGAAGCGAAGAGTGTTTTTAAGGTAGCCAGTGACTAGATCACGATTTGCATGCATTTTCACTCCATTCCAGCTTGAGTACGACACCATAATTGTCGATACACCTTTTATAATTGAGTTGAGGTAAGCAGGCATATGGATGCTAAGTAGGTCAGCACGGTTGACAATGGTGTTATTCTCATTAATACCATTATGCGTCCCACCATCACCAACATAATGCTTTGCACAGGCTGCAACTTTCTCCCTGATCAATCAGAAAGTATCAAGACAGACCTCAAAAAATCAAAACTGTTTGAATTGTTGCAAGAATTTGACATTAAAGTGACGGAGCATGGAAAAGAATGTATGGAAAAAGCATTGAGGGCATAACTCTTTTGACCCTGTTATGTTATTTTCTTTCTGTTGTGTGCTTCTAGCAAATTAGCATAATATTTCTAGATGGAGATGAATGTGTTGAGCCTGGAGCACTGGGCCATTTTTTTTCTTTTATATGAATCAGTGTCAGCCCAAGTAAATAGTAATGGAGAAAATTAAATAGTATAAGCCTTTCTAAGAAACAGATAAACAACCTACCCATTTTCTTTGTAGTAAAAATGGAAAAAAATGCATATGCTTTAAGAAGGCAATAGCCCAGTCTAGATAAACATTTTAGTTTTATTGGATAAAGAACACATTTTATATGCTTCTAGAATTCAAACACATTTTACTAAAAGTAATCTCCATGTATTAACAAAGAAAAATCAATAGGATGAACTTAGGTGATTTACGAGACTCAATCTGGAATTTACTAGTGGCTGATGTGGTCCTATCTGTTGATCGTGTATCATGAAAGGGCAGCAAATTGATACTCTTCTACAATTCCATACCTTGTCAGTCAGCATGCTCCTACGTCAGCTGCCACATGCTAAAATCAAGCCTAGTCATATGTTGTCACCTTGAACACATTGTGTCCGACCATGCTGATTGATATGGAAATCTTTGGTCCTTTCTTGTCCCTTGGCTGTATGATTAGTTCTTTAGCATATAAATAAGTGGACTCCTATTTTAAGGTCTAATTGACTTCAGTACATAACAATACTTATATCGTATATATTATCAAGGTATGTTCACAGTTATGAAATTGCAAACATTTGTATTATGAGCTAATATATCATAGAACTGTCTAGAGAAATTCAGAAAAAAAAATCAAATTGGAAAGTTTAATCAAGCATTATTTCTTACATTATATTTAAAAAAGACAGTTTTTTAAACATGCAGTCAACATGTGTAAAATGAATATCATACATGAACAACCAAAATCTTGCTGGCTGTGCCTGGAAGTTATATAACAAAGTAAGTTTCAAGCTTTCAGACATACGACGTATGATTGAAAGAAAACAGGGATACCAAGAGGTTGCTGTTGGAACCTACATGCATATTATAAGTCTGATAAAAAGTCCGACTATAATGTATAAATGTAAGAGGTCACTTACTTTCCAGAAACATATGGAACACCTTTTCTGTATTTAGCAGGCACGTCTCCCTGTAATCCAGGGATTATTTCTGTCATTTGCTGGACAATGTTGTGGTCTTCACTATAACTTTCGTAACACCGTCCCCATCTTGGATCTCTGCAAACCTGCACAAAACCCAACAGAAGCAAATTCAAATGTGCTTTTGTTTTTTAAATCAGGGTACAGATAGCAAAATGCAAGATAATGGCATATGTAATGCATTAACATACCGCAATGCATGGAGCAAAGACATATGGGATGCCTGTTGCCCTTACTTCAAGGGCAGTTGCTGCGCCAATCCTCTTCACAAGTTCAGGATCCCTGGTAAATAGACCAGTTTAATATTAAAAACAACAAAACAAGTGGTTGAGGCATCTAAGAAACATGCCTTTTATTTTTCACTGACTATATTATGCTAACATTGTAATGACGAATATAGAGCAGCAGCCACAGCATTCTTGCGTTCAGGTTGCCAACGATGGTTATGATTGAAGAATATATGTTAAACTAAATGGATAGTATGAGATTTACATAAGATGGATTCAATACTGTAATAAAATTTTCAGATACGCATAGAGCTAGCTCTTCCTCTGTATCAGTTGGAGAACAAATTTTTTTATTTTTAGTTGTTTGATTTTCAATAATCATTTAAAAAGTGATACCATTGGTAAACAATTAAGTTACATCTAGGATACGGTTAAGCAAAAGAATATGGAGTTCCACATAGGCAAAAATGAAAGAAACACTCAATTGAAGCAGCAAAATGAGTTTATACATGCCTGGTAGCTCCAAGACCAATATTATGAGGGAATATTGTTGCTTTATAAACATTATTATGTCCATGAACAGCATCAATCCCATAAATCATTGGAATCCCCAGCCTGGTTGAGAGAGAGCCCTTTTGAAATTCATTTACCATATTCACCCAGTCTGCAACACTAGCTTCAGGACGAGGCACACTCCCTCCACCACTCAACACGCTACCTGGTGCACATAACCAATTCAGTACAGTTCATTCTTTTCAATCATATGATATCTAAGACAAGAGAAAGGTTATCATAATGGAAATGCGGATATTTTTACCTATGAAGTAGTTTTTCATGACTTGAGCCGATGCAACCTCGCGCTCAATCTGGGTCATCTGACCAATCTTTTCAGCAAGGGTCATCCGATCCATCAAGTCCTTGATTCGAACATTGATTGGCTGTTTAGGATCCTTGTATTTCATATAATCTGCTTCTCCAATATATGCCCAACACATCAATAACAGAAGATACAGGCAAAATTTTCGACTTCTAGCCATCCTTCTTCCAACCACAGATTGTCTCAAATATTTCTTTTGAAAAAATTGTACAGTCCAAGCTTCAGAGTGGGAAAAAAAATTTCAAACTGGCAAATTGTGACACAGTAAGATCTATGAGGTTGACCCCAACTAAAATAAGTAAGATCTAATAGAAGGCCAGAAGTTGCCTGAATCATTAGCAAGTAAAATAAGTAACTAATCAACCTGGTCATCATTCTAACATTTAATTAAAGAATGATAGAAAAAACAAGCAAAGACAGAAAGAAGTGTGGACCATTATGAAGGGAGAAAGCACCTAATTGTTGGACAGCTATCGTCACAATATTAGAAATGAAAGTAAAACCAGCCAACATTCCAGAAAAAATGACACTAAATGCTACAGAAACAAAGAAAAATAAGAACAAGTGTAAAAGTATCAAATACTGATGTTTTCTTTTTCCCTGAGAGAAACAACACCTACAAAGAAAACAAAAAAGGACAGTTTATTCATGAACGCAATAAAGAAAGAGAAGAAATTGAGCAGCTCGTCCATCCTACTTATAGTTTATTCAAGAACACAATAAAGAAAGCTCAAGAAAGAGAATAAATTGTGCGGCTCCTCCATCCTACTTATAGTTTATTCAAGAACGCAATAAAGAAGGTTCAAGAAAGAAAAGAAATTTTGCAGTGCATTCATCCTACTTAAAGTTTATTCAAGAACACAATAAAGAAAGCTAGAAAAGAGAAGAAATTGTGCAGCTCATCCATCTTACTTATAGTTTATCGAAGAACGAACGCAATAAAGAAAGAAAAGAAATGTTGCAGCTCATTCGGCCTACTTATAGTTTGTTCAAGAACGCAATAAAGAAAGCTAGAAAATGAGAAGATATTGAGCAGCTCGTCCATCTTACTTATAGTTTATTCAAGAACGCAATATAAAGAAAGCTCAAGAAAGAAAAGAAATTGTGCAGCTCGTCCATCCTACTTATAGTTTATTCGAGAACGCAATAAAGAAAGCTCAGAAAGAAAAGAAATTGTGGAGCTCGTCCATCCTACTTATAGTTTATTCAAGAACGCAATAAAGAAAGCTCAAGAAAGAGAAGAAACTGTGCAGCTCGTCCATCTTACTACAAGCAAAAGATCATGAAGCAACGCTACCTTATCCTGCACTACATTCCTCTCTTCTTTCTCTCATCTTTCTACTTTACCAGATTCGTCTCCTTGTTTCCTAGCAAAAAATCTCTCTTTTTCTTTTCCTCTCTCTTTCATTTCCAAGATCGTCAGCAGCGACTAAGCGTTACCACCCCCAAGAAAACAAAACAAGAAAAAGCAGCAAACAATACCTTCAGAAGATCACAATAAATCCCCATCACTGCGGCAAATTTCGTGAAACAAGAGAAGCATCATCATCGCTTTAACCCTAAAGATTCCATTACACGATAGAGCAGATCAACCGAACCATTCCGAACTCGAGATCGCTGGCTTGGAATGGGGGAAGAGGAGGAGCATAGGAAGCCACACTAGCCCGTCAGGGATCCTTCTTCCTTGTCGGAAATAAACCTTGGAATTGGATTCCTATATAGCCAAGAAAAGCTTGTTCTTTGTCTTGCCTTTATGTTTCACTTACAAGTTTAGTCCCCCCCTTTCTTTTATACTACTGAGAACCTTTTATTATTAACAATCCCTTTTTAAAAAATAATAAAATATTAGTATACCTTTAATAACTTATGTATCACCGATTTTATTTTTTTTATTTTTTATTCTCATAATCCCTTATTTCATTCTGGTCGTCAACCTTCGAGAACGAAATACTACTACTTTTGCTGTTGGTCATGTCTCGTAAGGCTCACAATGCTGCGATGGCGGAGGCACTGGCAATCTGTGAGGCTCCCAAAGTACGATTTTGAATATTGATCCGTATTAATGTATCGATGTATACCGTCGATACGTTAGGATATATCGATGGTACACCCTAAAATCTTAAAAATATCTTTACCTAATTGATCGCTATGTCTCGATAACGATCAAAATCCAAGACAATACCGTTCGATACACTTCAGTATCGATCAAAACACTGGTACTACAGAATAGTCCGCGTACCGATATCCTTTCGAATTGGTACATCTCACCTGTATCGAACGATACACATCAAAATTGAAAACCCTGCCTTAAAGTACGCTGCCACCATGCGTTGGAAGAACACTCCAGACCATCATCAACGACACCAATGTCTCCAAGCAAGTTCCTTGGCAACTCCAGGCCCTCGTTTCTGATGCAAAACTCTTATTGAGCAAACTTGCATCCTTCTCTGCTAGCTTTATTCCAAGAACTCTTTAACTGCAGAGCCCACCAGCTTGCATCTATTGGTAGAACCTCACTGGATGATTCGAGTTGTTCATCCAGTCCTCTGGCTATGTTTTTCTAATTTTAATGAAAGTTATTTTTGCTTCAAAAACAGAAAGCTCAAGTGTTCTATGAACCCCTTTTGCTTACCTAACAATGCTGCAAAAAGGGTGAAGTGTGTTTGAGATCTCTCTCGTGTTAATTATGTGAAATATAGGGTGAATAAAATTGGCATAAACCTTCATTAGAAGAAATCATAAGGAGTGAATTTTCAAGGGTAGTAACAGTATAAGATGGATTATAGTAATGAAACATATACATAATTGTAATACCAAAGTAATTGCCATCCCTGAGCAGTTGCATTGAGCATGGTAGCTGTGGATCTTGAGTTCATTCTTGAACAACCAACCAAATAAAAAGTTACCAGTTTTGTATTCAAGATCACAGCAAAGCACATCTATCAGACAAAATAACAATGTCTTCGGATACATTTGATTATACCTTGAAATTATACATAATAATATTTGACTTCTGGACAAACCATTTTGCAGTCTCAATGATTGAACAAAAGATCACACTCAGTAGCTGCTAAAACATCTTTGGTAATATGGATTTAGGCATTTACCTGCAGTTTAATGCATCAAGATGATAGATTTTAGTGATGACACGAGAACTTGTTAGGCTTTCACTTGATGGGAAGACACTAAGTTTTTCAAGTACTTCTCCACATTGTCAAGGCCACAGAGCTCCTTGACCACGGGCATGGTTGCCGGCACTTCCAATCGAAATGATGATGAGCTATCAGAGCCAGTAGGAGAAGAGAATTCCATCCGAGCGGCTATTATGGCCTCCCTAGTTGCGGAATGAATTGAACTTGCCAGAACTAAAGGTGGTTCCCCAGAAGCTGCATGAAAGAGATCAGAGAATTGAGCATCAGTCACGAACCGGAAATCAAATGATGAGAAAATGGTTTCTATGTGCACAGAAAAATTTTTCAATATAAATGACATGAAGTTTAATGGTTTAGTAAGAGCACACCAAGCATGCTTTGATGCTAGAGGAAAGCTGTTAACATGCAGTGTTATCAATGCAAGATCTAATTAAAAGAAGCTGTGAGTATTTTGCACATTTTTTTTACTTCTTTATGACAAGAAGAATCTGTGTGAATCTTAGATGGTGTTTTGGAAGCTGTGTACAGCTTCTAGTTGGAGAGGAATAATAGAATGCTTAGGTGAGGATGTTATCAGTAGCAACATCAAAGATTCTTGAGGCTGAGGTCTTTCCAGAAGCTGTTATGGCGGAAAATTGCGACAAAGAACAGCTCTCAGATCTTTTAAACTGCCCTGTATCTTATGTTCACAAATGACAACTCCGGCATGCACACCGATGGGAGCACCGCATGTTTGTAGAAATAACAAAGGGTATGTGGGAAATTCAAAGAAAGCAGTCAGTATAGATGAGTTGAAGTGAAAGAGAACCTTTCGATGAGAGAACCCGTTTTTCATGATGTCCACTGTTCAATAATTTGACATTGAACTGCCTCGGGATGGTGTCAATAGTTGGGATTTTGTATGTCCAAGTACCATCTGAAATCACCAAGCCATCAGAGTTCTCAAGGTATTCTTCACACATGAAGAAACCAATGCCTTGAACAAATGCTCCTTCAATCTGCAGAAAAGGAGAGACAATTATTTGATATCATGATTGTTGCAGGCCAATAGAAGGTTGAAAGGATTATGATTGCAGTAATTAATAGGAGTTCCAGCAACTGCCTGCATGAATGAAATTATGAAACAATCAATGACTTTTCCATTATATCATATGAAAATAAATAAGCATGTCATGCGAAGTGCAGAAATATGTAAATGCCGGAATGTATGTCAGCTCATTTTGTCTGGAAACCTAGTTTCCAGTTTCTACTTGCAGCTGAGTCAAATAATTATTGTACAATGACAACCAGTAGTGCTAACCAAAAATAAAAATTATGCATCAATCTACTAAAGTGGAAGATAACTACCCAACAATTTCAAGCATGGATAGGTAGTTCCACTCGTCTTTTATATAATTTGTCTTTTAGATGTAAACTGTAAAGAACAACAATATTGCACATACGCAATATATTTAAAAAAATTTGCACTCATAAGATCTGAAAAATTCCTTAGAGACTAAGGAGATTTTACATACACTATTAGTACTCTAACCGAAATTTTGTTAACCAGTTCAAAATCATGATAGATGACTCACAAAGAAAATAACGAGGAACACTAAGAGATCCAACCTGTCCCAAATCCACAGCAGGATTCAAGCTTTGTCCACAATCATATACAAGGTCAGTCCTCAAAATTATAGTAGCTCCAGTAAGAACATCTACCTCCACCTGAAATGCAACATAGTGTGAATCTGAGCATAAAGTGAACAAACATAAGTGTCAACAGAACAATATGGTGGTATCAAAAGTCAACAATGTGGATTTTAGCAGTGTATACAAAGTTACCTCACTTATAGCAGCTCCAAAATTGAGATAGCTAATAGAAGCATCTTCAGGAACCCAGTATGTACTCTCTGACAAGTTCACAGACTGCATATTTGCCTACAGAGAAAAGGGAGGCAAATCAAAATGTAGGAAGATGTAGTTACCTTGATAATTCTTGAGGATAAAAGTAGTTATCTTGATGATTTTCACTAACATGTTAATTCAGCATATTTTACTATTAACATGATGAATTGAAACTAGTACCAATATGAGAGAGAGAGAGAGAGAGAGAGAGAGAGAGAGAGAGAGAGGAATTTTACAAGTCCAGTTTTAACAAGTGAATCACATTTATTAACAATTGAACTTTGGTAGAACACTCACAATACTAATAAATGAAACACATGTATTAAATTATGTAAAATTCCTTTATCAGGATAATGATACTACAGAACTTGGTCGCAGATATTCAAAAGAAATCCATTGGAGTTGGTTCAGTGCCAGATGACCATATATTAAGTAGAGCAATATAATTAGAATTAAAAACAACAACTAATAAACAAAAAATTAAATAGGATGTTTCTTAATTCACTAAAAGTAGGAACCACTCACCTGAAAAATTAGTGTATCCCATGAGATAGAACCTGTTTTGTCCTCTAAACTTTGCTTTAGAGACTTTAGTCTATCAACTAGAACATTGCAGGATAGACGAACTGCCTCACAACTTGCTTCAGATGTGGTGCTCCCAGCAGTCAAGCCTCCTTGAACCAAACTCAAAGTATCTGCCTGAATGATCCGCACCCTATCCAAAAGGTTTTGACTTCCATCAACCCATAATTGTCCAAGGGCAAATGCTGTCATTTGCTTCACCTTTGTCCACAGCCCCTGACCAATCTCAATTCCTCCAACTTCGACAACGATTGAACCATCAGTTAGAATAGATACTTTCCCAGGTGTTGGTCGTAGCACTACTTGGTACACAACAGGTACCAAAGAAATTCCACGTTTTCTCCATTTATTGCAACTATTGAAATGCCGTATTATTTCAAGACGATCAAAGTAGCTAGCAGATGAAGCCAACTCATCAATCATAGTAGGTAAAGTATATTCAGGAGCATCTCCAGTGCTACCTTCATAATACAACATAAGACTATCATAGGTGTGGAGATTTTTCTTTCGAACAGAATTCACATCAATGGACAGGAATGATGCTACATGTTCAATAACAGATTCAGCAATAAAAGTTCCCTGTACTTCTCCTGGACCCCGCATAGCTGATTTTGTTGAAAAATTAGTCTTGCAGAGCCTAATATCAAAAGAAAGAGCACCCCAGTTGTACTTCTTTAGTGCTGATACCATGTTACATGGTATAATTATACTAACATCAGCTGTTATTCCTGCATTGACTAAGATATCTACATGCAAGGCTGTAATTTTCCCGTCAGCCTTGAAACCCACAGAGTAGTTTATGTGCATTGGATGTCGCCCTCCTGTCATTATCATATCTGTCTTGCGATCCAGGTACATCCTAACAGGACGGCGCAATCTAAATGCTGCAAGAGCACATGCAGTCGCAACCTATACAGGATAGAATGTTCTTAGAAACTTCACATAGAGATCGTAACTCCTAGCTATAGAGCAAGATTGTTGGGGTATAAGGTCAAATTCAAGCACTGCTTGAAGAGATAAAATTATGATCATTGAACCATGTTTAGTTTGGAGACATTAATGGTAGACATTTTACTGGATATTAGTGTACTACTACAGGATATAACTACTAGCAAATAACAATATGTAAATGTTGTCAGCTGCCAGTTCTTAAATAAACAAACCAAATGCAAATAACAGAAACAAAAAGGAGAGAAGTAGAAACATCCTGTTAAAACAAACAAAACCAGTCACATTATTGTAGCTTGCTGTCTCACCGAGAACCAAGGTTTATGACCCTACCCTCTAGAAATCAATGTCACTATTTCATGCTAGAATACCAATTTATGTCTCTTCATCAAATCAGGTCAATAAACATTTTCTGAAAAGAGGAATGAAGATCATAGCATAAGGCTATAAGCAAGTGGCAAATGGAGAAGCCATATGTACCATATAGTGCATCATGCTGCAACATTTTATAAGTGAATTTGGGGGACGAAGTGGGACATCTCACATAAGCACAGTCCGAAATAAGAAAATTTAAAAAATGGATTTTTTTCCCAAAAAGGATGAAATTCATTGCAAGCCTGAGAGAATAAAACAAAGATTGTTGATCTCTTATTGCATAAAAAGTTGGAAAAAACTTCTGCGCAGAAGGGAGTATTAGCAAAGATTCTGGCTCATTAACTATACAAAAGCATTTCATGTTAGATGCCCATTGGACCACTGCCTAACTCACAATAAGGATCAATAAAAAAATTTTATTGCTCATAAAAATGTTTTGATACTCACAGGCACTGATCTTGGTCCTTTCCCACCAAAACCTCCACCAACTCTTCTTGTAATAACCCGGACATTGTGAGCAGGTATGCCTAGGCATTTTGCAATAGTACCTTGTGCAATCTCGGGACACTGAGTTGAAGTGTAGACCAAAATACAATTGTCTTCGTCTGGTATGGCAAGAGCTGTTTGTGTTTCCATGTAAAAATAATACTGAGAACCAAGCTTCACCTGCATACATTCATCACATAAGTGTGAGTTCCCTTGTAGACAGGAGGTTTATACAGTGTATACATAAAAAACTAAAAGAAATATAAATTGGTGAACATTTTTTAAGACCAAATTTCAATATCTGAAACTACTACTTTTGGGAAATTATTTGCATTTCCAATTAAACTGTGACATAAGTTAAGTGTTATTATATTTTATTTAATTGTTATTCTAATGATAGATTAAAAGAAATTTTCAAGCATACCATAGAAAAGACAAAGACTAGGCAAGCCACATTAAATTTAGTACTATACATTTCAGAAATATCTACAATTCTTTTCTCCACTTGTTTCTTTGTGGTCCCTTTCAAACCTATAACCAAATTTGTGCTTAACTAAACAGATGAATCTTACCTTTTCTATTTTCTTTTTCTTTTAAACATGGATAGCATTGGTCCACATGTGCATATCATGCAAGAGGCGCCAATATATGACAGCCAATTTCTGGATTGTATCTGTCAGTGACAAGAGTGTGACAAGTACAACATGGCTTGGTGTCATGCTAGAAAGGTATTGGCATACCCCTATGCCAGGAAATGATGATTTTTTTATTTTAAAATACTTTTGTGCTGGGGATATCTTAAGAAGTATCGTTATTTGCATGTAAGGACATGCAAGATTATTAAGCTGAGCAAATCCATGCTTTCATAGTCACATAATATATCCTCGCTATCAAGTATTTAGATTCTCCCATGCAACTACATGGCCAAATAACGTGCAATAAGATTGGAATATTTCAACAATGGAAGAGTATCAAAGCCACATATTTTAAAAGTTGATTATTCTTTGAACAGTATAAGGATTTGCTAGAGATATGATTCCAGGTTAATTTTTGGCAAGAACACTTTGGTGAATGACCACTTTATCTGATCCTACAAATCACTGCATCTGCTTCCTTCTCACATTCATTATGTATTTACCAAGGAAGCACCTTATAGATGCATAAAATTGTCATGAATTCCATCATGAGGACTGATGGATGCGTAGTTGGCATCAAGGCAAAAGTCTAAAAAGAGACTCACTGTAGGTATGTAACAAAAAGAAAAACTCCCAGTTAGTGAAATCTCTATCTTGGTTGTATCCTAGGACTGCCCTCATTATTAACATCAAGTCATTAAAATCAGCAGAAAGGAAAAACAAAAAGAAGTGTACCTCAGCTGAGAGAATCTTGTGATCAGCTTCTGCCATTCCTTTGGAGAGATCTCCAACCTTTTGAGGGCACAAAAATGGAGGAACTTTGAAAAAGCTGGATCTTCTAACAGCATCTTCAACTGACAAAATTGGAGGTTCTAAGTTCTCAGTGCAATATTGTACATCTGCTTGTTTAGCAGCCATGTTAGCTTGTCTCTGTGTTTCTGCAATCTAAAGCAGAAATATAATAAGCTGTAGTTCATAGGAAACCACATATATGCACTTATCTATGCTTACATCAATATCAACAGCACTATTCAGCTGCAAACAGTTTTTCCAAGCAAGGATTAAAAGACTGGTCACACTAATCAGTACAGGCTGGTATTTGTCAGTTCGACCATGAACAGGTGGATGGACATGTACTGCTAGTTTTTGTCTGACCTTGGTTCATACTGGGCTTACCAACTGGTATGATTAGCAGGATATACTACCTGGTTTTAATTATTGAAATGGATTTATGGGATATGACAACAACAATGATAATAATGACAACAACAAGCCAAAATTGTTGGGGTCAACCTCATGGATCTTCTGTCGTTATTGAACTCTATCAAAAATAATATCCTTAATTAGATTAAAAGCATTCATATGCTTATTTCTAGTTTCTAGTAAAGTTTTCTTAGATCTTCCTCTATTTTTCCTCATACTACTAACCATGGTCTGCAGTACCGGACTGTACCGCCCGGTACGGGCGGTACGTACCGGTCCGACAGGCTTCCGGTACGCGGACCGTCTGTTACCGGTCTGACACTGTAGCAGCGCTACAGTGCTCGGCACGCCTGAATATACCGCTCGGTACACCTGGGTGTACCGCTCGGTATACCGTACCGTACCGGTACCGAGCCCAGGTCGAAACTCCGGTACGGTACGGTATTGCGGACCTTGCTACTAACAATAATTCAACGCTTCTAACTACATCGTCTATAAGCCTTCTTAGCACATATTCATACTATCTTAAATAACTCTCCCTTGATACCTCCTCCTCCTCCCACCTTATTCCTCATTTCTTTCATTTCTTTTATATTTTCTTTCTTTCTTTCACCTTCTCTCTCCCGCCTCCTTTACCTCTTCATCATTCTCCTCCTTGTGCTGGCTCCTCCACCTTGCTGCATCAGCATCGCTACCTCCTCCTCCCCATAAGGGTCACTACCTCCTACAGCTAGGCCTATTCCTCAACCTCCCCTGCTCCCTCTTCTCTTTTTTTCTTTAGTCTATATGGTAATGACTTATAATGTGTCAGTATGTAGTTTCAGACTGATATGGCCCACTGTTAGCGCTAGACCCTGATTTTAAACCTTGCTTCCAAGGTCTACAAAAGCAAACCAAAGTGATTAAAACTCAAATTACCGAGAAGAATATGGATATACCACAATGCCAAGTGGCTGACCAGCACACTCAGTCAGAGAGTGAGCAAATAAAGATTCAGTTCCATATTGACAAGATAATCCAACATTTTGACCTCCTTTTGGAATGTCATCAGCACCAATAAATGTAAAGGCTTTCTGCGATGATGATGTAGATTTGAATTTGATTCCCTTTATATGTGCCAAAGGCCTTGTGCTATTTACAAATGCTCCATAAAGACAGTACTTTGGAGAAGGAATATCATCCACGTATATTGCTTCACCTGGCTAGAACATTAGAATCAATGAGACCGAAGGATGATAAAAGATTTTTTTATTTCTGGTCTTTAGAAATAGATCAAGCACATAGAGCGATGCCTAGGCACAAAGTCATCCAGAAAGGTGAAAGTGTTAGTTGTATATTGTTCATTGCACAATCAAGGAACAAGAAATCAACAACTCATACTGCATAAGGAATTTTCTATAGTGACAAACTTCAACCTGAAAAAAATTTAAATTTGAATTAAATTTTCATAGACCAGAAAAAATCATATCACAATACAAGGATACATATTCAGTAAAGATGCCACTCCAGAAAGAGATGCAAGAACTCTTAGATCTTGAAACCCGGAACTATGCAGATACAATTATCAAAGACAGACACATTTCTTTCCTATTCATACTTCTCACCAAGCCACATTCAGGATGAAACTCCAGATCTTCTGTCTTCTTGGTAAATGATCATCTACTAAAGCCATTACAAGCAGGTTTTATATATCTGTGCTTGCTAATACAACAATGAGAAAAAACAATTGTTTTAAGTTATAACTTAATAGAAGAAACAGGAATGGAACTGTTATCGAGTGGTCCCACATCGCAGACATGCGGACCATAGCCTCCATGCTGCGTGTACATTTGACTAAGGTATGAGAACACAACAATTCACCCTATCCAAATAATTGGAAAAGATCTATGCAACCGGATGTCCCATTGTTTGCACATGCGAGACATCACTTTGGCCCTCCACGTGTGATGTTTGGAGATTTGCTTCCATGATCAACAATAACTCCCAACTAAAAGGGATAACTCTCTTCATGTAAGTGAAGGCATTAATTCCTAGTATACTTAGCTGTTTCCTTAGCTCTCTTAGCCACTAGCCTGATTGGAGCATTGGAGGGGTCCCCACCATAGATACTTCAATGCACCTTAAGTATTCCTTTTTGCAAGGCTTCCTCTTTAGTTCCATGCCTGCTAGCCTGACTTGCGGCTCCCTCTAGAGATGACTTTGGCACATCCTTAGATGTGTTCTTTTGCAAGACCTCCGCTTATAGAAGAACTGTTTGGATTCAGTAATTTAAATAGCACTCTTAGGATATCTGACACATGGTGAAACTCAGCCAGCCCTACCATCTCCCTGAATCTAAAGCAGTGGGTAGTTGCTCCTTCATACCCTTCTTTTACTAAATAACTGTGAATGTAAAAGTACTTGCAAAAAAAAAAGAAAATTGTTAGTTATTTGACTGAAGATAACCAAGGTTCCATACCTCCCATTTAAGGCATATAATTCTAAGTAAAACCTTGCCTTGTAACCTAACTCCAAAGAACCTCATATTTTGAGTTCATATTTACAATCTTGAGCTGATCAAGTACAAGTGAAAGTGATATTCCAGGACAATTCAATTAATTGAGATACATATTTTGAGTTCATGAATGACAATAAGACTACTCTTATTCAGTTGTTTCATTGCCACAGATACAGAGAAAATATTTTAAACATGTTAATCTGATAGATTCCGCATAAACTGAAGTTGCTAAAAATGACAATGAAACCTAAAACAATGTGAAACCTAAGATAACAGCAAACAAGGTAGAAAAGGCACTGATATGTTATAAAAATATTGAAGTCTCCTCCTACAAATAAATGCAGGTTGTGTAAAGCATGAGTGTGCACACACAAATGATAGTAAAAAGGCAGAGAAAACACCACTACTTGTCCATAAGTTCTATTCATACAAAGTTCTTTCTTTATCCTAAGTTCTCATTATCACAGCTTCACCAAAAGATATTACCAATAGCTAATATAAATATCCAATATCAGGAAAAGGAGAAAAATCTTTATACGGGCAGGGAATTAAACGATAAATCAATAGAAGCTTAGCTGAAGGGAGAAGAATGCAATGCAATTATACCAGAGGCTTGTAATTCAACTCCAGTTTTTTTGATAGGATCACCAACTGGATGATAATCCTTGCAAAACTCAACCATCTGCTCCGAAGATAAGATCAGATCAGGATTGTTCGCTTGATCAAGTTGTTTAACATTTGATGCCCTACGAGGCAGATCATCAGCAAATCCACTGATACAGCCATTGGAGTTTTCAATTGTCGCAGCAGCACTAGAAACAGACATTTGAACGTTCTTCTCAGGCACACTCAAGTCTTTTAGTAGTGGTTGAAAAAATTTGAATAGAAAAGCAATTGCTAAACTTGATCTATATCTTGAATGAGGAGTGTGTTCATTTGGTATGATGGTTTCCTTAAGTAATTTAATGGCTCCAAGTAAAACAGAGGCAGTGACAGATTTACCCACCAAAAAGTTCTCAACTTTTCTTGCTCTCACGGCATGTTCACTGCCGTAAGCACCAAAGGCCAAATGTATATTATGTATAACAAGATCCCCAGAGATGTTATATGAAGTAACATGAGCCAAAAAGGCAGAGTTCACATAAGCAATAGCATTTCCAAGAGGTCGTGGGGCTGCTCGGTATGTTTCAAATAGTATATTGGCTTCCTTTGTAGGTTCAGAATCAATGCATCCTTTAGCTCCAGAAGATGACTCCATTACAGAAGTTGAAAAAGGAATGTGTATGTTTATAAGTACAGTTCTGTCATCACAGGGAGGCCTTTGTAAAAATTCCTCCAGTGGAAGAACTAGCCTTTCTGAAGCTGTCTGAAGGCAGATAGTTGATCCAGCAGCAAGAAGTATTGTAGCGACATCTGAGGCAAATTGACTTCTTTGTGCCATAATTAAATTTCCTCCTAAGCTTGCCATATTCCTAATGAATGGTGTAGCCACCTTATCCATATGATCAGCAATCTTGCTGAAGACCAATCTTTCATTAGAGTGCAGCTCACTTTCATTTTTTTGTTTCAGCACTTCAATAGCCATAGATATCGTCACAGCAGCCCCAAATGAAACCCCTCCACTATCCCTTCTGATCACCGAGAGCTCTGGAATCCCTTTGAGATCAATATACTTATCATACAGGTCGTTTTCCTTGTAAACACCAGACCCTGTATTACCAACAACCAATTTTACATGGCTTTCAAGGAATGCGTCGGAATTTAAAAGCTCATAAAGCTCTTCGATACTGGTAGGTCGATACCACTGACACTCTGGCAAGCCCATATTCTTGAAATTGTCCAAGATATCCATTGAGGACTTGATCTCAGATTTCAAGAACTCAGGAAATGTGCAGATTCTTTTATGGCCATGACGAGGTAATCTACAAACCGTTGCATCTTTATTCCCTTTCTTCCAGAACGTATTCAGGCCCAAGTCCTCCAAATCGACATTAGCTGCAAAGCTCTTGCAGACATCTACGATGGACCGATAACCAGTGCATCGACAAAGATTGCCGGCAATGGCCTTCTCAGCCTCGGTCTTTGTGATCTTCGAAAATCCACCAGGAGGCTCAGGCCTACTGGTCTTGTCAGCATTGGTAAGAGCAGAAAAAAGTGACATACACATGCCAGGAGTGCAAAATCCGCATTGGGACGCATGAAACCCTGCAAACCTCTCGTGAATCGGATGGAAGCCATCCTCACTATTTCCCAGCCCCTCGGAGGTGGTAACAGAACAGAAATTTATGCTGCAAAGAAGCGTCAGGCATGAGCTAATACTAAATTCTTTCACTTGCCCGTTAACAGGGTGGTACGTAGAGAGAAGAACAACACAAGCTCCACAGCCACCTACACCATGAGGTTATAGAGAGAGAGATTATCAAATTCACGTTATATACTTTGTCAACATGCTTGCAGCTAATGGAAATTGGGACTGTTTATCAACAAGAACATTTAGAAGTCTTGCACATGCAATCGCAATCGAACAAAGACAGAATTAGTGCATTTAAATCGACGAGTGTCCAAAACAATGACAATATAAGTCAGCAGAAACACAAGACAAATATTCCGAAAAAACAGCAAATTAATGGTCTACGTTAAATGAACCAAAGAACGCAATTAAGTACCAAAACAACAGATACAGATTAAGAAAAAGACACATCGATGAGTCCAAGAAGTTTAACTAAATCACACGATTGAAACCAAATTATCTGACGCAAAAAAGATCTTCAAAAAACTTTATTGGTCCATCAAAGAACCAAAAAAAGGAAAAGAATTAGCAAACTTAGACACTCCAAATACATATAAAACCGACGTCTTTAACAGCAAAAAACAATATTCCGTCCGAAACTAACGATATTTCGCCACCAACAAATATAAAAAGGCGATCTTGGAGGAGAGAGAGAGAGAGAGAGAGGCTGACCCTCGCCACACCCGAGCTTGGGGCCTCTGAACCGCGTCTGGGTCCTCAAGAACTCGAGCAAGGTGGTGGAGGGATCGACCTGGGCAAGCTCGAAACGCTCTCCGTTGACGGCGAACACCAGCTTCCGCGCCATCTTACCCGCTGCCTCCTCTGCCAAGACTTTCGGATGTGCTCGGGCTCTTAAAGGCGGGCCATTCCCAGCCAGAATCGCTGAATAGTATATCCATGGGGACCAAATGGTATGACGATGGGCGACGGCGACGGCGACGAGGAATGAGACAGCACGCCATCCGTCGCTTCTCTGGTACGCGGCAGCTCAACGTTCAGCCGCTTCATATCCTGCTTTTAATTGCTTAACATAAAACAATTCCGAGTCATATCTATTCACATTCAACAGCAGTCTTTTAAGTATCCACCATATTTATTCTTATAAATCTAAACATCAGATGATTCATGTCACAAATGATAAACACAAATTATCATTCAAATATTAAGAAATAATATTAGTTATAATTGCATATATGTTGATGTTTAGGCTCTCTCTCTCTCTCTCTCTCTCTATATATATATATATATATATATATATATATATATAGAGGATAAATACAAGAAAATACTTTAGAGGTAAATATTTGCATAAAGTGTTTTCCAATCAGTATAAATTGTTTTTTTCTGAAGAATTTTCCTACACTATGTGATTGTCACATGAAGAACAAACAAGGAGGTTGCACATTTCTTATTGTTGTTGCTATCAAAGAAAAAAAGAAAGGGAAGAAAATAATCATTGGTGTGCTTAGATCATAGATGACGCAAATGAGAAGGTGACTCTGAAGAAAATTATACCCAGATGAATCAGTACTACAGTGGCATCTTCTTCCAGCTTGATGTGGATGTATTGGTTATCATAAGGTAAGTGTTGATGTCAAGAAATGTATAGTTTAGAGGCACAAGAAATGTATGTTGTAGTTTTTATAAGATATAATTTTAAGAAACATCAAGTTTCATGGGAGAAAATAAGTAATGTTGTGGATGAAAAAGACATTGTCAATGCATATAGAAGTTTATGGATAAGAAGAAGATTTTTAGAACCATCAGCACCAAACACCTTAGAGTTATAGTTTTTTTTTTATTTTAATTAAAAATAATTCTGTGACTCATTGCATAAAGAAAATATATACAAATTATTGAGATTATATTTGATGTTTCCATTTTATTAGGGACAGGTTGCTGATTGGAATGAAGGAGACATGGATGGGTATATTAATTTATTTTTGAAGGCATTAAATTTTTGTTATGTTTGATGGTTGGCAATTTGATCTGTTAATTTTCTCTTGATGAATATTCCAGCTCAGACTCTCAGTCAACCAAACCGGTGAGAATCCGGTTTCACCATTTCATGGATCGGACCGGTGGATCAGCATATCAGATCATAAAACTAAATTTTGTTATCGAAAAAATATTTCAAACTTAAATTTAGAGGAACAAAATAAAAATCATTAACTTTGAGTGGCCAATACATTAATGCCACACAGTTGGAACCCTAACACCAGCATATTGACAACAAAAAAGGAATGGAAAAAAAGAGAGGAGAGAGCAACAAATGCACAGGAAATTTGTTGAAACAAAAGTGTGTGATAAGGAACACATCTTGTTCGATGTATATCAGAGTTAAAGAAAAAAAAGAAGTCAGCACGAGATTTGCTAATTGTCAATATCACAAGGCAAGGCACAGCCCAGGCAAAACTCATCACTTTCCTTGTAGATTATCCGATCAGTTTATCGAATCGAAAGTTACGATTTAGATGAAATCATTTTAGTTTTATCGGTACTGAAAAGAAAAGCTCCTTCATCCCTCTTTCGTGTCTGCCGAATTATCTTCACACGGTGCCCAAAACATGATTGGCTTCCATTTTTTTATGCGTAGACACAAAAGCTTCCAAGTACTTCTCCACATTGTTTAGGCCACAGAGCTCCTTCACCACTGGCATGGTTGCAGGAACATCGAATTGGAACGTTGTCGGAGAGCTATTTGGGTCATTGGTAGAAGAGAATTCGACACGAGCAGCCCTAATTGCTTCCCTTGTTGCACAATGGACTGAAGCTGCTAGAAGCAAAGGTGGTTCCCCAGATGCTGCATGGAAGAAATTTATCAGCTACCGAACAGCTGTAGTTACTCGATGTATATGGTTAGGAACTGTCTTCAAAGAGAAAAGGCTGATGAGAAAAGAGGAAAGGCATCCATTCACCAAAAAGAAGGCTACAGGTATGGTAACAATGCAATTGATTCTATGTATGTGGCTTCCTTTGCAAGATACTATGAAAGAAGTAGAATGAAAGCAGATTGACCATAATGCATGATGAGAATTTTGATACTGCTTTGCAAAGTCTTCAAGGCATGTTAAACATTCACTAACTCATGTTGTGTCTGAATTATTTCATTTGTTTGTTATATTGTGTCTCCTTTCTTTCCGCTTCTATCATGAATTTCGTATATATGCTAAAGCAATTGCGACCCGTCAAACAAAATTTGCAAATACTTCTGTCATTGAAGTTGGGACAGAAAGCAGTGTGGCGGTACAAAAGTGGGACGTTAATACCTTTCGAAGAGAGAACACGCTTCTCGTGATGCCCACTTTTCATTAACTTAATGTTGAACTGCTTTGGGATGTTATCAATAGTAGGGATTTTGTATGTCCAAGTACCATCTGAGACCACCAAGCCATCTGAGTTTTCCACGTGCTCCTCATACATGAAGAAACCGATTCCTTGAACAAAGGAACCTTCAATCTGCAGATAGATAGAGAGATGTTTATTAGCTTTTGTTGTACTTGTTGCAGATCAGTGATAGCTAAAAATATTATGTGAAGTCCTTCAAAGGAAGTCCCAGAAACTGTATGCATGAATACAAAAACAAGCATGCCAAGTGCCAAACATGTATTCCATCTTCATCAGAAAGGACAGCAACCCATATTTTGTAAGCCCATTAGAGAAATGAACAGGATGCAAATCTAGTGAACAATGTAGGTTGACCTTGTTGGCAGCAAATGTTAGCACACAAGCAAAACTAGAAATGCCATTGCTAGACAGAAGAGTAATATGCACCTATCAAACGCTACTAAATGATGGAACATCCCCTACCAAGAATAGATTGAGTAGTTCCACTAACCCATTGTGCAGATATGAAGGAACCATGGTTTTCCAATCTTTGATACATGGTCAAAAGGCTTACACGAATGAGATCCCTAAGATCACACATCAACATCGAAGATTTGGCATACCCTAATTTACATCGACTATAAGTACAGTCAACTCCCAGTTTTAATATAATAAAAAGGAAATCAATGTAAAACATTCATCAAACCTGTCCCAAGTCCACAGCAGGATTCAAGCTCTGCCCACAGTCGTATATAAGATCAGTCCTCAATATAATAGTACCTCCAGTAAGAATATCAACCTCTACCTAAAATGCCCATAATTTCCAAAGTTATATTATGAGGATCGAAACATAAATTAAATAAAACAGAGTCTTGCGAGAGGCACACTTCTGAAAGCAGTGAAATCAAAAGTCAACAAAGTGGCTGGTGTATGAAGTTACCTCACTTAAGGCAGATCCATAATTTAGATACATCATAGAACTACTGTCAGGAACCCAGTAAGTACTTGCTGACAAATTAACTGCTTGCATATTTGCCTGTAGATAAAGAGGGAATATATATTCATAATGCAAGAAAATGAAGTCATTCTGATGATTTCCACTAATAGTAATAGGTATATGTTTAATTAGTGCCAAAAGAGAACAGATAGCTTAGTGCAGAAGGCTTCCGTCAACGTGGGTCTAGGACCAATGTACATAATCTTACCCTTGCAGGCAACAAGATTATTTAAGAATTAACATAATACAAGCAAACTCTGAGATACAAAATGAACCTACATGACTGGCAAAGTAAGGAGATGAAGTCCAACATCCTGTTTTGACCATTCACATTACATGATTATCAGAATGGAAATTGTCTCTACCAACTTATGAGAAAAAAGATCATCAAAACACAAGAAATGGAAGCAACTTCTGTTAAACAGAGGTGGAAATAATATATCCAGATGCATGATGATTATAAGTTGTACTCGAATATTTTATATCGCAAACTGTAATAAACAACTAAAGAACAACTGCTATAAAATAACATTTGCACTCCTCTCAAGCTTTACCAATTTACTGAGAACTATTAGCTTCAATAGTTCTTCCAATTCAACTTCTTCCCTGTTGTTCTGTGCTCATATATTTAATACCCTGACAATAGCTCCACATTTATTATCATGTAAACATTACTCAGATTAAGCAACTCTCCTATGTTATAAATGGTGGTGCAAGTAAGGAAAGAATTCAAGAAAGATTTCATCCATGAATTTGAACAATGGACTATCCTATGTTGATCCAGGGCACAGCAATGAGAAAGTACACCAGTGAAAATATTAGAATTTTCGATAGATTGAAATTTGATTTTAGAGGTTGGATTCGCCTTTTTCTCCTCGTTCCCTTCTGAGATATTTGTCATTGTTCTGACTCCCATGTTCCAGTCCATTTTCTAACTCTCCCCACCTCTCTCCCTAAACCCTGGATGATTTAATTAATTGCTATCCAATTATTGATTAATTACTATAATTTTCAATAAATTACTAAAATGTATCAGAAGTATTGAGCTACATGTTACCAAAACAAGGGCTAATTTAGGTAGCCACAAATGAACGGAGAAATAAGGAGACATAAGTTTAAGAAGTAATAAGTTAATAACTATAAAAATAGTAGCTCAATTAATTAAAAGGTATCGACATTCACCTGGGAGATAAGGGTATCCCATGAGACTGTACCCATTTTTTCTTCTAAACTTTGCTTAAGAGTTTTCAGTCTGCTGACTAGAATATTGCATGATAGACGAACTGCCTCACAACTTGATTCAGACGTGGTGCTTCCAGCAGTCCAGCCTCCCTGAACCATACTCAGTGTATCTGCTTGAATGACCCGCACCTTATCCAAAAGGTCTTTGGTTCCATCAACCGATAGTTGTCCAAGGGCATATGCTGTCATTTGTTTCACCTTTGTCCAGAGCCCCTGACCTATCTCAACTCCTCCAACTTCAACAACGATTGAGCCATCACTTAGAATAGATACTTTCCCTGGTGTTGGCCTTAATGCAACTCTGTACACTAAAGGCATCAAGGAAATTCCTCGTTTTCTCCATTTATTGCAAC